AACTTATTAATATATATTAATAATATATTATAATATAATATTATATTTAAAGACTTTAGCTATATTAAAATATATTAATAATAATAAGTATTTATATTTATATTATATTTAATTTATTCTTTTACTTAATTAATATAACTCTTTTATTATAATATTAATATTTATATTTATTTTATATATAGCTAAAATATTAGCCTTTTAGCTTAATTTAATTTATTTATTAAAAATAATATTATATTATTTATATATTAGTTTATTATTATAATAATTATATTATATATTTATTTTTATAATATATTAATAATATTTTAAAATAAAGCTATTATAATATATTAAAGGATATAAAGTAATATATTATAAAAGAATATTAATATATTATATTATATAATTAAAAATATTATAATATATATAAAAAATATTCTTTATATAAAATATTATTTTTATTAAAATATTAATATATACTTTTATAAATTAAAGGCTTTAATAACTTATAATTACTTAATTATTAAATATATAATCTTAATAAAAAAGTAAATATTTTTAGTATTAAAATTAATAATAAATATAATATATTATAAGTTTATTAATAATAATATAAAACTTTATAAAGTAATTATATAAAATATTAATATTATTAAAAAAAGCTTAAAAAGAATAAATAAATATATATATATATATATATTATAAGTTTTATTTTTAAAATATTATATATACTTTTTTATATTTACTTAATAATAAATTATTATTATTAAAGTAATAATTTTAAAATTTTAAAATTATATTTTATATATTATTTAAGTATTATAAGTATATTAAAATATTATTATAAAAAATAAATATATATTTAAGAAAAAAAGAATAAATAAAATAAAATAAAAACTTAATAAATAAAAAAAGTAAGGCTATAAGTAATTAAAAAGGCTAAGTTAATAAACTACTTTTAAAAAATAAAGCTTTAATTATATTTAAAAATTATATATTATAATAAATATATTATAAACTTCTTTTATATTTATAATAAATTAATAATTATAAGCCTTAATTTAACACTTAATTTAATTAATTATATAAAGAACTTTAAAACTTAATTAAATTAAAAGTTATAAATTAAGCTTAAAAAATTTAATTTTAAAATAAAAAGTTAATTTAATTTAAAAATAAAAAGTATTAATAAAAAAACTAGTCTTAATAAAATAAAAAAACTAATATAAGCTTTTAATTAAATAAAAAGTGTTTAAATACTTTTTAAAAATTATTTATATTTTAATAATATAAGTTTAAAAATAATTAAAAATAAAACTAAAATAATAAATAAATAAAGATTTATTAAACCTTGATTATAAAAAAGTAAGGCTTTTTATAAATATATAGCTAGTTTATAAAAAGTATATAAAATTAAAAAAATATAATTTATAATTTATTTTATTAAAATTATATTATAAATATTTTAATAAAGTAATTAATAATAAATTAATAAAAAAGCTTAAAAAAGTAAAAAAAAAATATTTAATAATTTTTAATAAAAGTAAATAAGATTATTTAATTATTATTATATTAAATATTATATATATTATTAATATATAACTTGCTTATATTTAAGTTAATAATAAAGTTATAATAAAGCTAAAAATAAAAGTTATTAAATTAAAGTATTAAAAAAAGTATAATAAATATATATAATACTTAAGGTATTTTTCTTCTTTTTATTAAGTATTATTAATATATTTCTTTAATAAAATTTTTATTTTTATTTTTATTTATTATTATAAAAACTTATAATATAAAAGTTATTTTTTAAAAAATAACTCTTTTTTTAAATAAAGTAAAAGTTATAATAAAAATATTATAATTATAGAAAAATTTTATAAAGTTAAAATAATAATAATTAAAAAATAAAAAAAATACTTTATAAATTAAAAAAATTTAAAAATCTTTTATATATTAAAGAATATTTATAAAAAAGTTAATTAATTAATAAATAAAATAAAGCTATATTTATTTATAATTTAAAATAAAAATTATAATATTATTACTTAAATAAATATATTATTAATAAATAAAAATAATAAAATATTATTAAAAAAAGTAACTTATTATAAATCTTAATATAAAAGGCTTATAAATATTAAATAAGTTTAATATAATTTTATTATTAAAGGCTTATAGCTTTAGCTTAAAAAAGTTATAGCTTTATAATATATTTATAAATATAAAAAAGTAAATAACTTATACTTTTATAAAAACTTAAAAATAAATATAATTAACTTTTAACTTTTATATTTAAAATTTCTTTTATATTTAATATAAACTTATAATTTAATTAATATAATTAAAAATATATTTTATTAAGACTTTTTTATACTTTAGATTTTTTTTACCTTTTAATATTATTTTTAAATACTCTTAATATAAGCTTAAAAAGTTTAATACTTAAAGTATTAATTTATAATTTATAACTTTTATTTATTAAAAGCTATAAGTTTAAATCCTTTTATTATAAAGTAATTATAATAATTTATTAAAACTTATTAAAGTTAAAAATAATAATAATAAAATTATTATTTTTAAGTATACTTTAGTTAATAATATATTAAAAGTAGTTTATTATTTAAAAGTGTTTTATATAATAAACTAAAAGTAAAATTTAATATAATTTTATATAATATTTTTTATAAGAATAATAACTTTATTAAAATATAAATTAAGTTTTAATTTTTATTTAATAGCTACTTAATTAAAATATTATTTTTTTAAATTAAATTTAAAATACTTTTTATAAATTATTTAATAATTACTTTATAATATATATTATAAGTTTTTAAAAGAATTATATAAATATAAAAAGAGATTTTATAAATTAATATTATTATAGCTTTTATAAGAAAATACTTTATTAATAAATAATTATAATAAATAATTATAATAATTAATATAACTTAATTATTATTATAATTAAAAATTATTATAATTAAGATTTATAATATTATAACTAAAGTTTATAATATTATAATAAAAGTATAATATAAGTGTTTTTTTTTAATAAAGTATTATAATAATAAGAATTTCTCTTTTATTTAAAAGTAAGTTAAAGTATTAATAAAATAATAACTTTAGCTAGCTATTAAAAATAATAATATATATAATAATAATTTATATAATTTTAAATTAACTTATTTTTCTTATAAAAAAGAGCTTTCTTTAATTTTATCTTTTCTTTTATTTAATATTTATTTTTAAAAGAGCAGCTTTATAATTTCCTTTCTATACTAGCCCCTAACCACTTGATATTACTACAGTCTTGCTTTTCCTTCCATTCCCTGATGTGTTCCTCTACCCATCCCGACGTGAAGTCTACCCATGTCTCCTTATCATTGCCTTCCTTTTCCTCCTTGCGTTCTCTTCCATGCTGTAATGAGCCTAAAAGATTGCATTTCTTTCGATCCCTTCCCTCCCATTTCCACTGTAGACAGCTGGGATCCTCGGCACAGGCACGGCTGCACTGCTCGGAGGATTCGACGACTTCTTCGGGAGGTGGATCAAAGGCGTCAAACCGGCCGCCGTCCCAGTCCTCACGCATTGGGACCGTACCGGGTTTGTGAAACTCCCACACATCAGAGTATAACAACGGCCGCTTGTAGCACATTAGCATTGCCCAAGGATTTGTGTAGCGGCCCACATTGGACAGCAGACGGAGGACAACAGATACGTAGGAAGCCACTTACCTGGGTCTTGTGTTGGCTAAATTCCCAGCGAAATAAATCTACCATATCTTTTGGAGATGTCTTATGCAGACTTATAAGTGGTTGGCACCAATGCTGGTCATTGAAAGGAATCTCATGTAGGCCATAGTCACTGAACATGGGCCAGTGACCATGCATAGGAATTCCAAGCTCCCATAGCACCCATCCCAGAACGCTATCGCCACAGCACTCTTCATCGTTATTCAGATGGCTAAATTTCATAGAGAGCGGGCCGTCAATATATTGCCCATGTGAACCAGCGGTGCGCTGCAGCATGGTCTTCATAGCTCCTCGACTGATGACGTATCCAGGCCCTCCATTGGCAAATAATGTGCCTTGGTCCCCCCGTTTTGGATCACGGCGTCCAGGCGATGGGGAGCCCATGTAGATATTTGCATCTGGATCGTATAGTTGAAGAAATCGGAAGAGGTTGTCCCAGAATATATACCTGGAAAAGAAGTGTCAATGCTGTAGAGCATCAACTGGGAAGCACAATTACTTACGTGTCTGTCTCATAAAAGACATAGAAGTCCCTATCAGGTTTCATGGCCCAGGCCCTTTCCATCATCGGTAAGAATTTGAACTTGTCCAGTGCCCATCCATTTATGTGCTTTTCTTGTGCTTCGGTATCCAATGTACCTTTAGTCTGCATCTCTTTCTGAGCAAGGTACTCTTCCCACATCTTGAAAGCCGTGGCATTATAGTGAGAGCTAGGTAGATGGGCCAGAATGTCGATGGCATGATGATCCCGAATTTCTTCGTCGAGGTCGGAGAAGACGATCAGTTCGTCTGGTGTAAAGCAGGCACTGGTGCTGTCCATCTGCGCGTTCAGCCTTTCTTTATCATCGCCATGGCCCGTCTTGAGCACTGGCTGTATCCGTGACAAGACATGTCTGGGAAATGAGTCGCAAAGTTGGCCAACGGAGTCTGTTTCCGGGCGTATAGACGCGGGCAGGAATTCGGTCACTGTATGCTGCGTAGAGTCGTTGGTTTGTGGGTATATCTGATAAGGCAGCAACGGGCCCTTCTCCGGTTCTCTGAGGTTGAATAGAATGACCGATAGTAGAATAAGACAGAAAGCAAACAAAATGATGTTCTGAATAGGTCGGCTATGCAATGCAGGTGGTATAAAAAGCGGTCGCGACAGCTTTCTCGAAAGAGCCATTCTACCTCCGATGGGGTTGAATTCTAAATGTTGAGGCTGCACTAGAGGAGTATAAGCTTTGTAAAAAAATATGCCAGCTAGTATATTTTGTACAAGTAATAAATTAAAACACCACCGAATATGTTACCGAACTCCTCTATATTTTCTAAATAGACATTGCATTCTCTAACTAGTTCTTCTATTATAATTTATTAAACAATATCCTCCTAGAATGGGCAATATTATTGATGAATTATTAGATTTTACGAAAATGTATCTGAATTGAATTCATACCGAAATGCCAGATTGGCCTAGTGTCGGCTTGAAATAGTACTAGCTCGCGTATCTTCAGTTGTTCTTGCCCTTACCTAATCTGCCGGCAGCACGCGTGTCAGCTGCTGCTAGTACTAGACTATGGTTCGATACTAAGGGATGCTGTTAATACTTACAACCTCGTCCGCCCGCCATCTCCGTTCGCGAGAGTCAAGTCTGATCAACGGGATCCACGGTCCATGACCCTTGGGCTATTCATCATGGAGCTGGATACCTTTCAGATTCGCTTCGGCGAAATTGCTCACGCCGTGTCTTCCAATTTCCAGAAACTCCCCGGTTCCGCCATGCTGGCGCGATACATCCAATCGAGTTACCAAAATGACCCGGTCCGATCTGCCATTGAGCTCGTCCTCGTTCTATTCTTCATACGCTACCTGATGTCACCCTCGTATTCTACTCACAAGCAGAATTTCGTCAAACTGCGAGAAGCTGTACGTTGCCCAAGTTGCCCAACCCGCAACCAACACGTTCTTACTGACCCTCTGCCATCTAGGAGATTGAGGAATTGATTGATGACTGGACTCCCGAGCCCTTGGTAGCGGATCAGACTCCCACGGAAGAACTCGAGAACGAAAAGCTACCGGTTATTGTAGGGTATGTCATATCGCTTTACGAGAATGTTGCACTTTACTGACCATCGAATCCCTGCCCCAGGCCGACGGGTCCGAAAGTCAAGCTATCTAATGGACGGACGGCCATCAATCTGGCATCGTACAATTTCTACAACTTCAACGCGAATGACCAAATCAAGGAGAAGGCCATCCAAACCCTGCGTACATATGGCGTTGGGCCTTGTGGCCCCCCTCAGTTCTATGGCACCCAGGACGTCCATGAAAAGGCCGAGGCGGATATTTCTACGTTTCTCGGCACGGAAGGCTGCATCGTATATGCGCAGACATTCTCGACGGTATCAAGTGTGATCCCCGCTTTTTGCAAGCGCGGCGATGTCATTATTGCGGACGCTGCTGCCAACTACTCCATTCGCAAGGGCCTCCAGATTTCAAGAAGCAACATCAGATGGTTCAAACATGGAGACATGAATGATCTAGAGAAGGTGATGAAGTCGGTCGCAAACGAACAGGCAAAGTCGGGCAAACTGACCCGCCGGTTTGTTGTCACAGAGGGCCTGTTTGAGACAACTGGTGATGTTACGGATCTGCCTCGACTGGTTGAGCTGAAGGAAAAGTACAAGTTCCGCATCATTCTGGACGAAACATGGTCATTTGGAGTACTTGGCCGAACTGGACGTGGTCTCACCGAAGCACAAAACGTTGATCCGCAACAAGTGGACATGATTATTGGATCACTCTCCGGTCCCCTGTGTGCTGGAGGTGGTTTCTGTGCGGGATCCAAAGATGTGGTTGTCCATCAGCGCATCACTTCCTCCGCTTATACCTACTCTGCCGCCTTGCCCGCAATGCTAGCCATGACGGCGAGCGAGTCTGTGAAACTACTGCAGTCGAATCCTGAGGTGCTTGTTCAATGCAGAGGGAATATCCGAGCATTGAGGGCACAGCTTGACCCACGTAGCGATTGGGTCGTGTGCACCAGCTCGCTGGACAATCCCATCTTGCTCCTAGTGCTGAAGCCCGAAGTTATCAAGGGAAAGAGACTGACGGTGGATGATCAAGAGAAACTCTTGATGGAATGCGTCGAGGAGGTACGTGGGCTTTCATACCTTGATTCTCTCGATGCGGGGAGATTATGGCTAACAATTACCAGTGTCTAGCAAATGGTGTTTTGATCACCCGACTGAAGACAAGGCCATATGCGAATGCAATGGCGGCCAAGGATGGAGATTGGACACTCCAGCCAGCCCTCAAAGTGTGCGTCACTTCTGCGCTATCTAAAAAGGACATTGAAAAGGCGGGCATTACGATTCGACACGCCATTACGAAGGTTATGACTCGGAAATCAACGAATAAGGCCATCTAACTCATAACTTCAATATCTCCTCCCCCCCCGGCTGTCCGGCTCTTTACCCCTTGATTATCTCTTCAGATGAAGCCATTGATCTTACGAAATAGAGAGCATTCCATACGAATTGTATAGTTTTAATCACATAGTAATACTAATAACCCCACTTATGAGAACAACAAAAAGGAGGATGTATACATAGGGACGTAATAGCAGACCTAAGGTATTAATAGAGAAACGATTTCCCTTGCATTGTTGATGTTGTCGCAGTTTATAAAAGCTAGCTGGGCTCATACATACCTTAGCTTGCTATTGCACGCTCAGCTTTTAGTGGTTATCTAATCAGTCTAAAATGGCTGGTCCACCTCGGGAATATCCTCTGTCAAGGCGCCCAGTGACAACAAGTAGCAGGTCAGGTAAGGTGTATTTCGTGCAGGAGCCAAGCTTCCCAGGCACTTCTGCACCTCACACGCCTTTATGAGACGATATTTCTCGGAACCTCGCAGCTCGCTGAGATTGAGCCACTGAGTGGTGGATTTGTTCTTCTCTGTCGCGATCAGCAGCTGACATGCCGCGACTGCTCTGTATGTGCTTCCGTCTCTGCAACGTCGCCAGTGCACTAACTGATGCCGCTTGAAGCCACAGCGCTGTCATTGCGTCGCGACCCTCGGCTGCTTAAGATACCCCCATACGTGTCTGCCCTCTGCATCGTCATTGGCGTCGTTTGGCTGCTTCTGCTGCCCCTGGACAACTATTCGAGGCGGACCTACGTATCGGAGAACGCTCTTCTGCCTGGCCAGGTGCACACGTACTTTGGAGGCAGCGAGCAACACATCTTCAGAGCATTCAGGCACGAGGTAGACCTGCTAGCCAGTAAGAGCAACTACGAGTCTGTGGCCGAAACGTGACCATCTTAGCGGTACACATGGCTAACGTGGCGACTAGGGTCAATGACAAGCTGGAAACCATCCTGACCGGCTTCGGAGTCAAAGTCGGCCGACAGAACTATACCTATCACTCGGCCGGGGAGATTTACAGCGGCGAGAATGTGTATGGCATCTTGCAAGCTCCTCGGGGCGACGCTACCGAGGCCATCGTTCTCGTGGCTGCATGGAAGAGCATAGATGAACAACTAAATCGCAATGGTGTTGCGCTCGTCCTCACTCTAGCTCGCTATTTCAAACGTCAGTCGGTGGTTCAGTTACTGGAGCTTTGCGCATGGAGTGTTTGTCCCTTTTAGCTGACGATCTGCAGGCTGGTCGTTATGGTCAAAGGACATAATTCTTCTACTACCTCCGGATAGTACAACCGGCACGCAGGCTTGGGTCGACGCATATCATGATGCGCATGATCCCGAACAAATCGCGCCATTGCCGCTCAAGTCCGGCGCGCTCCAGGGAGCTCTCGCGATCGACTATCCTCGTGAGGAGCGATATCACGAACTGCACATCATCTACGATGGTACGAACGGCCAGCTGCCCAATCTTGACCTCATCAACTCGATTGTCAACATCGCAGGTGGTCAGATGGGCATTGAAACTACCGTCCAGCAGATGGCTGGTCATACTGATAGCTATCACGACCGACTGCAAACAATGCTTCGTGGCATGCTCTATCAAGGCCTTGGGTACCCGACAGGCCCCCATAGTAGCTTCATCCCCTATCATGTCGACGCCGTAACTCTGCAGCCCAACGGCCAAGGATGGCACGACGAGATGGCGATGGGCAGAGTCGTGGAGGGATCTTTCAGGAGTCTCAACAATCTCTTGGAACATCTGCACCAGAGCTTTTTCTTCTACCTTCTTATGCAGAAGAATCGCTTTGTTAGCATTGGCACATATCTTCCTTCCGCTATGCTGCTTGCTGCCAATTTCACCATCATGGCCATCTTTCTTTGGGTGAAAAGTGGGCAACCGGCAGCCAAGAAAGGAGCCTCGGACGAGCCAAAGGCCGAGGATCCGGATCGCAAAGGCGTCGTCAAACAGACGCCTTGGCCCCCTTCTGCCGCAGAGCGGAACCTTCTCCCGCCGCTTGCCCTCGTTGCGACATGCCACGCCATCTCTGCGATTCCATTGTTCATCTTCAACCACCTTGACATCAAGGTAAGTTGGACACCACGTTCGTGCCTTTGATGACTGCTGGCCCCGGAGTGCTGACCAAATACTTTTTGTGACCAGACCTTGCCGCTGGCGTTTGCAGTATTCTCTGCGTCGTCCACTGCCCTTCCAGCCGTCTTCTCCTTCGCCGCTGCCTCGCTCCACAAGCCCACCTCGCAATATCTTCAGCTTACAAAATCCTTCTCGCTGTTGATTCTCGGCGTATCCCTCGCCACGCTCAGTACACTCAATTTCTCACTCGCTTTTCTGGTCGGGCTTCTGGCTGGCCCTCTCACTTTCATCCAACCTACCAACAACCGGCCTATTAGTTTGATTTTCGCAGCACTGTTGATCTTGACTTCACCACCTGTTGTGATTTCAACTGCAACATGGACTAGCGGCCTCACCATGTCGGAGGTGTTGAAAGCTGCCAGCTTTGGTTGGAACGTGTGGGGGATGTACACACCAGTCGTTATATGGTGTGTGTGGTGGCCCGCCTGGCTCATTGGCGCGACAAACACTCTGAGTCCTGTTTCTTAGATGTGACGAGATTCCCGTCCTTTCGGCCTTGGTATTGGCTTTGATCCTTTCCCTTAATAGACTAAACGCCGTGCTGTAACGTGTGCTTGGATCTCGCCGAATAGTTCAATGGCGAATTAGATAGGGCATAATCACTGGATGCATAGGCGCAGAAGCTTTGCATGCTACTCAAGTGCTCAATGGAGTTGAAGTGCTTCTTTTGCGGTAATCTATATACTGCCTCTCCAATCTAGCATTTGCATGTTCCACAGAGGTGCAGTTGACTGTGGTGATGCTTATGCAGCCCAAACATCTTGCCCAGCCGCCTCAATCCAGTTCCCAAGCTGGTTGACATTGGAGTCCCACTCCAGCAGTCGGTTGCGCATACTCTCAATTTGTTTCATGTCCAACACCTTCGGCTGCACCCAGGTGATGTGTGCAATCTGGCTGACTTGGTCTATCGATCCGCGAAGAAGGCCCAGGCTCAAGGCCTTCATCACCAGATGCTCGATTTCTTGAGGCTGAACTTTGGTTTCCTGGGAAATAGTAGCAAAGGACATGGTCCTGTCGTGCGGTGGTCTGCGGAAGACAGCTTCCGTCAGCGCGGCCAGGTAGATCTTCTGCCGGAGGCTGTCCGAGTTGTCCTTTAACAGCTGGTTGGACGCAATGTTATCTGAGAGAAGGTCGTAGGCAGCAAGGTCTCCCCTGTTGTAGGCGAAGAGGAGGTCGCGCAACCAAGCATTATCCTCGCTTCGGCCCAGGGTGTCCAGAATGGGATGCAGCAATAACTCGCCAAAGTTGTAGATGCTGGTAGATACCAGGGCGGCAACGCTTAGGTAGTAGGCTCTTCGAAGTCGTTCCTCGTCAGAGAGCGATGACAGGTCGATACACGCCAGATAAAGAAGGGCGGTCCGGTAGTAGTTTGCAAAGTCCGCCTTACGCTAACAGATGGCCGAGTTAGTGAGATGTTTCAAAATGGCCTTGCATTGCGTAACAGGACAACCCACCTGATAGTAGCTGGCGCTGGCATCGTAGAACGCGGCGTGGACCACCGCCTCAACAGAGTCGAATGAATCCAGCAGCTTCTCTGCGGCATCCAAGTCCTTCTTTGCGTCTTCCAGCTCGCCGAGGCTCAGTTTGACCCGGGCCACTGCGACCGAAGCAAACACCAACGCATCCTGAGAGTCCTCCGTGTCCACCTTCTTGAGTACTGACTGTAGGAAGGCCAGACGCTCGCGATCATCTTTTCGATTGTTAGTATTCCAGTATCGCCCCTGAATAGCGGGGAGCCCGAGACGAACCTTTGCACTGTGTGGCAGCCTTGAGGGCCAGCAACACCAACTTCAGCTTGTTAATCTTATCGGCAAACTTGAGGATGAAGACATTGTAGAAGGCCAAGCGCTGCGGGGCGCTGCCATCGTGGTTGAAGAATTCGACGAGGGCGTCTGTGAGTTGGTGCCAAAGCTTGCGCTCCCAGTAGTCCTCGAAGTTGAGGATGAGCGGCTGGAGCTCTTCCGGAGCTGCGTCTCGTTGCTCAGCAAGGAAATCGGAGATGCTGTCGGCGCTCATGATGCAGAGATACCACGACGAGTGGTGATCATGCGAAGCTTGTCGCTTGGTTTACCGAGCTCGATGAAGTATTTGACAGGCGGCAGAGGACGTATCGTGGCGACGTAGTGTTATTGCCCAGGCAGAGTGTTGTAGGGCCACAGCGCTTTCGGATCTGAAATTGTTGAGAGGTGGTTTGGGATGGTTCGAGGTGGTGGTTGATGCGTAGTGTGAGGATGTATGCAATGCAGCCTTACTACATGGGTCGCTGCAGCGAATAACGTGGCAGCTAGCTGCCTAGCGCATTGAGTTGCAGCCTTGTGCCATCTGGACTATGACGGAATAACGTCTTTGAATGGCCCAGTCGGAGTAGTACAAGTATTAGCGTGAACACAGGTCCTTGATGAGGCGCCGCGAGTTGAACCAAGCAGTATATATCATCTTTCGGGCTCTTAAAAGTAACATTTGAACTACCAAGAAACAAAGAGAAAGAATAAATTATGCATACAGGGACGGGCTCTACTCAGGTAGTACTTTCATACTTTGCCCATTCGTATCATGAGGCAACTCTCCGGGAGGCACTTCGTACTGCACCAACTTTTCGCCGGATCTGGTCAATCTAGAACCTCGGCTCGCGTTATGTAATGCGACGAGTGAGTATAAGAGGCACTGCAGACCTCCCCCAGCCTCGGTCATATGGCCGTGTATTGAATCCCGATCTACCTACTATCCTCCGGACGCGGAACTGCGTCATGTACTAGCTATCGGCGTATGCTCTCAGTCGGCGCAAATAACACTCGTCTTTCATATCTGGGGGGTAAACAAAAACCGCACTCAAAGCCGTTGAAGAGACGACGAGAGAGCCGCCATGGCAGCTGCTCTTGTAGCCCTTCCCGTGGTGCAGCAGCTGAGCCCGCGCTGCATCCGAATTCTGGGTGGCAACCCGGGGAAATTCTCGCTGCAGGGCACCAACACCTACCTGCTAGGCTCCGGCCATTCTCGTATCTTGATCGATACCGGCGAAGGTCGCCCAGCTTGGATACAGGCGCTGAAGGAAACGCTTACCGATGAGAAGGCGACGGTCAAGTTGGCACTAATAACGCATTGGCATCACGACCACACCGGCGGGATTGCGGACCTGGTCAATGCTTTTCCCCAAGTGAAAATATTCAAAAATAGCCCGGATGCTGGGCAGTTACCTATTCAAAACGGCGATGCTTTCGAGGTCGAGGATGCGACTCTAACGGCCTGCCACACTCCTGGCCATACCAAAGATCACATGGTCTTCGTGCTAACCGAGGAAGATGCCATGTTTGCAGGCGACAATGTCCTTGGGCAGGGCACTGCTGTATTTGAGGACCTGGCGACGTACATTCAGAGTCTGAAGGAGATGAAGACACTCTTCTCCGGACGACTTTATCCTGGCCACGGCCCTGTGGTTGACAATGGGCCGGAGAAGATTGCCGAGTATATCGAGCACCGCCGTCAGCGAGAGGAAGAAGTCCTACGAGCAATGAGGGGCGGCGCTCCGGACAGTAACTCTAACGACAACAACAAGGAGACCTGGACGGCAATGGAGATAGTCAAGGTTGTATACAAGGATGTACGTGAAGATTTACACATGGCGGCTTGCGGTGGGGTTGTGCAGATGCTGGCCAAACTAGAGCAGGATGGAAAGGTCAGACAAACCGAGGACGGATGGCAGCTACAAGATGCTAAGAGCGTGATATAACTGTTACTTTGGCTATGCGTCGTTGATATGAATAAACCAGAGGCTGCATGATCAGGTGCAGTGACATACCTGACTCGAGGCAAAGTCACGGCTTTGAAGGGCCAAGGCTACCAGATTTGGCGATACTAAGCGCAGATTTAGTGCATGATTCTAAAGCCTGGGTTTGCATGTGATTTGTCCCTAACCTCACTACTTAGTATCTACTAGATATACTAATACTACTAAGATCTCGCCCATGCTTCATAGAAACACATCATCCAATAGCGTTTACAGCCATTTCTTGAGGTTGGCTTTCCACCGCCATGTCGGCCGACTTCTGGGCGGGCTATCTCAGCGGAATCGTCGGCATCATAGTAGGCAACCCCCTAGACATTGAAAAAGTACGTCGGCAAACCAGAAGCCATGTGGCCGAGAAGATATACAGCCAGAGCTCGGCGGCGTTCATGAAAGGCACCGCTGCTCCCATCTTTGGCTACGGGGCCCTGAATGCACTGCTGTTCTTTTCCTACAACCGGTCAGAAGCAATCTTGAAAGGCTCGGCAGCAACGCCGACTGCCGGATGGGTCACCTGGACGGCCGGAGCAGTGAGCGGCCTTGCGGTCTGGGTAGTAAGCGCTCCGACCGAACTGATCAAATGCCGGGCTCAAATGTCCACGCCCGCCATGTCGAGCTGGGCGATTTTCAAGCAGATCCTGCAACGAGAGGGTGTGAGGGGACTCTATCATGGCGGAGTCGTAACGGCGCTCCGAGACAGTATCGGTTATGGCTTCTACTTCTGGACATATGAATTGGCTCATCGCCACTGGCCCGCTGCGCGAGAGCACGACGACGCTGCCTCTGGGAGACGAGACACGTCAAAGATACTGCTGTGCGGCGGCCTTGCCGGAATCGCGACCTGGGCCAGCGTGTTTCCTCTCGACGTCATCAAATCACGCCTTCAGACACAGCAACAGCAGTATTCCCACGGCGCAACCACGGATATGGCGGGCAACAGGCGGTATGGAGCGTGGCAGATGGCGAAGGACACATACAGAGACGGCGGGATTCGTCCCTTCTTTCGGGGCCTAACTGTCTGCAGCGTCAGAGCCTTTGTTGTTAATGCCATTCAATGGGCTGTGTATGAGTGGATCATGAGCGAAGTGACAATAGGCAATGAACGTCAAATGAAACTGCTTCCAGAAGCTGATTCTTAACAAACTCACTGATACCTACATCAGTAGATATCTAACAGTATCTCAAGAGTATAACACACAGTCATGGAAACCATCGTATAACCTTTGTCTCGTCACCTGTCAGATTCTCAAGCATCGACTTGCCTCTACCAGTGTGATGATGTTTGGTAGAGCAACCTTGGGGTTTCATTAGCTTGTCACCAAGTTGACGAGGCTTCTCATAAGACGTAAGGACATTAACCAGGTCGAGGCGCTTAGATGTTGGTCCGTGGTCGCTGATGCTAATGGAAAGTCCTTGAAGAGATTCCAGGTGACCTGCGTTTTCAGGCGCAACATTTTAGAAGGCTTTGGGCTACCTTATAATGAAAGCAGGCAGCTATGTACCTACCTTGTAGTGCGTCGCACCTTCCTCGGATGTAAATGATGCTTCGTAAGCCAGAGAGAGGTTGGTGTTTACATTGATCACGTGAGACCGCGTCTCAGTCTCGTGCGCCGAGCCACGACCTGATCGTATCTAGACGCGTCGATGAATCCATCTCCTGGTGTACTGTATGACTCTGCTTGGAAGCGCCAGCGTGTTGATTTATTCGTTTGTTTCTTTGTTCTGATACCCAGGCCCTTTGAAGACTGCCTCTGTTCATCATGACGGCTACGTAGGTGATTCTGACCTCCAGCTGAGTGGACGTGCATCTTTATTGACAAATCTAGTCCGCCCTCAATCTCGGCGCTGAAAGATGGAACGCCCGGCAGATTAAATCGCCAGGCGTCGAGGCCTCAGAATCTGGACACGCTTCGCAAACCGTTCAAATGCCCCTCATCAGCCACCGCAGCATCAACGTCGGATCGCCCTGCTAGAAAGAAGAGGAAGGTTGATTACAGAGGTGCCGATGAAAACGGACCATCGAGTGTCGATGCATCATACGACGGTAGTGGTCGCCAAATACCATCACTGCCCAAGTTCCCAGTCTTCCAAGTGAAGGATAAAAGTGTCGTCTTCCGAAAGGCCTTCTCCATCCCCCTAAAGGACAAGTCGCAGGCCACATACGATGCATCAAGGCCGCCACCGACTCTTGGTCTCCGACGCGGCGTTGTTTTTGTCCCCAAGCCTCTGCACGATCCGTCTGGAGAATTTGCCATTGTTCTGTACGACCCCACGGTTGATGCGAAGCCGGTTGCAGCTCAAGAGATCGCGGTACAACCACAGGCAGAACCCTCCAAAATTGACAGCCCCATCGTGCATAAAAGCCTGGCTGAGATTCTCGGAATCAAGAAACAAGTGGAAGAAGATCACCCGAAAGTGCCGGTCGTCATTGATCCCAAGCTCGCCAAATGTCTCCGTCCTCACCAGATTGAAGGAGTCAAATTCATGTATAAGTGTGTTACGGGGCTAGTTGACGAGAAGGCCCACGGATGCATCATGGCCGACGAGATGGGACTCGGCAAAACGCTCCAATGTATTACCCTCATGTGGACGTTGCTCAAGCAATCCCCCCATGCCGGAAAATCCACTATACAGAAGGCCATCGTGGTGTGCCCTGCGAGTTTGGTGAAGAACTGGGCAAACGAGCTGACAAAATGGCTCGGTCCTAATGCCATCAACCCCTTTGCCATTGACGGCAAGGCGCCCAAGGAAGAGTTGAGGCGACAGCTTCGCCAATGGGCGATTGCCTCTGGCCGATCCATCACTCGACCGGTCATCATCGTCTCGTACGAGACTCTGCGTCTCAATGTTGAGGAGCTCAAGCACACCAAGATCGGCCTCCTGTTTTGTGATGAAGGCCATCGCCTGAAGAACGCAGACAGCAACACCTTCAACGCTCTCAACGACCTGAATGTGTCCAGACGAGTCATCCTAACCGGCACTCCTATTCAAAACGATCTGACAGAATACTTCGCCTTGACCAGTTTTGCCAATCCGGATCTACTTGGATCGCGATTGGAATTCCGAAAACGTTTCGAGATCCCCATCTTGCGTGGCCGTGATGCAGATGCATCGGAAGAAGACCGCAGACGCGGAGACGAATGCACCAGCGAACTGCTCGGTGTTGTCAACAAGTTCCTGATTCGCCGAACAAATGACATTCTGTCCAAGTATCTTCCGGTCAAGTATGAACATGTGGTGTTTTGCAACTTGGCTCCGTTCCAGATCGACCTCTACAATTATTTCATCACGAGCCCGGACATCCAAGCCCTTCTCCGCGGTAAAGGCAGCCAGCCTCTGAAGGCCATCAACATTCTCAAGAAGCTTTGCAACCACCCCGATCTTCTGAATCTTTCGGATGACCTTCCTGGCTCAGAAAAATGCTTCCCGGATGACTATGTTCCCAAGGAAGCTCGCGGAAGGGATCGGGATATCAAGCCCTGGTATTCGGGGAAGATGCAAGTCCTCGATCGAATGCTTGCTAAGATTCGAGAAGACACCAATGACAAGATTGTCCTCATCAGCAACTACACATCGACCCTGGATCTTTTCGAACGTCTCTGCAGGGATCGCCAATACGGATGTCTACGCCTCGACGGAACCATGAACGTGAACAAGCGTCAAAAACTGGTTGATCGTTTCAACGACCCAAACGGAGACGAATTCATCTTTTTACTGAGTAGCAAGGCGGGAGGCTGCGGCATCAATCTCATCGGAGCGAACCGCCTTGTACTTTTTGATCCGGATTGGAACCCTGCTGCTGATCAGCAAGCCCTGGCCCGAGTCTGGAGAGACGGCCAGAAGAAGGATTGCTTCGTCTACCGCTTCATCGCCACCGGCACCATTGAGGAGAAGATCTTCCAAAGGCAGTCCCATAAGCAGAGCTTATCATCGTGCGTGGTAGATTCTGCCGAAGACGTGGAGCGTCATTTCTCCCTCGACAGTCTGAGAGAGCTCTTTCAATATCGACCAGACACGACCAGCGACACCCACGACACATTCAAATGCAAAAGATGCAAGCCCGATGGCAGACAGTTTATCAAGGCGCCTGCTATGCTGTATGGCGATACGAGCACATGGAACCATTTTGTGAATTCTGGGCTGCAGCCCATACAAGATTTGCTGCTTCGCCAAGAGCACGGAGGGAGCGAGGTTTCTGCTGTATTTCAATACATATCGCATTAAAATTAGACTTAGCTAGACGCTTTCAGTTGCCCAAGATATTAGGATGAACTGGTACTAGTACTATGATTCGCGATGGCATTGCTGGGGATGTTATTCTCCAGGACCGTCACCAATGACTTGCAATAACGAGGCGCTCGACAAACCGAAACGAAATGACAAGACGCAAACCATGAACCACTATTTATTACTCCTGGCGCTTTGAACGGCCTGCCCTGGTGCTGCCTGTGAATGTTGACAAAAAGCAGCCGTTGCTCCGTCGTAACAAGGGCAAACAGCTCCGTGTGGCACTGCTAGAGGCCGGAGCTCCGGCTAAAGCCACGTCGGGTTCCGAGATGTATTGCCGAGAACTTCGCAAAAGCGAGCTCCTAGAACGGCGACCGATGATTCGGCTGCCTCGTGCCGAGGTCAAGGCGCGGCTACTCGTGCTCCGTCCTACGAAGTATGTAGTATTACAAACATGCGCTTTGCGCTGTGATACCTGTCCGGTTGATGTTCTGCATTCCAGTCAAGGCCGCGGTCGGATTGGTGCGCACGGCGATGTCGCTGAACCCTGAAGAGAAGAGACCACTCATGCATCGCCGATTTGTCCTCCCGGCAATGCGTCTCAACGAAGCTCGACGTCACATGCCTAGGAGGAAGCATTTCGCGCACATTCTACAAGCCCAGAAGGCTAGTAGGGGTCAGCATCTGATGATGCACCACACCTGGGCATGTTTCGAATTAGCGCTGCAAAGATGGAGGGCACGCTGGAATTATGTACGCAGCTGTGTGGTCAACCGCGGGAATCATCGATTGCATGAGGCTCTCATTACTTCATAGTGCTTCCATCGCACGTTGCCTGTGATCTACAGCGACCGACACACAGTCTATTAACACGCCTACAGTACCTAGCCAGTATGTATACGTAGTAGCAACTGGAGAGAACATCACCTGGGACCAACGGCAACTGCCACGTTGTAGCGCCACGAAAACGCCCAGGTAACGGGGCAGCCCGCCACGGAGAGCGCCACTACTACATGTAGCAGCACTATCATGAACAGCAAGAGAGGGACAAGAGGAGAACCTGAAGAAAAAAAATTCCAGCCTCCAGCGGAAGGCCAGGTTGAGCTCGGCTGGGCAAGGCAAGGCCTAGCTCGGCACAACTGACACGACGGACCAAGGGATTATGATTAGACGGCCTGTGAGTGGCCAGCCGGGCTAGGGCCATGCCAGCTCCCAGACGCACATTCTGTCATTGTCCTGCTATCCCGGCCGCGGGGGCTCCATCTATTGCCCGTCTGGGCGTAGCGACTGGTGCCCAGAAGCCGCCGGAAAACACCTCTCCCCCACCCAGGCAAAGCCGGCTCTCCACTCTGGGTTCTTTATAACAATCCCCCCCCTCGACGGTGATTTTTCTCGTTCTTGATGTTGTCTGATTTCCGCTGCCTTGCCAGCATCACAGCTATTCCAATTGACTGCAGTCGCTAGACCCTCCGCAATTGGCCGAGTCTGCACCATGCTTGCTTCCAGACAGGTTCTGGGCAGTATTGCTCGGAGCCGCGCCCTGGGTGGCGCGGCCAGCAGCGTTCGCCGTCTGGCTACCGTCTCTGATTCCGCCCTCGACCGAAAGGTATGGTAGAGAACAGATGTTCCCATCTTGTAGCCCGTCTGCTTGTGTGTGCTTGCTTGGTGCTCGGGGCGCTTGTGCTGACATGGTTTCCGCGTGCAGGTCCGCCAGAACAACTGGGAGGAGAACAACTTCATCAACTACAAGAAGATGTCCGAGAACCTCTCCATTGTCCGCAGCCGGCTTAACCGACCCTTGACCTTTGCCGAGAAGATTCTGTACTCCCATCTGGACGACCCCCACAACCAGGAGATCGAGCGAGGCAAGTCCTACCTCAAGCTGCGCCCTGATCGCGTGGCTTGCCAGGACGCCACTGCTCAGATGGCCATCCTGCAGTTCATGTCTGCCGGCATGGACTCCGTTGCGAACCCTACCACTGTCCACTGCGACCATCTGATCGAGGCCCAGGTCGGCGGCGCCAAGGATCTTGAGCGCGCCATTGGTATCAACAAGGAGGTCTACGACTTTTTGTCCACTGCTTGTGCCAAGTACAACATTGGTTTCTGGCGTCCCGGCTCTGGTATCATCCACCAGATTATCCTTGAAAACTATGCTTTCCCCGGTGGTCTCCTCATTGGTACCGACTCGCACACTCCCAACGGTGGTGGTCTTGGTATGGCCGCCATTGGTGTTGGTGGTGCTGACGCTGTTGACGTCATGGCCAACCTCCCTTGGGAACTCAAGGCCCCCAAGATCCTCGGTGTCAAGTTGACTGGTCAGATGTCCGGCTGGACTGCGCCCAAGGGTAAGTTGACTTTCCGCCGAGCTCAGCGTCCACTTTTACTGACGTTCGATTTGCAGACATCATTCTCAAGGTCGCTGATATCCTGACTGTCAAGGGTGGTACCGGCTACATCGTTGAGTACCACGGCCCTGGTGTTGAAGGCATCTCTGCCACTGGCATGGGTACCATTTGCAACATGGGTGCTGAGATTGGCGCCACCACCTCTCTTTTCCCCTTCAACGACCGCATGTATGACTACCTTGCTGCGACCAAGCGCAAGGATATCGGAGATTTCGCCCGCGCTTATGCTCCTGAGCTCCGCGAGGACCAGGGTGCCGAGTATGATCAGCTCATCGAGATCAACCTGTCTGAGCTCGAGCCCCACATCAACGGTCCCTTCACCCCCGATCTGGCCACTCCCATCTCCAAGTTCAGCCAGGCTGTCAAGGAGAACAACTGGCCCGAGGAGCTCAAGGTCGGCTTGATCGGTTCTTGCACCAACTCCTCCTACGAGGACATGTCCCGCGCCGCATCCATTGCCCGTGACGCTCTCGACCACGGCCTCAAGTCCAAGGCTGTTTTCACCGTGACCCCCGGTTCCGAGCAGATCCGCGCCACCATTGAGCGTGACGGCCAGCTCCAGACTTTCGAGGAGTTTGGCGGCATTGTTCTCGCCAACGCTTGCGGTCCCTGCATTGGTCAGTGGGATCGTCGGGATGTGAAGAAGGGTGAGGCCAACTCCATCCTCTCCTCGTACAACCGAAACTTCACCGGACGTAACGACGGCAACCCCGCTACCCACTCTTTCGTTACCTCCCCCGACCTGGTTGTTGCTCTCTCCATCGCCGGTACCCTGCACTTCAACCCCCTCAAGGACAAGCTGGTTGACAAGGACGGCAACGAGTTCATGCTCAAGCCTCCTACCGGCGACGGTCTCCCTGTCCGTGGCTACGATGCCGGCCAGAACACCTACCAGGCCCCGCCCAAGGAGCGTGCCGACGTCAAGGTCCAGGTCAGCCCCACCTCTGATCGTCTCCAGATCCTGGAGCCTTTCGCTCCCTGGGACGGCAAGGACGCCAAGGATGTGCCCATCCTGATCAAGGCCAAGGGCAAGACCACCACCGACCACATCTCCATGGCTGGTCCCTGGCTGAAGTACCGTGGCCACCTTGACAACATCTCCAACAACATGCTGATTGGTGCCATCAACGAGGCCAACAACGAGGCCAACAAGGTCCAGAACTTCACCACTGGCGAGTGGGATGCTGTCCCCGCTGTTGCCCGTGACTACAAGAAGAAGGGCATCAAGTGGGTCGTTGTCGGCGACTGGAACTACGGCGAGGGTAGCTCCCGTGAGCACGCTGCTCTGGAGCCCCGCCACCTGGGTGGTCTGGCTATCATCACTCGAAGCTTTGCTCGTATCCACGAGACCAACCTGAAGAAGCAGGGTATGCTTCCTCTGACCTTTGCTGACCCTGCCGACTACGACAAGATTAAGCCTGATGACCGGGTAAGCTCCCCACATCTACCCATGACTCCCCTCCGGCATGAAGTTGTGAATACTAATGGATTATATAGATCGACCTTCCCTGCACCCAGCTTGCTGTCGGAGAGCCCCTCGTCATGACTGTCCACCCCAAGGAGGGCAAGCCTTTCGAGGTTAAGCTGCTGCACACCTTCAACGAGGCCCAGATTGAGTGGTTCAAGAACGGTAGCGCCTTGAACACCATGGCCAAGAAGACTCAGAACTAAAAAGAAAGAGAAAATCGGAGTGTGGAAGAAAGCGGCGTGGAGGTGGTGACGTTGAAAGCCCACAATTACGTGTAACATTCTCAAGCGATGAGGAAGTCGACCGGGGTGGTCTATCAGGCTCGATGCGTTGGAAGTCATTATATGCTTTTTAAGTGTACTCTGTATGTAACTTGTGATTCCCATGTCTAGTATATATAATGAAGGGCAAAATAAAAAGGAAAAAATTTATAAACAACAAAAACATCTGCCTCATTTGGGATGTGTGTCAACAAGAGGGGGAGAACGGCATGCCTTTACTATTTGCAAGCTTGTGGTAGGGGAGGATACTCGGGAGTTTGGCCTTTGCTGGTGTACAGAGTATTGAAGGTGTTGACGGTGAGGTAATGAGGGGTAATACTACCTTAGTAGTGGCCGTTGCTTCTTTTCATTTCGTGTATGTACTACGGAGGTTGTTCCCATCGATTGGATGCACCATGGAAGTTTCTTGGGCCGGCGAGGCGCCAACTGTTAACAAATGGGGGATTTTCCTTAGCACCTCGCTTTGCAGCGGGCGCCTTATGTAAACAGTACTAGTAAACGCCCATGCATAAGGCAAGGTAAGGTAAGGTAGTAGCTCGTCTCCATCAAATACACCCACCTTACCCACCCAAGGTAGAGCTCGCAACTCCCGCTCCTAGACATCCACCATCGTCATCGTCCACAGCCTCGACCGCCGCTCGTCTCCCTCGACCGAACCAAGCATGAAACATCTAGGAATATGGATGCCAATATCCAGCGAGCGCTGAATGACAAGCTATACGATAAGCGTAAAGTTGGGGCTCTCGAGTACGGCACAGGTCCTGCCCAGCTGTCCATGCACTGGCATGTATATGTTGCTTACCGTTGTTGTATGCCCCTAGACTTGAGAAGATAATACGAGATCTTGTTGCTTCTGGCTCGTTCCAACGCGTGGAAGAAATCCTCGAGCAGTTATGTAATGACTATGCTTATGCTGTTCACCAACCACATGCTCGAAATGGTGGCTTGATTGGTCTAGCCGCCGCGGCGATTGCGCTCGGCACGGTACGTTCAGCTTTCTGTATAGCTCGGATGCCGACCGTAGGACGATTCACGACCCATCGCGAATGATCTCGTCCTGCCTACCGCTTTGTATTCTCCATAATGTCATGCTCTGTCAAAGCCCGCCCCCTCGTTTGAATCTGTGAAGACCTCTGCGTTTGGCGGTGTCGTTGCTGACGCTCGTTGCAGGAGCTACCTCGCTATCTCGTAAACATCGTCCCTCCCGTGCTTGCATGCTTCACCGATCAGGATGCGAGAGTCCGATACTATGCCTGTGAGGCAATGTACAACATTGCCAAGGTGGCCAAGGGGGAGATACTGGCTTATTTCAACAGCATATTCGATCAGCTATGCAAGGTATGCTGGCCAATCCACGCTTAATGGACGGGTGAAGGGGGTGCGAAGGATTGGACATGAGGACTGCCTTATTGACTGGATGTTCCTTTTAGCTTGGGGCAGATTCGGAACTGTCAGTCAAAAATGGAGCCGAACTCCTGGATCGACTCATCAAGGACATCGTCGCTGAGTCGGCCGCCTCCTACGTTTCAGTATTGGAAACCTCCTCGCTCGAGGATGGTACTACCACCAGCGAACAGCAGCAGAATCTACCCACTGCCTTCTCATTGCAACGCTTCATCCCGCTGCTCAAGGAACGCATCCATGTCATCAACCCCTTCACTCGACAGTTTCTCGTTGGTTGGATCACTCTTCTGGATTCAATCCCAGACCTGGAATTGGTAACGTACCTCCCGGAGTTCCTTGGTGGGCTCCTCAAGTTCCTCAGCGATCAAAATGTCGATGTTCGAGTGGCCACGCAAAACTGCCTCGACAAGTTTCTCAACGAAATCAAACGAATCTCCCAAGTGAAACGAGGGCTGGTCGAGAGCAGAAAGTTCAAGGAAGGGGGTAAACGGAAGCGCCAAGAGTCTATGGACAGTATTAGCGGTCGCCCTAACCTGGAAGAAGGGGACGAGCTCGATTCGGAGGCTTTGAATGACGATGACGAGGACAGCTTGGAGGACGACTGGATCCCCGGCCAGGATGTAGAGATCAACTACAAAGAAATCCTAGATATCCTTACCGCCACTCTCGATTCCCCATTAGGTTCGTGGTCACTTGCAGTCCTATCTGACTGTTATTGCTTATGATGGATGCTGACAGTGGTGAAGAGGAGGATTGTCTCCTCGAATCACTCAGGTGGATCGTGGAGTTTCTCGATATCTGCCCCGAAGAGGTGCTACCTTTTACGCCCAAGATCCTGGCGCATATGCTCCCTGCAATGGCCAGCACCAAGGAGACGATTCGCCTTGCTGCGACAAGAGTCAACACTTGTCTGATGGACTACGTGGTTTCTCTATCAGATGAGTCCGATGTTAATGCAAGCCAGGGATCACGACTCCCGTCGGGACAGGAAAGGCAAGAGAGCAGCAGTCTCGGTCGGACATCGATGTCGAACTCAAGGGATACCGAAATACGTAGCGCAACGCCGGGCAGTGGTCGAATGTCTTCCGCTGCGAACGCTACACCGGATGCGACTCAAGTCCAAGCGAATCTCGACTACACTGCTGCTGTGAACTCACTTACCTTACTCTTCCTTAATGACCATGAAGCTACCCGTGTAGCTGCTCTCACTTGGCTCATCATGCTACATAGAAAAGCGCCACGCAAGGTACTGGCTTTCAACGACGGCACCTTTCCGGCGCTTCTCAAGACGCTCTCCGATCCGTCTGATGCTGTTGTGACCAGAGATCTACAGCTCCTGTCTCAGATATCTCGCAACAGCGAGGACGATTACTTCGCCAGCTTCATGGTAAACCTGCTACAGCTCTTCTCTACGGATCGTAAATTGCTAGAAACCAGAGGCAATCTCATCATACGGCAGCTTTGCATCAGCCTCAGTCCAGAACGCATCTACCGAACGCTGGCCGAATGCATCGAAAAGGAGGAAGATGTCGAGTTCGCCAGCATCATGGTGCAGAACCTGAATAACAATCTGATTACGGCACCTCAATTAGCGGAAGTGCGTAAGCGGCTGAGGAATCTGGAAACGAAGGTATTTGGAAGCCCTCTCCCCTCTCCCTCCAAACAAAGATGCGCAAGCTTCGACTAACACAGACGTGCAGGATGGCCAGACCCTGTTTGTAGCTCTGTTCAGGTCGTGGTGCTACAACGCAGTGGCGACGTTCTCTCTCTGCTTGCTTTCTCAAGCTTATGAGCAGGCATATCATCTATTGCAAATCTTGTAAGTTTTATTGTCAGGTTATCTCTAAAACATGGTCGAGATGCTCATGATTGGATAGTGGCGAATTGGACATGACGGTCAACATGCTCATCCAAGTTGACAAGCTGGTTCAGCTTATCGAATCACCCGTCTTCACATGTAAGTGCTCGACTTGTGGTACGGGAGAGGAACAACGGCGTATGGAACCGGGACGACATCTTGCTAACGTACAAAATTCCTTTGACAAAACAGATTTGCGCCTGCAGCTACTTGAACCTGAGAAATACCCCTACTTGTACAAGTGCATGTACGGGATCCTCATGCTTTTGCCTCAGTCCTCTGCGTTTGCGGCGTTGAAGAATCGGCTCAACAGTGTAAGCTCGATTGGATTCTTGCAAGTGGTGCCGCGAAGGTAAGCTTTGCCAATAATTTGGGGTGCTTTGAGTCTGAAGGCGTGGCTTCACATATCTTGTGCTGTCTCGGATACTAACAGGCGGCGTCGAATATAGCATGGCAGCAGCGCCAGCCTCGTCGAATTATGACCGACCAAACCGACTGAAGGGGCGAGAGGATGGGGCCATACGATGGGTCGAGCTTCTAGAGAAATTTCGCAGTGTCCAGGAAAGAGCACGAAGAAGCCAACGACACAGCATGGAAATTGAGGACACCCTGTCGGCTGGAGTGGGCGACTTTCGGATGGGAGGAGACGCATCGCCAGAGAGCAAACCTAGGGACGGCATGCGAGGTGGCCCTGCTGGTCCAGCTGTGCCATTGAAAGATCAGGCACCTGCCATAGCTTCGCCGCCGGTGGTTAAGAAGTCAGGGCTCGGGAGGCAGTTTGGAAGATTGGGGGGCGCCGTTTCGGGGAAGAACCGTCGAAATCAGTAGATACCATGGTAATACCTTGAGAGAAGAGACAGTAATGATGCAACAGCTGAGCTGCAGTTGACTACCGCGCGTCTTGCTGCGAAAGAGCGGCAATCTGCTCGCTGAGCTCCCTCACATGAAAGATCAAGGCTTGATACCGCTGCTCCAGCTCAATGACGTCGCCAATTGCGATGTGCGGCGTGGTGACGGACGCACCAAGAGCCGTGACCCGGTCGTGGAGGTCGGGCAGTTGGGCAGAGACGGTCTTGATCCTCCGCTGCACGTCCAGGTTCTGCTTGGCCAGGTCCGAGGGCGGCTTGTAGCAGTCGCTCTGCAGCGTATGGAGCAGCTCTTCCGCGGCCTCCGTCTCCCTCTGGAGGTGGCGCTCAAAGGCATCGACCCGTGCGGCCGTCTGCTCGGCGCCGTAAATGGTGCCCTGGAGACGCAGCATCAGGCGGCCGATGTGGTCGGGATCCGGGCTCGCGGTGGCGGCCTCCGAGGCCACGGCGGTGAGGACGTTGAGGGCGCTCGCCCCGTCCTTGGGCAGGCTGTGCTCAATGGCATCGAGCAGATGGCCCTTTGTGAGCGCGGTGCCGCCGCTGTTGTTGTTGGCGGGCTCGGCCTTGTCGTGGGCGCTGAGCCCCTGGAGAGCCGTGGCATCGACCCGCGCTAGGAGGCGGCGCTGCTCGTCGGCCGCTTCGTTGATGGACACGAGGGCCAGCAGCGCCTTGAGCGTGTCCTGGTTGCGCTCGAAAGGCGGCAGCGAGCTCTTCCACGCGGGCGACTTTGAGGCGAGCCAGGCGTCGACGTAGGACCAGTCCCGGGCGGTGGACGCTGCGATGCGGGCGACGGACGGCGAGAAGATGGCCGCTGAATTGTCAGGGAGCCGGTGGGCCATTGTGCTGGAATTGACGGCTTGACTGAAGAATGAGTGAGAATGCGGCTGTGCTGCGTATGAGATGTTCGAATGTGTAAGGTAGGTGTAGATGAGGGAAGTTTTGAGGTATTGATGGTGACAACTTTGAATGCCCCTTTTGAGCTACAGAAGTATTCTGCATATCGGGCAGTACTAATGCATGCATGCCAGCTCACAGCGTCTCATCCTTTTAGCAGATTAAATTGACAGAATGCAGTGCAAAGGCCAAGTAAAATGCAATGTTCGCAGGACGTTCTATGGATATATATACCAAATTGAATCATAAAGGGGGTATAAGTTCTGGGTAGCCTCATATCGTTAAGCTATACAGAATAAGGTAGACAGACATTTGTTTCTTACAATCGGGAAATCGCTGAGCCCGCCACTTATACAATCTCTCATACCTTGGGTATCCACTCATCAGCTCTTCGCCTTGGCCCATTTCTCTGCGATGATGCTCATGATTTCTTTCTGTGGGCTGCTTGGATTCTCGCTCTTCACAATCTTCATCTGCTCCTTGACAAACAACTGGTATCCGCTCAGTTGACCGGTTGACGGAGTCTGGCGCGGCGTTGGCTTTGTCTGCTCAAGCGCCGCCTTGCAAGCGCCGCATCGATGCCTCTTGGGATCAATGCTCTTGGAGTGCCGTTTATACTCGCATCCGCAGGCTGTGCAAGCCCACACGTACTTGAAGTCGATCTCGTAGCTATGTTTGGTGGTGACTTTGATGCCCTGTGAAGCAAACGTTTGGGAGCATTTCGCCGCCCACGCCTTGAACTCTTTCCCATGAGGATTATCGGTAATGCCATTGATCATGAAATTGGCCAAGTGGCAGAATTCGTGAGCTATGACATTCAACAGGCGCTGCTCGTCATCAATAACCTTTTCAGAGAGTTCGATGGACGAGTGGTGCCGATACTGCTTCACACCCGCTGTGCCACTGTCGCTTGTTTGCTTCGAGATGATGGCCTCTCGCTTCCAGTTTGCTCGGCCAGCTGTAGTCTTGAGAGTGTTGCTCCACACAATCTTGACTCCGCCAGTTGATTCTGTGAGTTCTCCAATTTTTCCATGGGTGATTCGGGTATCAAGTTGGCAAAGGAAATCCGTTGCCAGTTGGGATTTCTTAGCCTCAAACAACTTCTTGGTTTGCTTTTTCGTAGACGTCGTTTTCGAGGCTGTTAGTCGGGTAGGGTTTGTTTCGGAAATAACAGGCGGCTCATCCCACTCGTCATCAGACTCCAGATGTCTAACAGGATTGGCACTATGGGCTTTTCCTTTCGGGTGAGTAGGCTTTTTCTTCGTGCTCTTCTTGGGTGACAGTATAGGACAATTTGGAGCAGGATCCTCTTGTTCTGAATTATCTTCTCCTAGCCAAAATTGCTGATCAATGGAGAGCCGCGAAAATGGTCGAATAACGTCTTTCTTATATTCGTGCTCAGGATTTTGCGACCGGTGATCGTATTTCGTGTTTCGACTCCCATTCGATGATACATTACGAGGGCGTTGCGCTGCTGGCTCCTCTTCGTCGCTGGTGTCTGAGAGCTCGATTATGAGAACTTGCGACTGGCTAGATTTCAACAATGTGTCGTTGGGAGTTGAGGATGAGCTCGTGGAGGCTTCATCGACCGTCTCTGAGGGGCTTCGGGGATGCCTTGTTGATACGCGAGGTTCCGTTGTCGAGCGGATACTGCTCTTGCTCTTCTCGGTCGCGTGTGATCGAGGCCTGAAGTCTTGCTGCCTGGACTCCCGGCCGTGTACAAGTTGATGGCGAGGTGGAAGAGTACCCTCCTCTTGACCGCTTGCATCATCGCCGATTTTCTTTGACGAGGGCCACCATCTCTCCTCTATGCCTTCTTTTACCGGAGTTGAGATGGTTTCTTCGCGAACCGCTTTGCTGAAGCGCAAGGATGAATCAGGCTTCTTCCTGATTCGACCCTCTGCAATATGACCATCATTATCATCGTCTTCCTCCTTTTCTTCGTCCAAAATAATAGTTGTGGTTTCTCTCAAGCTGGGATATAAAGTTGTCTTGGATCGCGAAGGCTGCAGCTGGGTGGTGCGGCCGGGAAGACGCGCCAGAAGGACGTCCAGCTCCGGAAGGTCGTCGTCGTCGCTGTCATGATAGGAGCTGCCTGCTTGAGTATGTCCCATATTAAGGATGCAGTGTCATAATAGTACCATGGGAGTTCAACGTGCGAAGTCTGAAAGCTGTTCCTGCTGCTGCTCGACAAACGGCATTTGTTTACTTTGCACGTGGGTGGATGCCGAGCAACCGGTGCAACGGCGAGTGGGGCGGTGACACACTGGCTCGCCGCTAGCGGAAAGGGAAAGTCCAAACGTGGGCCAAGCCTTGGATTTGAGCTGAGAGCTGCTCAACTCGCGGCAGGTTCGCAGCACTTGCGCAGGCGTTCCTGCCGCGCTGATGCGACATACGGTATCGGAGTGAGATCTGCGTCTCAAGCGATTTACTATGCTATGTAGATATTACATACTCCGTATTCGACTGTTTCTGGACATACCTTATGCAATAGAACATAACAAGAGCGCGAAACCGGCGTAATTCACGACAGGATGCGCCGCGCTCTTCATGATCATTTGACACACAACAGCTGCGACCTCATGGCCCTTCTATTCCTGCTAGCAGCCCGCTAGCTTTACGTGCCTCGCCTGCGCTCAACCGTGCGTAGTTCGCCTAAAAAGAGCCGGGTTGTGTCGGCGTCGCCTTTTTTTTCTCCTTTGGCCTTGAACAGATCAGGATGATTCAATGACCGTGACCGATTTTTTTTCTCCACTTGGGCTGGCGACGATATCATTGCTGCTAGACTAATTCGAACCACACCCTGTGGTCTTCAACCTCTACAGTACCTCAGAAATGGTACGCCGGCGAACCTTCTGTCACTCCGCAGGAACACACATGTTCATAACATGACATGATTGCCAGATGCCATGAAATTCGCCCATGAACTTAAAGAGTCGCTGGCCAGTCAAGGTACAGTCAGCCCTGCCGGTTTTCTCCTGACCGTCGTTTGTGGCTGCTTCTCGACGACTCCTTACCATCTGCTTACCCGTGTGATATTACAGGCTTCCCGCCTCATTGGGTCGCCCATGCGATCCCATACGGCCAGCTGAAGAAATGCCTCAAGAAAGTCCAGCGCGAGCTGCAAGAGCTGGGACTGGATGCCGAAACCTTGCGGGCGCTCCTCGATCCCAAGACGGACTCTCCAGTTGCCCTAAACTATAGCCTTAACGGTATGGTCTCTCCGTTGGATAGAAAGCCTGGACAAGTTCCTCCTCTTCAGCAGGGCATTCTTTCGACTAACGCTGGCTCATTATGAAGCTTCTTCAAACTCCCCGATCGTTCGACCGAAGTTGACAGTAGAGATCCATCTGCATGAGGGCAACATTATCGATGCGTCGCTTACACCAGCCACTCGCCAATTCTTCGAGAAGATATCTTCGAAACTGCCCCTCGACGGCTCAGACTCTGCTAAAGAGTCCAAATCGACCGATGCTACGCCCACCGAGACGGTCGACGAGACGGCACAATCGCCATCACAAGCTCTTACACTTGCAAACCGCGCCGGGAACGGCTACGAGACCATCGAGGTGCCTCTCGTGTCCGATGGTGTCTTCTTCGACATCCTTCAGAGCGATGTCAGCAGCCTGGATGCCCTTCAAACCACCGAACGGAACCAGTTAACGGAGGAGGTCAAAGAGCTAGGGAAACAGGTATCGCATGTCGCACGGCCGGGTCGCTTCTCCAAAAGCGATCTCGATCGTTGGAGGCGCATCTTTGAACTGTACTTGGATGCGGAAGTGTTCTTTGCGACGCACGAGCGCGATCACGGAGCTCGATCCAGCCAGAAAGCTCTCCAGCAGCTGCAGTGGTTTCAGAATCAAGTCCAGAAGCAGGATCTCGTCAAGTCTTTCAAACGACCAGAAAGCCGGGTCGCGTTTTCCAAGTTCCTGGAACTGAATCTCAACCTCTTGAAGCATCTGCAGTTCCAAGAGCTAAATCTGCTGGCAATTCGCAAGATCTTGAAGAGTAAGAATGCGCCCTCTCCTCCCCAGAACGTGTACGAACCCGGCTGGAATATCAGTCTGACGAGAGCTGCACAGAATTCGACAAACGCACGGCACTGGGCGTTTCGCGTGCGTTCCCGAGCGCAATCAGCTCCCGAAAGCTATTATCCGGAGATATTGCCAAGCAAGTGTGTGCCAGGATCTCAGACGAGTTGGTTTCTATTATACCCCAAGTCAACGACTACCTCTGCCCGATATGCTACGCCATTGCATATCAACCAGTTCGCCTAGATTGTCAGCACGTCTTCTGCATTCGCTGCTCAGTGAAGCTTCAGCGACGGCAGGAGGAATACTGTCCTCTGTGCCGAGCTCGTGTCGTAATGGACGCTTCAGCTAGTATGTTCGCCCCATAGCCTACCGTGTATCTATGCTAACGCCGCATGTAGAGAACATTGACTCTGATTTAGAGAAATTCTTGAGGAAGAACTTCCCCGCGGAAGTGAAAGAGAAGGAACGCGCTGATCAAATAGAACGGGGGATAGAGGAGTTTGGCCCGAGCTACAAACCGGCCGAGTGCGCTGTCATGTGAATTATGCTGAGCGAGAGTTATTGAGAGATTCTAGAATGTCTTTTATAAGACGATAATGTTTACGATGTTACGACGCTACAATGATTCTTTGGTATCGGTAAACCAGTACAAACGTTGGCAAGCCTCCTTTGCATGGTGTGTCTCTGTGTATGACCACTGAAAGGATGGAATCATGAGTCTCATGCTACTAAATGCATCCTCTCCTCACTACGCCTCAGTCTCAGCTACTACGGTCAACTGCCCAGCATCGATATTACTGATTTTGTCTAGAGAAAATAACAGCCAAATTCATTTCTTTTACGCAATTGTTACTGATTCAGCTGCAGCCAATGCTTTCTGAAATAGGTGCTGCAGCTCCTCAGGCTCCTCTAAGCCTACGCTGACACGAACCAGATTCGCATCTACACCATACTGAGCCGCCCAGTCCAACTCCCGGTAATGCGCCAGCAAGACGTAAGGAGAGCAGAGAGTAAAGTTGCTCCCCAAGCTCGGCCCCTTGGCGGTATCCAAATTGTTATAGAAAGTCTGAGCATACTGTGGGTGAGTGAAGACGACGGAGAGCAGGCCTCCGTAGCCGCCATCGGGGAGGCGACAAGCCTCGTAGTTGGGCCTTGATGGGTTGTACTTGGGATAGTAGACCGTCTTGACGAGCGGGTGGTTCCGGAGGATGTCGCAGATTGTTTCCGCGTTAGCGTTTATGCGCTTCACTCGGTTGGAGAAGTCGCGGCTGTTCCTCTCCATGAAGAGGATATCCTCCACCCAGTACGCGTCTTCGTAAATCTGCTCCTCAAAGGCCTTCTTGAGCACGCGGTAATATTCGCCTTCCGGGTTCAAGACGGTGCATCCTCCCATGACATTCGAGTCGCCCGAGAAGATCTTGGTCAGGCTGCTGACGACGATGTCGGCATACGGGAGGACATTGACATTGGCAAACGTGCCAATCGTCTCGTCGACGACCACGGCAAAGCCAAACTCGTCTGCCAGTCGACGAATCCTCTTGAGATCCGGACAGGCGAGAAGGGGGTTTCCCGGAAACTCGCAAAAGAGGGCGAGGAAGCGCTGCCCCTCCTTGAGCGTGCTCTCGAGCTGGTCGAGCTCCTCCGACGAAGCATGGCCGTAGAGAACGGCGCCCGGGCCAAACTTCTCCAGAACCTTGAGCGTGTCAATGTAGGGGAAGCCAAAGTTGACGCTCTTGCGCGAGCCCAGAGCGGCCAGGAGGGCCCGGTGGGCGTTGAAGATGGCGTTCATGCCGCAGGGATACAGCAGGACGTCGGTCTCGTCGAGAGACTCGAAGCCACGGGTGTTTGCCTCGCTGCTCGTCTTGGTGTCGTCATTCATGTCCGCATCGCCCGCGAGAGAGCCGGCGATTCTCCTCCGAATGGCCGACTTTGCGCGCGCCACTTGGGAAAGGTCCAGATTCCTGCCGAAGCGCTCTTCAAGAAAATGGAAGCTCTCGCGTGCCTCTTCCTGAATCTCTGGAGAGGAGGGGGCGGCCCCCTTGTTTTCAGCGCCAGCCAAGTCGGCACCGCCGGTGGACTTTGCTCGTGAATACCGCTTCGGGCCTCGAACAGGCTTTTCTGGAGGAGGAGTGTAACGGGGTTGCTGCTGAGCCTGTTGTTCGCTGACCGCAACCAATTGACCGTGCTTGAAGAGTTCATGGCAGAACTCGGCCCGTCGGCTCGAGATTCCGTCGCCCGTGTGTTGCCAGTACTCCTTCGCTACCGGAAAGGACTCCTGCGGGAACATGGTCCCGGAGATGGTGGGTGATAGCTGCTTCAGCAGCGGGGAGACATCCTTGGAAGCATCAAGCGCAAGGTCAACTACGTGGATCTGGTTGGCGATTTCTGGAGTCACTCGGGAGCGCATAAACTCCAGACATCTCCGAGCAGCGGCCGCCGTAGCAAACAACAAGATCCGTTGGCCAGGCTGTCCGTAAGCAGCGACAAGGTCTTTGCCAAACGCCTCGATGCTCTTGTGAATGAAGAACCTGAGTGATGATCCAAGATGTGAGCCAAAGGCTACAGGCTAGACGGCCAATTCTGTCACGGATCTCACTCACCGAGGATAACCAGTGACCATGCGGCTCAAGACTCGAGCTTCACCTTCTTCATAGTCGACGTTGGCCTGCCATGTCGGCAGGGACACACTCACTGCCTGGAATGCTTGAGTCAGTCACCGTCGCAACACATGCAGACTGAGAGAGAGGCAACTTACATGAGCCGTGTCCGGAGGTATAGACTCTCCTAGTGAGATTACGGGCATTTTGTAAAAGATCGGAATGCCTCTGATACTGATGTCAATATGAGCTGCTATTCTATATATACAGCTATGGGGGTGATATATGGACAAGGTGGAACAGAGCAAGCAATTGAGTCTATATAAAAGCTCTCAATCGGAGTAAAAGAGACCAGGAATTGATTGTTTGTCTACCAAATGAGTCATTAGAATGACACTCCCGCTACCCACTTTAGGTGCATATCGGAAGCTGTCAAATGCCACTTTGGGTGTTTACAGAGACGAACAAAATACTCCATCAGGTCCTTGGAAACCTTAATCCGTGGCTCCTTTTAAGCGTATATAACTCTATTTGAGGAATCAACATCACTTCTTACGAGGACAAAGCAATGTAATACAAGCGTGACACGTGCAAGAATTCTTTATATGCAAGGCATTCGCTAAGGCTGAACTCGCTCACATACTGCGCGCCTTGTGATGTCATTTGATTACCCCACCGTTGTATCAGTGCCTGCCTATCGAGCTGCGCAGTCTAACAAAGACATTCTCCAACTTGCGCCAAACGAGCTGCCTCCTAGGCGCATATATACATATATATATATGTACACCAACCCTCTAATAGACAAAACAAACAAACTTACCAAACCACCGCATATAATCATCACTATGTCAAGTTATAGAAACATTCCCCTCTACGGCGGCGCAGTCACCTGCGACCTGCCCAAACGCTTCGCAGATGTCAGGTCAGTTAGCAGCGAACAAACTCGCATCATCTCTTTCCGTCGCATTTCCACCACCATGCTGACAACTTGACGTCCCTTTGCGCAGCAAGCTGAGACAAGTCCCCGACAACCAGGAAGTCTGGATCGACAAGGACGGCTTCACGAGCATCATCTTCGACATCACCGAGCGCGTCGGCGAGCCCGGCTCCGGCCCCGAGATCGACGGCCGGGCCATGACCACGCACCTGGAAGACATGGTCGGCTCCGACATCAACACCGTCAAGATCTGGAACACTGCTGAGACGGAATTCACGCGCATGCAAGAGTAAATGCACACCACCACGAACACTCCTCCTTCCCACTCCTCTTGCCGCATCCAACTAATAACAACGAAAAAAAAACAACAGCTTGAAACTCCCCGCATACACCCTCATCGCGACGCAGACCCCCAACGCCGGCCACGCCAGCGACCAGGCCTCGGCGCCAGACTTCACAGCCATCACAATGACCCTCTTGCGCCTCGAGAAGCAGGACACCGACATCCTCATCACCATCAACGTGCCCCACATCAAGGGCGAGTACGACGCCGACGAGGTCGACCTCGAGCTGGGCAAGCAGGGCAAGCTCATCGGCGACGCCGTTGAGATTGCGGCTCGCATCTGGGAGACGTTTGAGATCAAGGACTGGGACCTTTTCGTCGATTCGAGACACCATTAATGCCAGGCTGAATCGAAAGAGTTGGGATATGTGGTGGAGGCCCTCTGATCTATATATACGTGATTTGTTCATTTACTTGAAGAGAAATAGCGCTCCCCATACTTTTTATGATAATGATGAATATGCCATGACCATCTACAGCAGCAGAATACAAGTTGATCTACAGACATCGTCTACATATTTTATCCCGAGCCAAAAGGCTCATTTACACATATCCAGACTTCCTACAAGGCTCCTTTGCTAGGTACCTTCAATCGATAAGATGTCCCTCTTTGCTTCGCAGCCTCTGATTGGATACAGCGCCGGCTTTACTCCGGCAACGACCCCTCGGCACAAGGCGATACGGCTAGTGTGTGCAGATAAAACACCCGCCAGCAAAAAGAGCGCCTGGGAACATGTATTGCTCCGGCCGGTAACCTGGGAAGTCGCAAACTTTTAGTATGACGACGAGGTTGTTCGCGATCCACAGATGCTTTCCGGGGGGCAGTGATAAGTGAAGCATTGTTGAACCACTCTTCGCCTTATCTTCTAAGAGATATACATAATCTATATATCTCAAACATGTCTTCACAAGTCGCAAAGGCCGCCCGCCGCGTGACCCATGAGCTCCATGGCGTCGTCGTGTCTGCAGGTCTCATGCAGAAGACCGTCAAGGTCCGAGTCGGTGGTCAGAAGTGGAACAAAATCATCAACAAGGTGTGTAGACGCAACAATGGCTGGCGCCCTGACCCTTCCCTTGACTGACATCTCCCAACAGTGGTTCGCAGACCCAAAGCACTACCTCGTACACGATCCCAACTCCTCCCTCCGCACCGGCGACGTCGTCTCCATCGTTCCCGGCTGGCCGACCTCCAAGCACAAGCGCCACGTTATCAAGAACATCATTGCGCCATTCGGCACTCCAGTTGAGGAGCGGCCGCCGATTCCCACGTTAGAAGAGCGCATCGCCGAACGAGAGGCCAAACGGGCCGCCAAGGCTGAGCGCAGGATGAAAGCCAAAGAAGAGCAAAAGGAGTGATACCAAGACCAATGGCAGAGAAAGAGAGGACATGAGAAAAATCACAATTCCCTGTTGGCGAGCGCAACAGGGCTGTATGAATAGATCGGGTGGCAATACACCCATGTTGGATTTATTAGCGAAGGAATGCTCATTAATTTGCTTCCAATCAACGAGTAAGAGAACAGCATTATAGCGTCTCTTGATGGAGTCGCACACCTCCGCTGTTGAATCGAAACGACAAAGTTGATTGCGACGCACGCCGTGACCGCTCGCCGAATGTCTATCAAGAACCGCTGTAGTTTGCATACATACCTGCCAACCGTCCATTCAAGTAGCCTTGACTGAACGGGATGCTGTATCCTGGTGCCAGCCAAGGTCAACTTAGCCACCACGCTCGCCAAACTTCTCGGCCCATTCTTCGTACTCCCTCAAGCCTTCCTTGTCGACACTTGGTCGAATCGACTTTAAGCTCTGCTCAAAATCTGAAAGATCCATGGGTCGGATTTCATCCTTTGTCATGTATAACAGAGCCTCGCCCAAAGACCTCAACGGCCCCATGGCTGCGTCCTTGGCAAGAGCTGTGATATCAGATCCCGAGAATCCTACCACGCAACCGGTGTTAGCGAAACAGGGCGCCAAGGGAGGTTCAATACAGGAAAAGAATGCTTACCATCGGTCAACTGTACAAGCTTCGCTATATCTTCGTCTGTCAAGCTGTGGTTCTGTTGACGCAATAATGTCCTGAGATGAGTCTCTCGCGTCTGCGGCTCGGGCAATGGGATGTACTGGCGGCGCACGAATCGTCGCCGTGCGGCCTCATCAATCGCCCATGGCAAGTTTGTAGCAGCCAACACCAGAACCCTCTGGGCTTCGTTGCGCGGATTTGCACTGCTGCTCGTCTCCCGACCGGCGGCTGCTCGCTGAAGCTCACTCCACTGAATGAGGAACTCCGTCTTGATTCTTCTAGTCGCCTCATGCTCGCCAGCATCTGATCGGTGGGACAATAGCGAGTCAATCTCATCAACGAATATGATACTGGGAGCAAGCGCTTTGGCGAGACCGAAAAGCGCCCTGACTAGTTTCTCAGACTCCCCGAGATACTTGCTGGTCAAGCTGCTGGCGGAGATGGAGAAGAAAGTGGACTTGGATTCGGTGGCAACAGCGCGTGCCAGCATTGTCTTTCCGGTTCCCGGTGGTCCAAACAGGAGCATTCCGCGAGCCGGCTCGCGTAAGCCCATAAAGAGGTCCGGTCGTAGGAACGGATACACTACCGTCTCCCGTAGCGAATTCTTCGCAACCTCCAGGCCAGCAATATCGCTCCAGTGGACTTCATCCCCTTGGACAACGATGTCGTTGAGGATCTGCTTTGCAGCGCCCTCATCTATCCCTGGTGGCAGGTTCTTGAGGATAGCTGCCGTCGACTTCTTCTTCTGAGTTTTATCGTGTTGGTCCTCCCTCGTCGTACCTCCGACAGCATCTTCACTTGAGCGGCGCCTACTCAACCTCGGGTTCGCAAGCTCGGCCTTTCTTTGAGGCGTGTCAACAGCGTAGCTCGACGTGTAAAAGTATGATTGCCTGGTATCATCTCGGAGCCGATCTCCTCGCTCGGTGTCGTATTTGTATAACAGTGGACTCTCCGCATCGATTCTCTTGCTCCTTGGTGTACTACTGGAAACCTTCTGTCCCGCAGACGTTCCGATATTGCTGCCAGCACCAGCTTTAGTGCTCCCTCTTCTGCTTTGACTTGGAGATTCCTCGTAAACGAACGGCCTCCTAGGCGTTAGATATTGCTCTGATTTACTTGGCGTTTGATACGGCATGGAGGGCTCTGGGCTGGTCGAAGACGTCAGTGCGCTTGATGCTGCGCTAATAGACAGAACAGAAGGTTGTGGGAGGCGAGATTCGTCGGACATCCATTTCTGAGGCGACGTGCGTGAAGATCTTGGCTCGTACAACTGCGTCGGCCTTTGTGAACTGGGCGAGCCGCGTTCCAGCGACTGGCGCGGTGCAGGGCTTGATTTGGGCGACGGTCGTTCACCAGGCAAGGGCCGGAGATAGTTGGTTTGGGCTGCGGAAGAGCTCCATGCTAATGTCGCGGCCTTGCTTGGCCCATCCGCCGCAGGTCTGCTCAATCTGCGAGTAACAGACGGCCGATCGCTGGTCTTCTTGGACCGCAGTGTTGTCCTCATGGTGTGTCTCTCGGGGCTTGAAGGGCGAGCTGGGTTGTCGCTCTGCGAGCCAAGCAGATCAGGCGTCCGCGAGTTGGGACGTGAATAGGACCGCTGCGCTGAATCGGCAGGGGTGCTACGAACCCTCCTGATCGTATCTTCAGATGACGTCATTGCGTCGAGTGAAGTCCGTGGGGAGAAGACAGGACGTGAGAGTTCCGAGTACGTGACTGCAGGAATGGTGCCCTGGCCTATCGTCCCCGGGGTCTGGTTGGTGCTGCCCGAGGCCTGCGTGGTCGGGGTGGTGTAGTCACGGCTCGCCGAGGCGGCAAGGCTGTCCTCGCGAGACAGCCTAAGCGCTTCCAGAAGATCAAGCCTTTCCTTGCATTGTAGTTCCAGCTCTTTCAGCGCGTCTATCAGGGCAGCGTCCGTGTCGGTGTAGGATACGGAGAGTCGTGGTGCATTTGACGATGCGTAGTATTCATTTATTCGTCGAAGTGCGGCTCGCCAGTGTCGAGTCGCCTCGTTTTCGTCGCCCTAAATCCGGTATCAGTTGTGAGCCGTGAAACGCAATAGGATAGAAGATTTGCGAGTGGAGAAGCGGTCTATCGTAGCTTTACCTGGTCTTCGTAATACACAGCCTTTGAGCAGCTGAGGTAACTGTGATCGTAGATCTTCTGGAGGGCGACGATATCTCTGTTGCTGAGCATTGCACCGAGGCAGAGCCAGAGTCCCCAGGCGGGCAGTCGATTCAATCTGGTCGCGTTCGTCCAACTTTGCAGCGTGTGGAAATCGATATCACGGGGAGAGAGCAATCGCAGATTATTGCCTTGATGGCCCAGTATTAATCCATGTGTGGCATTCAGATACTTGAAGGAGTGACATGCGACAGCGGACTCAGCCAGCAGGTACTTTCACAGATGGCGCACTGCTCGGGTCCTTCCTCTGCAAGCGTCCGCTACTTTTTTTTAGCAGTTCGACCGTCGTCCGTCTGAAGTACTTCGTAATCGATCACACGTAACCGTATCGAGGTGCACAGCCCCACCGCGCCGACTCTCGCAACTTGAGACAAGCCACCTGATTACAGTCACGACGGCGTTACACGCGAGCATTTGAATTGTGGTTTTTATTTCTCCGGCTACAGTGTAGTTCTGCAGCAGCATCGAGTTACTCGCTAGAGTAAGATCAAGTATCATCAACGCCAGAAACCGTGAATTACTTCAAGCCGTTGCTCCATGCTTGCTTTGATCCATATAGATACTCCCCGTTCTAGGCGACGATTGGATTACCAAGGTACCAACCCAAGATCCATCTCTTTGATACACATCCAAATAGACTGGCTCTATTAGGCCGCTCCTATATCAAGAGCTCCCTCCAACGAGCTCTACTGGCGCGCTCGCAACGGGGCGGTTGGTGGTCGGCAGAACACCGAATCTGCCGTAAGTCTTCTGATCCACGCTGACATAGTGCGGTAATATGGCAAGAAGGTTCAATCGAGATTCAATCCATCGGAGTGCCCACTCTGGAGGTGCAAGCAACTTCACGTAGCCAAGGCCAGCTGTAAATGAACCAGGTGTCAGTGATGAGAACCACGGCGGATGTGCGGATTTCGTGACCATACCAACGTAGCCAACGGCAACGCCGCAGAGATGCCCCAGCAGGCTTGTGTTTGGTACCAGCGCGGCAACAACCACGATCATGAGCAGGGGCGTGGTCCAGGTGGGAAGGTGATATGTCCCAATCACCAAGTACGGGTTCGACTTATACGTTCGGATCGCCTCCATGCCTAACAGCAAGAATATCCACATGCTGAGCACGACGTATTAGTTTCAGGAGCCCATACAGCTGATCAAGCACGTCGTAGTGGTAGACTTTACCTGGCACCCATGACGGCATGGTTGGCCCGGAGAATGGCAATCTCAATGAAGAGATACAGAATGGCGGGAATCGTAGTCAGTGCTACTTCCGTTAGCATAATGACACGACAATTAGGCTGGTATATGATATAGATTATCCTTACGCCCAAAGAAGAGTGCCAGCGTGGTCAAGGTTCCATATTCACTTTCGAATCGTTCCATCAACGGCGCCAACGCAACGGCATTGAGAACGGCATGGAAGAAATTCAGGTGCACGAGAGGGAATGTATTCAACCGATAGCCTAGGGTTCCAGTCAGAAGCGAGCTCCAGCCAGATTCCAGGCCGACACTGCTCACCTGTAGCAATAGAGATCTTGTCGGGGATCAGAGAGCCCCAGAGCCGCACATCCCAGTAGCCGGGCAAGCTGGCCAGCCAGAAACCTGCTATGCCTAGCAGGATGGCGCGGGTGAAGAGAGGCAAGCGAAGGACGTATGACCGTGCCCGCAAGGTATTGAAGCCTTGGATACTCGGCATCGCTGCTCGTACGCCAGTCGAACTCGGTCCCCCAAGTATCCGGCACTTGGCAGACGGCACAACTAGTACAGCGCCTAAGTACTGTAGGGAGTTGGGTGATGTTTTGGAACAGACCAGCGTAGATCCTGATGCAAGGCTGTCCGATCCAACAAGCGCTAGGCGATTAAGTAATATTGGCAGATTTATGGAGAACCAGCAATGTCACTTGGGAATGTCTGTACAATAAAATCATGGCCAGAGGTCAAACCGAGACAACGATTTTCAGAAGATTGTTACTATCGAGAATAAAACTCAATATATACCACTCCAAATAAAACATTGGATCAAATCCAGAGCAAGTACCTCTCTATCTGCAAGCACAACTTGTCTGCTGTGACCTCTCATGCTAGGTCCCTTTCGGCCATGGTGGGCTAGCAGTAGAGCAGTCGCGTTGGTGCCTTAAAACTTCAGCCCGGCGTAAGGCAGACAATTTCACATCCGTGTACCAGCCGATTGAACCTCCCAAGACATCAACTCAAAACCCACGGTCTGCTACCCAGGACCACCATCTAGCCAACATGACGACGCGACAAGCCGCTCTGTCAGTATCGCGACCAATCGCTCCTCCCGGCCGTTGACGTGCTCGCTTTCTAACCGCCAGCGTCTCCCCGATTTCTAGGTCGCTATACCGTCGCTCATTGAAGCTTGCGCTGGACTGGGCCGTCCACCGTCACCTATGGCGAGGCCAGGCGCTCTACATCCGATCCCTATTTGAGGCCAACAGGAAGGTCACCGACCCTCGACAACAGAGAGTCTGTGGACGCCTTTTTCCATCAGTTCCAAACGACGAGACCGACACTAATTCGTCTCCCCCCAGGCTCTGTTAGCGGAGACGGAAAAGTTGCTCGAAAGCTGGAAGCACCCCGACCCATACGTTCCGCCATGCGCTCCCGGAGGTCAGACAACACAAGCGATCGCCTATAAGATGATTCAGTGGCTAATTGGGAGCAACAGGATCCAAATTTGAGCGAAACCTGCCTTCTCCGATTTTAGACCGTGAGCCAATACACCCCTACGCCCTTGCTGCGCCTTGTTTCGCCTGCTAATGCTTCGATAGCCCCTCCTCACAGCGCAGGCCATCACCATTGAGGGCTGCGAGTGCGACAAAATTAGATTCCGAGTATATAGCAAAAAACAACAACAACAACAATACATTTCTTCAAAAGTTCATGCACATTTCGTCCTTGTAGAGCGTGAGAGCGCGGTTATTACGTGATATAGAATGGGAGAGCAAACTGAGATTTAGAGCGTGCTCCGTATGCTGAGAAGTGGTATAACGTATAATAAGCTGCAAGGCAGAGGGCATGGCAATTTTCTTCTCAATACTAAGTCTATCTGATATTACTCGATAGTAGTAATATATTGAACCCAATGGCTGCAGTGATGTAATAAGCAAGCAAGAAGCCCCTCTTTATACACACTTACTCCAATATCAACTGCCGCCCGTTTAGGCTCATAAGGTAACTCAACTCTAGCTTCTTTTAACTCTCTCCAGCTCAATCCCATAGCTTGCTTCCTCCATCTCCAACTAGTCAAATCCTACCGAAAACATGGCCGCGTGTATATTCTGCCGTATCATCAAGGGTAAGACAGCTGAGGCGGTTTATCCAGCAATGCCACCAATAACACACACAGCTACCCCTCCCACTTCGGCATCGCTAACGGCGCATCTACACCAGGCGAGATCCCGGCTCTGAAGCTCTTCGAGAGCGAAAAGACACTCGCTTTCCTCGACATCGGGCCTCTCAGCAAGGGCCATGCTGTAAAAACTCATCCCGCTCACCCCCAAGAAGGCCACACTCTATAGACCGCCAATGCTAATGTTACCCTCCCCATCCAGCTTGTCATCCCCAAGTATCACGGCGCAAAGCTCGCTGATATCCCGGACGATCAGCTGTCCGAGATTCTGGTAATCCATTCCCACAATCATACAATGTGCGTGCTACAGACCTGCTTACCATACCTGTCTGCTTCACTCAGCCTACTATCAAGAAGCTCGTGACAGCCACTGGAGCCACCGACTACAACGTCCTGCAGAATAACGGAACCATTGCCCACCAGCAGGTGCATCATGTAAGTTTCATTACCTTTTGCACTCAGACCGAATGACGAGCTGATGTTTATCTGCACAGGTTCACTTCCACATGGTAAGTCTCATCAGCCCTCGAACACAGTAAGGCACTCTTCACCTTGCCGTAGCTAATCTCCTCCGACTAGATCCCGAAGCCGAATGAGACCGAGGGTCTGGGCATCTCCTGGCCTGCCACCAGTGGAGACATGGAGCAGCTCAAACAGCTGTGTGAGGACATCAAGTCCAAGATGTAGATATTTCTGTGTCGAATCACAGATAGCGTTGTACACAACAAGTAGGTAGCATATAAGAAATGGAAGAAGCATTACATATGTCTATTCTCCAAAGTAAATGCACAGGCCCCCGATCTATCCAAAGATTATTTTGGTACAAGCGGCTCTTTCTTCAATCTAAATCGTCGATTGACGTCTCCAGATTGCCATTCCCGCTGGCAGCCGCTGGCTTTTTCGCTGGCTCATACCATTTCGCTCCGGCAATGCCCTGTAATATTCCCTGTCTGTCGTAGAGAGAGCGCGCGCGCAGGTATGGGTCGAGTCTCCAGTAGTCTTCCTTGAGCTGTGTCGCCAGGGTATTCCTCTTGGGCAAGAGGTCTTTGCTTGCTTCTGGCTTGTTTATCCACTGCAAAGTCGCATCTTCGTACTCGTTGACGAGTTTCTGCCTCTCCGCGAGGAGCTTCTCCCTGGTTTCGGTGTCTTTCATCAGGTCATTCTCGCCAGGGACAGGCTCAACATATTGGTATTCCCAGTCTTCGTCGCCCCCAAGCTCTTTGATGATGTGCCCAGGCTCAATGAACTCTTGCAGTTCACTCTTGTTGTTCGTGAAGTGAACTTTGGCCGCTACAACGGGGTCCAGCCAGCCCCGAATGATCTTCCAAATTCCTATGGTCATTGTCAGCTGCCCTGTCTTTTCACGTATGTTTGCGACAAGCAGTGCATCTCCTTACCTTGGAATATCCACGGTGCATTATGGACAAGCACAGCTCCCAGAGATTCGGGGTAGTTGGCCTCAAAGCACTTGATCATGAACTTGACAGGGGTATAGTCCATGTTTGCCATGGAGAATCCGGTCATGTCGAAGATGACAGTCTGCTCAACGTGATCAGCGAACATTCAGCGGCGCCTAAGGGAACCATCTTCCTATAGAGTAACGTACCGCCGTGTCGACGGGTGGTCTCAGCACCATTCTCGCCGTCTCAATCAGGTAGACGGTGTATCGCTCCAGACTCTCTTCGCACTGTTCTCCCTGTCGATGGAGGCGGACTCTCACCACGCAGAGTGGTCGGCCCTGCTTATCCACCCCATGCAGAAAGCTCTTGCCCATGCGAAGCTGCGCCAGAAAGTCTTCCGCGACCTTCTTAGCGTCGCCCGTGCCCTCCTGCGCAGTTGCCAGAGCGCCGCCCTCACCATTAGCCATAATATCGCTATCCACCTTCATGTCGCTGTGTCGCCAGCTCATGGTAGACACCATCATGACGAGGGCCTTATCCACGTCCCACTTGCGAGCGCGGAGGAAGCGCAAGGCCAGGGCATCCGGGTGATCATGCTTCACCATGCTCCAGAACGTCTCGCGGATGGCTTCGGGGCTGTGGCTGGCAAGAACCTCTTGAAAGTGTTTGTTCTGGCCATATTTGTCGTCTTCCACGGTCTCACTCGACGAACTGGACTTGTCGTTGCCCTTTCTCTTAAAGACGCCGAAGCGCCTCTTCTTCTGCCCGTCTGCTTCCGCGGCTTCCGCTTTCTCGCGAGCCGCAGCATCCGCACTGGCGGCACCATTGTCATCGAGAATGCCGCAGAGCTGGAAGAAGGACTGCCACAATTGACGCAGCTTCTCTTCCTGCTCTGGGGTCAGATTGCCCACGCGCCCCGGTGCGATTTGGTCCGGCATGTTGTCAGAAAACGATTCTGCGATTGCGACGTCTTCTGCGGTTGCAGCAACTGCTGTAGTCTCGCGAGAGCCCACTGTCGCAGCGTAGGAGATGGCGACTACGGCGAAGAGGATTACTGCGCCGGCAGTAAATGTGAGGCTGCTGTGAAGATCAAGGTTGCGGCCGGTCCGAACTGGCCTGCGACAAGATGAACGTGCGGCGCTCTGCCAGGCTTTGAAATGTCCGAAAGGGAAAGTTGCCGCGGCGGAGGGATCGCAGGTGTAAGTGCTCGTGATGCCTTGCTTATTGCCTTGCTTATTGACCTCACGTGCGCGCGGACTGGAGGCACGAGAGTCGGCCGAAGCGGACGAGGCGAAAGTCGATCGGCGCAGCGTGGGGAAGCGCAAAGGCCCGGGCAATTCAAGCACTAGTGCGGAAAACCGCGATGCCCTGGAGGTCGTCACTTGCAAGCACTGGAGCCGGCTTGTTGGAGGCCTCATGTGCAATTCGGAGACTCGGGCGCAGTTTGTGCTGCGGTTGGGGAAGTGAGGCGTGTGAGGACGGACGGCGGACGGTTGGAGGATCGAAACCTGGAAGCAGACAAATAAGAGTCGAGGGTGGTATTATGGAGGCACTACGTAATTTTAACAGACCGTGCCTCGTACCTTACGCCAACACATGGCCGCGCCAGGAACAAAGTAACTTTGAAGGCTTAGGTAAATTTATTAGCATGGCTTTACGCCAAGGCGCCTCCTTGCAGTACAGCTTCATTCAAGAGGCTGTGCTCTGCAGAGGCTCGGTGGCACCTCGATATCACCTAGAGACGGACCCAACATGCAACCCACAGCCATCAACAAGTATAATTGCTTTCCTTTTTTTTGTTGCTCGTCTTTTTTTTTTTCTGTCTTCTTCTTCTTCCTTGAGAATCCGAAAGATATATTGTGAAATAAAAAGGTACCAAATACACACATCCAGAGCATTTGTTCTCTCTTTGGTTCTAATAGTAGTATTGTATACACTCCCTCGTAGATGTACAAATGCGTCGTGCTTACAGCTCATCCAAGACGTGGATGTACTTCTTGTCCTCCCTCTTCTCCTTCTCCGTGGCAGGGGGCAGGTCGTAGTAGTTGGAGCTTCGGAACCCTTGCTGTAAATCTAATTAGCCGTCTGACCATGCATCAACTTTCAGAGCCCGTAGCACTTACCAGGTAGTGGTACGTAAAGTTGGCGATGTCGCCCGGCTCAACACCGAGGTCGCTAAATGTGCTTGCTTCAGGGTCAATGACCTGGTCGATGAACTCTCGCTCCACCTCGTCCGCAGACAGGGTGTGCCACCACAGGTACTTGTTGAGGAGTCCAGCCACCGGCTTCAGAATGGGCTTGGGCACGTTGATGTGTCGTCGCTTCTTGAAGATTTCCTTGTCCACCAAGGCCGCAATCTCCGCCAGGCTGTATTGCTTGGGTCCGTAGAGCTCAAAGGTCTTGCCGGCCGTGGAGTCATCATACAGCATCTTCTCCAGGGCAGCGCCGACGTCGATGGACTGTGATGCGCGTCAGTATGATTGAGGGAAATACCTGAGCCTCTGAAGTGCTTACGTGAACTGGCCAGAACTTCTGCTGCATGTTGTTGGCGGTAAAGAGGTTGAGAACGGAGGCGAGCTTCAGCAGAAGATTGTCCTCGAATCCGAAGATGGGGGCCGGTCGTACAATGGTGGTCTCGGGGAAGATGCTTCTGGCAACGAGTTCTCCTCGTCCCTGGAATGGCGTAGGTTAGCTTCCGTCTTGATCTAGGCTATCCACGCGGGCATACCTTTGTCGCAAAGAATTCGGAGGTTGAGTTGGGGTTGGCGTTGTGAGACGAGACGTGGATATAACGATCAACGTCATACTTGGCAACGGCCTCGGCGATGCGCTCAGTTCCCTCGACGTGCACATCCTCCAGTGTAAAGTTCCTATCGAGGTTTAGCATGTCGTCGAGATCGAGATGTCGTTCATGGGGATCCGTACTTGGTAGGATAGTCTCGGCCAACCAGGTTGTAGACAACGTCTGAGTGCCTGACGCTTGCCTCGATAGAAGCAGTGTTGCGAAGATCATACTCCTGCGCGAGCATCAGAATCGAGTCGCTCAATGCATCGAAAACAGACATACAATGAAAATAACGCGGCCGAGGTCTCCAGTCAGCTTCAGGTGTCGCTTCGTCATTTCTTCGCGGAACGGAACGACGACGGTGCATCCTTGACGGGCTGGACAAGAGTAGTTAGAGCCAGCACAAGCACAACGTGCGCTTCGATCCCCCTCCCATCAAGAGACATACCGAGGCGGTTCACGATATACCGGCCCAATTGGCCCGTCGCGCCGAATACCGTCGCAGTGTGTCCTACACCGGCCGTTAGCCTTCTAGCCTCGCGCGTGCATTGCATCAATCGTACCGCCGAGAGAGGACCTAGGAGAGCATGTTAATTGAGTTCTCCTCCCAGCATCGGTTGCGTGCGTGGCTTACCGGCCGCCCTGTACTCGCAGAATGGTTTTGCCAGTGCGTGTGATTGCTACGTCGGATAGGGATCGCTTGCCGCTGACGCCGGCGGCGACGGAGCCGCGGAGAGCTCCTCGAGAGAGTGTAGAGAGCACCATGTTGGCCGAATTCACAGCAGGGAGCGGCTGGTGAGGTCCTTGAGCTGGCCAATTCGGGGTCGTTGGTGAGGCTGCCGATTTGTCCCTGCCCACCAAAGATCATACAAGCCGTGAGGTTCGAAATAAGTTGGAGGAGCGCCACATTAGAGCGCTGCGCTAGTCCTGATGGAGTAGCACATGAATATTAGCAGATTACCGAGAAATGGGCTTCTACGGGGAATTAAAGGCGAAGCAAGCCCCGGTATCTTGATGCATGCCATCGACTACTCTTCTCTACCAAAATATTTTATTTTATTTTTGGCTGATGTTTCTCACACTACCTGGTTTGAAATTCGCTCGTTTCCATGGAGGAGAAAAGTATCTTGAGAGTTTGAAGCTGGCAGGCAAAGTTTTGGGCTGAAGAGGCTTCATTAGGTAATACAGGTTCAACAAGATCAATGTCCGCCTTAGATAAGCAAAATGGCAGGGCCATTAATAGGCGTTGACACCCGCAATTCGTGCCTGGTAGTCACTCTCAAGCCTTCACTAGTCCAGCTACCAGGGTATCGATTCAACAACCAGCCAGGTTCACAATTACCGGAGACGTTGTCATACAGAATTTTGCCGGTGAATCACTGCAGAATCAGCTTCCAGCTAGCATGGGGGGACGCAACCGTGCTTTTCAAAAGCAACGCAACGGCTGGAACCAGTCGCCTCGTCGGGGGCAGAACTTTGGTAGCCCCAGCCCCAGGCACGACGTCACATTCAATAGTACTGCTCCCAGCGATATCTGGTTGGGTCACCCGAGTAATACTGACTATAATCTCTACCAGAAGGCTTGACGTTGGAGGAAGAAGCTCGTGAAACCTCACACTCACACCGCGAATGGAGCAGTACCACGCAGCTTCGAAAGAGGCCTGTCGTTTTCGTCAGCTCCGGCTCTTACAATCCATTGCAACCGCCCACGCCGCAGGCCGAGGACGCAAAGGATGCCTCTAGCGCTGTTGGAGCAACCGAAGAAGCGGTACCTGAAGGAGCAACGCCCCAAGGAACAACACCCGGAGAGGTAGCACTTAAGGGAGCAGCATCTGAAGAAGCAACACCTGAAGAACCAAAACCTGTTGAAGCGACCCCCGAAGAAGCAAAATCTGTTGGAGCGATACCTGAAGAAACAAAACCTTTTGAAGCACCATCTGAAGAAACACAACCTGTTGAAGCGACATCTGGAGAAGCAATATCTGTCGAAGCAACCACTCGAGGAGCAACATCTGAAGGAACGAATCCTGCGGATCTGACAGCCGAACAAACGCCACTTGTAGAAGCGAAAAATGGCGAAGATTCAGTTGAAGAAATCGCACAGGAGCAAACAGCACTTCAAGGACCAACCCCGGAGAAAGAGATACTCGAAGGAGTAGCACCTGGAAGAACAGGATCTGGAGAAGTTGCACCAGAAGATGCAACCCCTGGAGAAGATACCAACGACCATCCTGAAACAGATAATTCCGGTTCCAGCGATGAGGTCATCGTCTTCAAGGGTCGAAGCGCCATGAAGGCCAAAAGGCAGGCCACCAGCATCACTCTCACGACTATGCAGACCGAGATACGGGCGGTGGAAAAGAAAATCTCGGCTGCTTCCAAAGAGCCTCAAAAAGTGCTTCCCATCCGTCCTGCACAAAGCGATGATGACGATTCCGATGATCTGTTATGGCCAAGGAGGAAACGAGGCAAAGGACGTGGGCGGCGAAATCGGGGCAAGGACTCGGAAGAAGAAGCTATGATCGCCGACTATATCGCCAACATGCGCGAGAATGGTGAGATGTTTGAAGGCCTTGGTGATGATGATGAGGAGGAGGAGGAAAGCAGCGAAGACGGCGAAGACGTTCCGTCAACGTCTTTGGACCCGAAGACCGTCGATGACGCTGATGATACCACTGATGACGATGACGCCATTGATGGTCCAGAGTTACCGGAATTTATCAATGGGCTAATGCCCGTCTTTCGCCCTGGTGAGCTGGAAGACGACGATTACCTTGAAGAGAACAATGAGTTCGATCTGATGGACTGGGAACGACCCAGCGTGAGGCGCAAGAAGGGCAAGGGACGCCTGCCGTTTCCCACAGAGGATCTCGATTCGGACGTCGAGGAAGCCCTTCGAACTGCATACAACAATGATCGGCAGAAGAAGGCCGAGCGCAAGAAGGAGAGGGAAGCGTTGCGCGCAATGGGACTGCTTGGCAAAAGGGGACAAGTTGACCTGCGAGCGAAGTATCCGACAGGCATCACTATGACCCAGGTTATCGACGAGGTCAAGACTTTCCTTGCCTCATCCCAAGAAACGTACGTATTCCGTAGCCCCGACATAATGTCCGTTTGGTCCGTTTCCACTCACCGTTTCCTAGCTTGACTCTGCCGCCTATGGATCCGCACACAAGAAAGGGCGTCCATGAGTTGGCGCACAAGCTCAACGTCAAGTCCAAGTCGATCGGGGGCGGCGATCAGCGTAGGCCAGTGCTGTACAGGACGAAGAAGACGTCATATAACGAGCAGGAATTCGAGCAGATTATCGTGAGGATAAGGAGAATATTCGGCCGCCAACCGCCATCCAAGGCAGATAGCAGGAAAAACAGGCAAAATCAAAAGGGGCCAAAGGGAGGAAAGGGATCAAGGCCAGTGGCTCGAGCTGGCGGCGCGTTCGACTATCACGAAGGCGAAGTCATCGGCGCGGCCGCGCCAGAGCTGGGAACCGAAAATCGAGGCCGAGCCATGATGGAGAAGATGGGTTGGAGTACCGGAACGCCTCTGGGCGCCAGCGACAATCAGGGTATCCTGCATCCTGTGAGTCAAACGATGAAGAAGAGCCGGGCAGGCCTCGGACAAGAGTAATGAGCGGACATGGACAGCTTTTTTAGAAGATTCTGTGATTGTTGATGCAGGAAAATAAAATAGCATAATGTGCAGAAACCATTGCTTCGAGATATCCTCGATAGCTATTGTACAACCGCGAACCCCATTGACCGTGAAGACATTGCCCCCATAAAGCAAACCATCCGTAACGCATTAAGAGATCCCAAAGGCGAAACACAGTCACCCATCGTCTCGAGTAAAGACACTAAAGTCACGCAAACAAAACCCAAGTTTTCAGATGTGAAATCAGAACCCAGTCGCCATGAACCCCTCTTATTTCGTGGATGAGGAGTACTTGGTGACGGCCTTGGTGCCCTCAGAGACGGCGTGCTTGGCCAGTTCACCCGGCAGGATCAGTCGGACGGATGTCTGGATCTCTCGAGAAGAGATTGTGGACTTCTTGTTGTAGGCGGCCAGCTTGGAAGCCTCGGTGGCAACGCGCTCGAAGATGTCTGGGATTCAAAGTCAGATTAAAGGGCACATCGGGACGCATGAGACGCGATCAAAGCTTACCGTTGACGAAAGAGTTCAGGATGGACATGGCACGGTTGGAGATACCAGTGTCGGGGTGGACCTGCTTGAGGACTGCATTTGAAAGTCAGAATCGGGTGCCACAATTAGGAGCAAAAGTGTGGAATGGATAACAATGTTTGAAAACAAACAATGTTGGAAAAGGAGAGTGTGAATCTGGATTGACTTACCCTTGTAGATGTAGGAGCTGTAGGTCTCCTTGCGAGTCTTTGACCGCTTCTTCTTATCGCCAGAGGCGGCGGTCTTCTTGCCAGCGTCCTTCTTCTCGGGCGCCTTGCTGGCGGTTGAGGGAGCCTTGGCGGCGGGCTTCTTGTCGGCGGCTTTGGGAGGCATCTTGAAAATAACGTTGATTTCAAATTGATTTCTGAGTCTGAAAGACGAGGGTTGATGATGCAAAATGGCAAAAGGGCGGGCTGGCAGCGGGTGATGATGGAAAGTGAATGGGTGCGGGAACGACGTTCTTGGGGACGAGCTGGGCTTTTGTAGCTGGCACGCGTTGGCGGCCGGTGGATTACTGATTTGGCCTGGAGCAGGAAGGGGTGGCGCGAGCGAGGCCAGGCGCGTGCACGCCCTCGCGGGTACGGGCCAGGCGCTGCGAAAAGTGCGGTAGAGCTAGGTACCGCCGGCTGGACCACTCAGAATTGAGCGCCACAAAGGAAGAAAAAAAAAAATGCGCTGAATTTACTGCTGCCGCTAGCGCTGGTATTTGCCATGTACCCTAAAAATGCTACTGCTTGTGTTGCAGCTATGCCCGCGCTAGGCATTTCTCGGCAAGGCGCAACATTGCTTTCTCACGCATCTCTTCTGGTGACTGGGGCCCAGGTGAATTGAAGGCCTGACCGAATGATGCGATGCGATTGCCTTGCCCGCTCCATAGCTTCTAGTCGCGTCGAGGGTTTGTTGTTTTTTCTCCCGCCTTTTTTCCCCTTTGCTTGAAGCCCATTTTTCCCCTCTCGCAGAGCCACGCGATTGGCTGACGCCCAGTTCTCTTTTTATCGTTGCATCATTTTCTCCCCCACGGGCCTGCCTTCCCAGCTGAGGGCCAAATGTACCTTTCCCTTTGTGAGCTCAGTAGCACATGTATCTCTCGCCTTACGCTGCACGCTACTGGTGTTTTGGCGAAGCGCGCCTGAATAGCCTCACTTTTGATGCTTCAGCCCGCTTACCCTGTAATGCGAAATGAATCGCATGGTGCGCAGTCGCAGTGATATTATCGACATGATATAAAATGCTTCCACGTGCTTGCTTCTCCGAGCTCTAGGTATAGGTAGTAATATGAATATGTGCTTGTGATACGGCGGTACGATTGCTTTTGGTGTGGTAAATGCTCTCACGCAAATGTTCGTACGTGTTGGTGTCAAATAACGCAAGAATAACAAAGCAGTTCCATAGCAATTGAAACTGCCTTTACACACAGAATCGCATCCGCAACAGTCAATGCATGTACAAAGAGACAACTGGGCACAGACCATTGCCTGATCAAGATCAAAGTCACGACGAGAGTCCGCAAAATAACCTCCATCTGTATAACGGGGCATATCTGCGCGTATACTACTACTACTGCAAAGCACATGAAGCGGCCGGGGACGCGCAAGATCTCATGGTGTCAAGATTTACGAAGCCTGGTCCAGATTGTACTCCGTATAGAATCTTGCTATCAGATCCATCATCTCCAAGAATACGGAGTACGATCATCTTCAACACTGTCCCGAATCCATACGTGGAGTTGCTGTTGTCCTTCTGTTTACAAACTGCTACGAGCACGCGTATTCTATTGGTAGAGCTCCATCCGAGCAGAACCCAAATCTCAATGCCCAGTCAAGGAGTCCTGCTGTCCTCATCAGATAGCAAATCACTCCCAGCCATCAACAGACTCGTCTCATCTCACAGAGGAATTTGCTGGACGGCGGTGCATGCGCCGTTGAGGCCCATACCAGCCGTGTCCATGCATGCGCAGCGCCAAGATGGGGCGGAGATGGCGACGAGAGACTGCTGAGTGCCGCGATATCAAGCTTGTACCGCCAAGGTACACTCTGGAGCGAGCACTACCTTAGCTGCATCATTCTCGGGACCCTTATGGAGGTACTCCCTGCCCGTAGCTTTTTTTTGCACGCCCCCGCACCCAAATATCGCAATTGTTTTGCTGGGACACGTCCATTTCCCAGACAGGCCTAGCGCCACAGCAGCTGCGAGAGGGAGGGTGATTGCTGATCTCGCGCGCCGAGCACCAAAAAGTACTTAACTTTGGAGCCCCCCGCCAAATCCAAACCTCGCCATTTACACTGTTTCTCTCAACTCTCCACGCTGCACGATTACCATTCTGACCTTTGCCGCATCTCGCGTCTTCTCGCATCAACCTTTTACGTTAATTTTTTCCGTTAACCAAAAACTCCCACTTTCAAAATGACTGGCGGCGGCAAATCTGGCGGCAAGGCCTCTGGCTCCAAGAACGCTCAATCGTAAGTAGCTTCGAACGCGGTCTACGCGTCCCATATCCATCACAACAAACCAAAACAAAACCGAACTCGATCCAAGGATGCAATTCTGACTCCATTTCCAGCCGTTCTTCCAAGGCCGGTCTCGCGTTCCCTGTTGGTCGTGTCCACCGTCTTCTCCGCAAGGGCAACTACGCCCAGCGTGTCGGTGCCGGTGCTCCCGTCTACCTGGCCGCTGTCCTCGAGTACCTCGCTGCCGAAATCCTCGAGCTGGCTGGCAACGCCGCTCGTGACAACAAGAAGACCCGTATCATTCCCCGTCACCTCCAGCTCGCCATCCGAAACGATGAGGAGTTGAACAAGCTGCTGGGACACGTCACCATCGCCCAGGGTGGTGTTCTGCCAAACATCCACCAGAGTAAGACGCCTGCAGTCCTGAACCGGATTCAACGGTTACTAACATTACGTGTTCCAGACCTCCTGCCCAAGAAGACAACTGGCAAGGCCGGCAAGGGCTCCAGCCAAGAATTGTAATTTTAAAGTTGGTCTTTCTGCGCTTTCTTTCGAGGTCGTTTTGGTTGTCATAAAGGGGTCAAGGGATAAGGTTTACGGTTGCTTTTGTACGTCTGGGTTGTACATTAATCCCCCACGGCTATGATCATGAATCAGTTAGGGTTTTTTTCAAATGCACTTCAGTAAAAAAAACATTTTACCATCTAACAGCGCGTCTCCAAAACATTTGAGTGACATGCCGATCCGTTTGTCTCTCGTCTACCAGCGCCTTTGTTTCGCGAGCCTTTTCTGTTTTCAACTCGAACCCGATGCCTCATTCATTGGACATTTACCCCCATATTGGCCCTTTGCACTGATTCAAGCAAATCGTGTATGATACCTCTTCGAATTCACTTCAATTTGCCATCTTCTTTCGCTTTGCTTGTCTTGGTGAAAATGGCAGCTTGATTACGTCTTATTGATGCTTCGCCTCCCCGCAGCGCCAATACGCACCTTGGCTGCAATTTAGCTGCATTTCTCTGCATCCAATGCCCAATCGGGCTATAGACGTGGCCTTAGTACCTATTCAAGTTTAATGGGCGCCTCGATATAGCGGGTACCTGGCATGCTATTGTTCCTGGACAGCGAAGTGCCTCACAATCGTCCTACTTCCACCACCAAGTCAGTCGATATCAACCGCTTCTCTTTCCGAGGCGGTGAATTGATGGCGGACTCGTGTTTCAACCCAACATTCACTTGCTCATAGCATTTGACTGAGATTATCTTCTTCTGTTTCTCGTGCTTTCATCCATTAGCACCATGTCGGCGACTGATTCTTCTCGTCCACCGGCGGGGGATGCCGGCAGCACCAAAGTCCTCCCTCTCATGACCCGCGATGAAATTGAGGACTTGATTGCGCATGGACGACAGATTATCATCCACCGCGGATATGTCTTGAAGCTGGACGGATGGCTGCAGTATCACCCCGGAGGCGACAAAGCCATCATGCACCTGGTGGGCAGAGATGCAACCGATTGGGTCGACGTGTACGTGAAACCGCTACTCCAGGACGACACATGCATGCACTGAGCAGATTGCTAATGGCCTCTTGCCTGGTTTTAGCATCCACTCGTCGGAGGCAAAAGAGAGAATGCCACGGTACCGGATTGGCCGGATTGAGGGTTCTTGGCTCAACTTCAGGCCGCCAATCCAGGGCGGTGTATTTCGAACCATGGAAGAAATCGAATCGGATCGCCGGAAGGGCATCAACGCCATCTCGACCGGCGAGGACAATAGCTCCTCGAGCTCCCGAGCGCCCTCGCCCGTTTTTGATGTCGACACAAGCGCGTTGCGGGATCGGAAGAGTGCATCAGGGCATGGAGCCGCGAGGTCAGGGTCGGTCTCGTCGGCGTCGACGGCGGATAATGTGCCACTAGATGGCATGTCCTATCTGGACGTTATCACTCGCGAGCATATTCAGCTCGATTTGGAGAAGTATCCCGCGGTGGACGAGGCGACGCAAGCCCACGTCATTGCCAAATACCGCGAGTTGCACCAGAAGATCATCGATGCCGGCCTCTACAAGACGAACTACGCGGCATACGGCTGGGAGTGCTTCCGCTACTTGTCCCTGTTTGCCTTGATGCTGATTGCGCTCTCCTATGGCTACTACGTGGTCAGCGCCTTGGCTCTTGGCTTTATGTGGCATCAGCTCGTCTTCTCTGCCCACGACGCCGGCCATATGGGCATTACTCACAACTACTACATCGATACGTTCATCGGCATCTTCATTGCCGACTTTGTGGGTGGCCTCTCGCTGGGCTGGTGGAAGCACAACCACAACGTCCACCACATCGTGACCAATGCTCCTGAGCACGATCCTGATATCGAGCACATGCCCCTGTTCGCCGTTTCTCATCGCCTGCTGGGCTCTCTGCGGTCTACTTTCTATGACCGAGTCATGAAGTACGATGCTGCTGCGAAGATCCTCTTGCGTATCCAGCCGTGGACTTACTACCCTTTCCTGGCTTTCGGTCGCTTCAACCTCTATGTCCTCTCATGGGACTACATCATCAACGGACGAGGGCCTCGAAAGGGTCAGGCGGCGGCCCTTCGTTGGCTTGAGCTGACAGGGCAGATATTTTTCTGGGCTTGGTTCGGTTATGGGATCCTGTACAAGTCGATACCCGACAACTGGTCGCGGTTCGTGTATGTGCTGGTGAGCCACATTGCATCCTCTCCCCTGCATGTCCAGATTGTGCTGTCGCACTTCGCCATGAGCACCACCGATCTGGGGCCGCAGGAGTCGTTCCCGCAGATGATGCTGAGGACGACCATGGACGTCGACTGCCCTCGCTGGCTGGACTTTATCCACGGAGGCCTGCAGTTCCAGGCGATCCACCACCTGTTTCCGCGTCTGCCGCGCCACAACTTCCGCGATGCGCAGAAGCTGGTCATTGAGTTTTGCAAGGAGGTCGGCATTCCCTACGCCTACTATGGCTTTTCGACGGCCAATGGGCAGGTCATTGGCAGGCTGGCAGAGGTTGCCAGACAGGCCGCCATTTTCTCAAAGTGCCAGGAAACAATCACCAAGTCGAAGAATTTTGACATTTAGATGTTATAGAATGCCATAGAAGGCGATGCACCAGGATAGAGGTGCGTTGCGCGTATATGGAGGCACTCGAGGTTGTAGAGCCTCACACTGTCAAGACAAATACAACCGGTGCTTGTAAAAGCTTGCACCACGGCTAGAACTGTGTTAACATTCAACCAATTTGATACATAGCATTGAGTATTCTTGAATTCAAACTCTATGAATCTTTTCAGATACCGCAAATGGCTGATGCTCAGGTTTATCTAGTGTTTTGCTTCCACGATGGCACCTAACCTGTAATTCAGAGAAGCTTTGACTGTACCTATAGGATAATGGACTATACTTTGCTGGAGCTCGGTATTGTGTAGCGTCACTCACATATAGCTGATGACTATACTTTGCTTCCAGTCTTCCATATGTACTTTCTGTGGACGAACCGGTACCGCTCGTCGTAGATTCGGTGCATTTCCAGGACAACATCAACAAACGCCACGAGTAATTTTTCTCCATATCCCCCATATCGACATCTCTCCAGCAGAACCAACCACCGTTAGCATCCCAGGACAGTACATGAATTAAAAAAACCCGAGAAAATGTCTGACAGCGACGACGAGCCCATGTAAGTTGAAATGAATCCCCCCTTCAAACTCTTAGTCCAAAGGAGGGGGGGGGGAAAAAAAACAAAAGAAAAAGCTATAAGAACTGACTCCAGGCCAAACAAGCACACTCTCCTCCCACGCCCTCGAGGCCCTCCGAGCCTTCGAAGCAGAGCGAGAAGAGCACCAGGCCAAGTTCCAGAAGCTCCAGGCCGAGGCGGAGAGCGACAACGCCCTGCTGTCCATCGACACCTTTGCCGAGGACTGGAACGAGTCTCAATTCTGGGTACGTTTAACTTTCTCTTTCTGAACTTGAAACTCACCCACCCTACCTACCTGTTGTTGGCACATATATATAACAAATACTACTACACCTCCAACATGTGAACGTTTTTTACCCTTACGCAAGAGGGCACTTTCTTCATTGGAATCAATTACTGAGATAAGGAGGGAAAACATTTAGTATTCAGATGAGACGGCAAACACCCTCGCAACGGAGCTGCTCAGAGACGCGACAAGTGACATGACCATCGGCGTCGTCTCAGCGCCGAGTGTCTTTGTCGCCCTCAAGAACATACTGGTGAGTAGCCAAATCTACAATCCACACACACTGTTGATTCATCACGACAATCCCCTCTCTCTATAGCTCTCGAAATACTTCTTCACAATGCGCTAATGTTCCCGGTTTGCCTTTTTTTTTTTTACCTGCTGTAGCGGAGTAAAAGCGATGACGAGAGGCCAAAGCTGGTCCTGTTGGAGCACGACAACCGGTTTGGCGTGTTCCCGGAGTTTTCCTTTTATGACTTTCAACAGCCAGTTAAATTGCCAGGTATGATATGACGAGGCCGACAGCCACACCTTTAGATGTTTCACAAATCCCGCCGTCTCGAGGCTCTGTATAATAACCCTCATGTGTACACCAGGCCACCTGAAAGGGTCCATCGACAGAATCATCTGTGATCCGCCATTTCTGAGCGAAGATTGCCAGACCAAAGGTAAGGACCTCTCACCACCCAAACATCTGATACCTCCGCCCCCCGCCGAGGTCTGCAAGCTAATCATCACCTCCTCTGCCGTAGCTGCCTTGACTGTTCGCTGGCTCCTCAAACCAAGCGGTGCCGGACCGCCACCTCGTCTCATTGTCTGCACTGGAGAAAGAATGGAGACTTTGATCCTCAAGTTATACCGGGCTCTGGGTATCCAGACGACTGCTTTTGAGCCCAAGCATACACGAGGCCTGAGCAACGAGTTCTACTGCTATGCCAATTTTGAGTGTCCCAGCTGGAAGTGGCGGTAAAAGGATGATGCCGCCGTGTTATCTCCAAAGTCCGTTATCTGATGAGCTTGGTGGACGCGCAGGTTAGGACGAGTTACGTTCCTACAGTGCCGCATGACTCTATTGATGAGCTGCGATATCATCCAATGCGAGCCAACTTACCCCATAGTCCAGCGGATATGGATATAGTGTCGTTATCTAGTAGATAGGCACGATGCCTCCCTTAGGCGAGAGACCGGATGATATAAAACAGCAAGTACGCCTGAGCACCGAGTACATCCGACACCCGGGCCAGCTCTACCTTGTGGTCGTTGAATTTGAACCACTGCGAGTGTTAGCAAGGCAGATAGATATAGCGGAACATGAGGAGCCTTACCTGATCTCCCACGCGGCAGTACGACACGTAGTGACCCGTTTCAATCTCGCCGACGTGAACGACAACGCTCAGGAGGTCATACGTGCACGACCTCTCCAGTTCCAAGTTCTCACGACTGTCGCGGTTGCGAGCGCGATTGGTGTATGGAAGCATATTGAGTTGCAACGGGAAAGAGACGGGGTTGTCAATCTTTGACGCGGCCCGGTCGTGTTTTCCCTGCTTGAACTCGAATCTCTGTGAATATGCGTCAGTGGCAGATCCACCACAGGATTTTTCCCTCATAGTATAAAGAAAAAGCATACCTTGAGTTGGATGGACAGTACGTTGGGCAAACGTTTGATGCTGGTATGCCGCCGCGCTTGCTGTATCGATGCGCATTTGTGACACCTGTACTCGCATTTGTCCGACTTGACGTACTCCTCATCCAAACAGTCGCCCAACGTAAGCGCAGGCAGCTTCTGTCCCGTCTTCTTGGCTCGTCTCTGCGCCAACGTGTCAACACCGAGACTGAGGTCCAGGAACGACTGAACGGCATGCGTGGAGTTGTGGCAGTTCTGACAGGTCGTGGTTGTCTGCATCTTGCCGTAAAACGTCTGGTGGATGATGCAGTTGCACGTATGCTCGCTGCCGCTCTGCGGCCTCTTGCCATCGCCGTTTCGCTCGTGAAGCTCCTCGGCCAAGAACTGGAAAAACTCATGGGCATCCTGTTCCTTGGTTGTCACAAGATTCTCAAACGCCTTCTTCTCCGATATCCAGAACCCAGACAGGATGTTGGCGGCTGTATAACCGTTAGTGCTTTCCAGTGCGTAGAAATCCTGAAACATGTCGTCCATGGCGCAGCTTAAGCAGTGGGAAATGCTGCACTCGCTGCTCTGGTGCCCGTCGCTGAGGTAAAAGTTGCGCAGGAGGGGATTGTGAAGGAAGCTCTGAAGAACGACATTCTGGTAGCACGTCGCCCCTGCGTTGTAGATGCCGCGAAGACCGCTCGCGCGGCACGAGGCAACGGTTGTGTTGGCTGAGATGATGCGAGGATCTTCCTTGGACGATTCGGCAAAGAGTTCGTCGTGCTTTCGCTTTCGATTTGCTGATCAAGGTACGTTAGCGACGAGCCGAGAACAGAGGCCGAGGGGGATGTGCCTACTTGAAAACGTCCCAGTCCCTATCTTCCGCACTCGGAGCTCCTCCAGCGTAGGGTCCCAGACCAAGTCGTCGCATATCTGACAGTAGAGGGCACCCGTGCGAGAGTCGACATCTGCGAATTGTTGATGGTAAGCAACCATGAAGTCAAGGGCGCAGTGTAATATTCCGTCGGCCGCGTCGGGAAGCAGCTACGTACAAAATCGATGCAGTTTCTCATTCCCATGTTTCAGCCGGTCCTCCTCGCTCAAGGTAACTGGGCATTGCAGGCACAGGTAGTTGGAGGTGAGGGAAGTGACGGGGCGGCCTTCCTGGTTCGTCGATGTCTGCGAAACGATCGGGGTCGTGTCGAAGATGCCTCGGAGAATCATCTTGTAGTGTGCGATGGAGCTATTCATGACCTCTTGGCTCTGGCAGAGGAGGATCTGGACATGCTCTGGGAGGAGGCAGTTAGCAAGCAGTGCGATTGATTGATTGATTTATAACGACTTGAATGGAAGCTTGAAGCAACCCACCGCAGCCAAAGACTGGGCATCCCGGCGAAGGAGACTTGATTTTGGCATTCTTGGGAGAAGCGGGAGTCGTCGGTCGTGTGGCCATGGCGGCTGTAGAATGGGAATGAAGTGGTGATGATGGTGACGATTCTGTCCGGCTTCGACGCGCCTCTCAGCCAAGGCCTGCCTGGATTGCCGCCCCCAAGGAATAAGGTAAGTAATCGTCGCCAAGTAGCGACCGTTGGGGGAATGGCCTGTGGAAGAGATCTGGTGGAGTCGATTGGGAGGAAATAAGCACGGTATGAGGCTGAAGATCTGTCGCCGGTAAAGGCGATGATTGTCTATCGAGGGTTGAACAATCGGATTGCTTTGGGGCACGCGCATTAACTCGGCTGAAGTTGTAGTGTACACTGTAGGTACGGAGCAGTGGAAAGAGGTTGCCTTGACTTTCAGCCAGTGGGGGGACCAGACATGTGCCGATCTCGTCGATGCGCTATAGCGTGCGTGCCTTGCCTTGGCGGGCGGCTGAGGGAGAGCTAGCGAGTGCTGTAGTAAGGATACCAGGGGAAGGGTGAGAAATCCAAGGATTTGACTTGACGTATAGCTTATAACAGACATCTTGCATATATTTGAATTTATACGAGTACACTTCTCTTTTCATTTCAACCATATCAATTAATCCCCCTGAAGAGACCAACTGAGGCGTGAACCAATCCCCAAAAGCACTAACAAAATCGGCAGCCGTTTTGTCATCGTCCCCGGATACCAGATAAGAGAACTTTCTCTTTCTTCACTTTGATCATACACACTTCCATCCCACACCAACAACAACATCCATCCATCGCAATGCCGCAAGACGCAAGAAAACAGCCACAGCCCGCCTTCTCCTCCCTCTACCTCCAGAGCCTCACCCAGGAGCTCTCCGAGGACCTCGACAAGGTCCGCAACGCCGACGACTTCAAGGCCGACTCCGTGCCCTTCCTCGTCCACGCCCTGCAGCAGGGCGCCTCCCAGTTCTCCCCTGCCCAGCAGGAAGCCGTCCTCAAGGCTGCAGAGGGCCGCCGGGGCTGAATTGATATACAAGTTGTGGTTCGTCACGGTAAGCTGCTTCTTCCCTTTTCTCACCTTGGCCCTTCTTACCGTGTGGACAAAATTCTCATGCGAGGTCACTAGTGCTAGTTGACGTTTGCCCGCAAACACGCCACAGAGGCCAAAGGCGCTCGTCAACCTGTCCATGGCGCAGGGCGTGGTGTGCACTCTTCCTCAGAAAACTCTGCAATGGCATGACTAGAGATCCCGGCACTGGCCATCGAGTTGTGTTCAAGCTGCGCTCAGCTTTTATGGTGCCAATCATACGCAGGTTATCCCGGGACCACAAAAGCTATGATTCAATGGGTTGAAGAAAAAGCCCAGAGGGATTTCACGATGGCCATTTAGATGCGCAAGATGAAACACTACCGTGCGGCAGAGTTCAGCCTCAATATATCCTTCATCAAATGTGTCACTACAGCCTCCTTGGGATGGCTTTCTGCGTCTCCTATCCTAAGATTACACCCTTTAGACTACTCCGTCTAACACTACCCATAGCACTACTCATAGTACTACTCTCCATCGCAAGATAAAATGAATGTGTGGTATCATAATGCCCAAGGGTATCCAATCCGCCTCCCGGTTTATCATGAAGGGTATCTCTATAAGAAAAGAAAAAAACGTGCAAAGGTCGTATAGAAAGAAAAAAGAAAATCATAGGAAACGCCGCCCAGGTCGAATAGCCAAACCCAAAGCACGCATCGCCCCAAACACTCGAAACCGTGTCACGACCCCCCATTCACGGGCAGTTACGCGAGTCTTGTTTGGTTCAAGCATAAGCCGAAGCCTGAGAGTTGCGCTCCTTACGGGTCGCCCACCCCTTGAGAGCCAACACGAGTAGCTCCCAAGACATGAACAAGCCGGTGAAGCCCAGCGTGATGGTGTAGAGCGACATTGGCTCCAAGTCATAGTGGATCATGCCCTTAATGGTATCGGCAGCGCTATACATGAAGATAATGCCACCCGCGACGAGACCAAACGATGCCAGCAGCTCGGTGGGCGGCCGCGAGGGGTAGACGGACTTGGGCGGCTTCAGGTACATGGTGACGTATGTGAGCATCCTGGCCAGAGCAGCGCCGAGCAGCAGGTTGCCCCATTGCTTGTGAACCATGGTTCCGGTCATGGTCTCCTGCGCGTGGCCGCCCATCATCATGCCCAGCAGCATGATGATGAGCGCGGGGATGGGGTTGATGGAGAACTCGTACGTCTCGGGAGGCTCGAGGGCCGCGCTCTCGTCGGCGGAGGTGGGCTGGCTGCTGGTCACCAGAGTGTTGAGCAGACCCCTCAACCAGGTGGATTCAACGAGCATGCCGACCTGTCGCAATATCAGTTAGTATAAGAAAATGACGGAAATGATGTCCAGGTGTGTTTGCGCGTCAAGCTTACCGAGCCGCCACCGAGGAATAGGACGGTGATGGAGAAGTGCTCCAGATCGCTTGGGGTCCAGACGCCATCCCTACTGCCCAGATGCTCCAAGAAGATGTTGGTAGAGCCGTAGATGAAGATGAGGGCGCTCTCGACAAACTCTGCGGACGGGGCCCACCGCTGGCCGGCTTTGCGCTGGGGGCGCAGGTTCCAAGCCCAGCCAGCCTCGTAGAAGCTCCCCGACCAGCGGCCGAGGGTGAGGAGGCCCATCCAGAAGAAGATGCCGCCCTTGATCCAGTGAGCAAGTCCGCTGTAGATGGCAGTGCCCTCCTGATTGCGCATGTCAGTTACATGTTTCTGTGCGGATGCATCCTCGTCAAGTAGGCACTTACAAAGAGGCGACCCATCGTCGCAATGCCGGTAATGTAGGCAACGAATCCAAAGGGCAAGATGATGCGGTCGATCGTCTTGTATCCGAAATCAATGTACTTCCAGACGCGCGAGGACACGACCTTGAGGGCCATGAGCGCCGTCTTGCTGCGCGGGGCCGGCGTCTGCTGCATGGGCATGGGCATGGCGGGGCCGTCGAGGTCCTCGTCGTCGTCCTGCAGCTCCTTGTCCAGATGCGGCTCCTGGCCATCGCGGTCGGCGAGCGTCGAAAACGAGTTGCTGCGCAGCGACTCGGTCGTGGGCTCGGAGCCCTGGCCGCTGTCGTTGGACAGGCGGTAGTGGCCGAAGTAGCTGGCGGCTCTGCTAGGCGGGAGCGGGATGAAGGCGCGGCGCTCCTCGGCTAGCTGATCGGCGGCGGTAGTGGGAGCGGCACCCTTGAAGGCCCCGCCAACGTGCCGGAGCAGGCTGACAACCACCTGCGCAGACACCGTCCAGGTCACGATCCAGCCGATGGGGTGGTGCGCGTTGTGAGGATACAGGTCGGGCGTCTGCGCGTTGTACGCCGTGCCCAGGATCAGGCCCAGCGCATTGGCGGCGAGGAAGACAAACTGCGACGCGAGGACGTAGCGCGACTTGGCCAGCGACAGGGCCACGGCTGTTGTTCTCTGGTTAGTTTTTTATCATTTATTGCATTGTGCGACCAGTACGACTTACCAATTGGGAGCATAATCACCCAGGCCACCGTCATGAGCGCAATGTGCGCGTACAGCACGTTGACATGCTCCGGATGCGCAAAGTACGTCGGCGGGTATTCCGAGTCCTTCTGGTCCGGCGCCATGTCTGCCATGCCCTCCATGCCCTCGTCACCGTGCCGGCGGCTGTTGTCTGCGAGGACGGGCAGCACCAAGCTCAAGCCAAGCACAGCAATGCTGGCGAGCTTACTGCCGGGCGCCGCTAGCTTCATGGAGCTCGGTTGTTGCAGCAGGCGCTCTCTGGAGAATCACGAAGGTTTAGGGGAACGACGAAAGGGCGTTCAATGGGCGTTGCCGGGGGAGAAGCTCTGTTATAAGATACGAGCTCCGGAATGCGCAGTCTCAACGAATCAAGGACGATACATGCAAAGACGTCTTTTGGAGCAAGGAAGGAGGAGGAGGAGGAGGAGGAGGCGGGAGGAAGAGAGATGGGCAGGGCAGGAGGAGGAGGGCTTGCTCGATCACGTCAAACACTCAAGAAGCTACTGCGAACAACAAGAAGCTTCGGAATTCTTCAAGAGTCATGGGCGGGTGGGTGGCTTGTCTTTTAAAGGAAGAGGCAAAGGCAACAAATCGGCAGCTTGTCGAAGCCGCTCCATCCCGCACGGCGGGCCCTGAGCGGCACATGAAGCCAGGGCTGCGATGGTCAAATCGTCATGCGAGAATTGGAAGGCCAAGGGTACGAAGTACAAAGCCGAGAGCATGCTGGCTTGTGGGCTGGATGCGAAGATGAGGTTGAGCTCCGAGGCTTCCGAGCCTCGCGCCTCGTTAGTCGTGCCCAGAAGACGGTCTGTAGGCGTACCGGAGCTTGTCAAGGGAGGTACGTAGCAGGCAGAACACCAAAGAAGCATGAGTGGGAATAGTAGAAGGATAAAAAAAAAAAAAAAAGAACACCTCATCTCCACCCTCGGATGAGCCAGGTGGGGGTGCTGCGTTTCCTCTTCCAGCGATTTCGGGAGCGGATGGTGAGGTGAGGATGGAACGGTGCCGGGCTCGCGTCTAGAGAGGAGGAGCATGGCATCCATTCCACGGCCGGGATTGCTTCGTGTATGTAACGACTAGGGAGGTGCTAGTACATAAGTTTGAACCGTGAACAGATCCGGAGCGCTGCTGGGAGATACCGTAGGTAATGAAAGTGCTCCCTACTCGTACTGGCTTCTGTAGTTGCAGTACGTGTAAATCAACGGCGCCTCCTCCGGCGCCTCCTCCTCCTCCTCCTCCCTATCTTCATCTCCAAAGTGGCGTAGGGCGAGGCGTTCCGTCACATGCGAAGCTGAAGGTGCCAAACAGAGCTTGTGCGCAGCGGAAATAGGCAATAGCTACACGCAGCGATGGCTGTTCGGGGGGCAGCCGAACGCAGTGCCATGCCCATGACGCAACAATACGGTCGTCTGGAGAACCCTTGCCCGTTGGAGGGCCCGGCAGCTGCTGGCTAAGGAATACGCTCTTGCGGCATCTCGGCTGTCAGTCAGTCTGTCTGACAAACCCGGCCCGGCCTCCCATCGTAGAGGTTGCCTGCTAAGGTACGAGTAGATTGACAGATACCATGACCCCATGCATGGACACGCTTCGGAGGTAAGGCGCATCTGCTGATAGGCTGCGACTTACACAGACAAGCGTTACCGAGACTTGACAAACCCGCCGGGCATGAACGCAGCAGCCAGTGCATCCGATGCGACGTCGCCCTCACTTACACGCAGACTCTGCTGATCGGGTACCATGTACGCGAAGTAGGCAAGGTATGGAAGAGCGTCGTCGTCGACAGAAGGGCGGTGCGCGTGTTCGTTGCGTCGCGGCTTGCGTATCGAGGCTGCTACAGTACCCAAGCGATGAGTGAGCGAGTAAGGTGAGTAAGTGAGTTATTATTACACGGATCCAAGTAGTAGTACTCCTTATTAGCCACCGCGGGAACGACTCAGTCAATGCATGAGGCCATTCGCAAGTAGTACTTGCGTACTTGTGCTGTCAAACTACACATCTCGATCCCCTTCTCTCCCCCCCCACCAGCCGTTGTCCTTCTCGCCCGATCGAATTTTTCTTCTTCTCCTTCCTCCTCCTCTCGCCCCGGTGATTCCGGAGCTGGAATCGGACATCGGAGCGCGAACCCATCGGCTGGCTGCGCTTCTCCACCGAAAGCGCTGTGACGAAATGGCTGGGCTGGGATTCACAGAGCTGGAGCTCCCCACTTGAGGCCATCTTGGCGCTCTTTCCTGGTGTGATGGCATGGGATTTTGCGGCCTGCTGCTGCTGGTCCTGGTCAAGAGGATGAGCAGACCCATGTTTGCGACTGGGTCATCTGATGGCTTGGTGTTGCTGTTAATTTTCTGTCTTATTTTTTCTTTTCTTACTTATGCTTCTTCTTTTCGTTTCCATCCCGAGGCTGACGTGACTGATTGTACGAGGTACAGTTATAGGCAAGATAAGGTATGCATTCCGAGAGCAGAGGAGCTGCAAACGCAGCCTTTCGCCTGTCCACAAAGCCGACAACCGTCTCGTGCCGCCTCACTTCTGGACGACGCCTCTTCCCCTTTGCTTGCCTCACCTTGCCCGCAAATCTGCTCGACTGCTGCTGTACTTTGCAAACACTGCTACCCTTTTCTCCGTGGCTGCAGCCGAATCACTCGTCCACTGCCGGGATGGTGGCGTGACCCCAATCAACGTGGAAAGCTGCATCCGCATCGATTGGTCCGATGAGGCAGCAGGCCAGCCTCTCCCCCACAGCCCTGCAGCCACAATTGGCGGTTTTCTTCAATCCGCCCAAGGCTCTTTTCTTCGAGGCCAGGGTAGTATTGATTCCAACCACTCAGGCAGTTTGCAATTCTGCATCCTGCACATGGCCAGTTGCTGCTTCGTAACAAGAACGAGGTACCCCGTACGAAGTACAAAGGGAGCTATACGTTCTGGCGATTACCGAGGCCACAGGGCCGGCAGCGAGCAAAATCACTCGTCCGATATCCCGCGCGCCCGTGCCGTAAGAACCAACCTGGTAGGATTATTCGTGAATACATAGTTCCTACAGGCGCGGAGCATGGAGTCCGCGGATATTCTCACCCATCGGCCGGCAAATCGCACGAGGTCCCGCTTGGGATCGCGATCGCCTGCGGGATCCTGGTCACTTGGGTGTTTCTTTCATCGGTCTATGGCCGATTAATAATGGCCGTCTAGTTCCGGAAGGGCGTTTGAGTCACCCGCCGGTGTTGACAAGCTGTACGGCAGTAGTTCGCGATGTGATTTGCTTCTAGTAGTAGTATTACTTCCTGTACACCAGTAATAATGCTCGCGATTGGAACTTGCCCAAGTCCTACAATGAAGGCATCTCCAGCCACACACACACACACACACACACACACACTGGGCATCCAAGCGGACTGGAGGTTGCTTTGCTTTATCGCCGACCGCCTTACATACATACATGGGAAGTGCCTGTAGATCCCAGCAAGCACCCAAAACACCCATCCATCAACCTCTGTTTTCAAAAAGGCCGGGGGAGGGGAAAAAAAGAACTTGCGCCGTCCAATCGCATCTAGTTGCCCTCATAGCTCCATGACATGGGTCATTATGCCAGCTACCTACCTACATGTAACCTCAACTTCCCCAGCCGTGGACATTTCCCCCCCGTTGCCGGTGCCGTCAAAACATATGACTTCGCTTATCGTCGTTTTCCATATCCTGGTTCAAATCGTAGGATGAAGTACAAGTATTGATGGAGGACACCTTGATGGGAGGGCGCCAAAGCGTTGATCGTACGAACATGGGATGTCGGCTATCAATCAACTCCGAGTCACCTCCACAAGGTACGGAGCAGAACAGTCCTACTGAGACAGCTGGATCGATATCCGGCTATTTTGGATTGCTTCTCACCTTCTTCCAATCACCGCCGAGGCAGCCATACTTGAATGTCCCACGCTCTTTATTAACAGCTACTACTACTTCGTACATTCTAATCATGAAGCTTACAGCCCATCTACAGGTGATGCTCGTGAAAGCTCCTACAACAGCATTTTCCTGGGGTCCTCGATGTACTCCTTGATCTTGACCAGGAACTGGACGGCTTCCCTTCCATCGAGCAGACGGTGGTCGTACGTCAGGGCCAGGTACATCATGGGCCGGACCTCCACCTTTCCGTTGACGGCCACGGCGCGATCCTTGACGGCGTGGAGACCCAGGACGGCGCTCTGGGGCAGGTTGATGATGGGGGTACCCATGAGGGAACCGAACACGCCGCCGTTGCTGATGGTGAAGGTACCGCCAGCCATATCCTCAATCGTGAGCTTGCCGTCGCGAGCCTGGGATGAGTTAGCAATGCCGCCATGACTGTCATATATATGCAAGCAGCGGTGCTACTACTACTGACCTTCTTGCCCATCTCGGCAATAGCCTTCTCAATGTTGATCATGTCCATCGACTCAACATTGCGCACAACGGGGGTAACCAGACCCTTCTCCGTGGCAACGGCGACGCTGATGTCGACGTAATCGCGGTACACAATGGTGTCTCCGCCGTTGGGGCCCTCAATGGACGCATTGACGGCGGGGATGTCGCGCATCGCCAGCACCGCAGCGCGCGAGAAGGCGCTCATGAAGCCCAGCTTCACTCCAGTCTTCTTGAGAATCTCCTCCTTGTAGAGCTTGCGGAACTCCATAATGTTAGACATGTCCACCTCGTTGAACGTCGTCAGTGACGCAGCCGTGTTCTGAGACTGCTTGAGACGCTCGGCAATACGAAGTCGCATACGGTTCATTTTCACCTGCATCAAATCGAGTTAGACGGTCTAGAAGTGAAAAAAAAACCCAGGATATCACGTCAAGGGGGTCGGGAACCTACCCGACGCTCTTCGCGGTTTCCAGGTGCCGGGGTAGATGACGATGCCGCAGCAGGCTCGGGCTCGCTCTTCTTCTGGGGCTTCTCGGCGGGCTTCTCCTTGGGCTGGGGCGGAGGAGAAGGCTTCTCGCTCTTGCTCGGCTCGGGCTGTGACTTTGGCTGCTCTGGTTCCGCCGGTTTTGACTCGGACTCAACAGGGGGTTTCGACTCCTCCTTGGGCTTCTCCTGCTCTCCTGACGACGCCGGCTTCTCGGCGCCAGTCTCGACACGGACCAAGTCCTGGCCAACCGTCACGGTGTCCTCCTCCTTGACGAAAAACTCCTTGATGACTCCGGCTTCTGTTGCGTTGACGGCGACGTCGATCTGTAGACGCGGGGCATGAGCGTAGCTCGAGTCACAAGGGGGGTCAATGGAAACGCACCTTGTCCGTCTCAATGGTGGCAATCTCCTCATCCTGCTCAACGTAGTCGCCAACGGATTTGGAAAACTGCTTCAGAGTTCCCTCGGATATGGACTCGGCCATGGGCGGGACCTGGATGATCTTGTCCGCATACCACCGGACCAAGCTCGGGAGGCCCTGGCGGAAGACGGGGGATGGGCGCAAATGGCGCATCGGCGCCATGCGGGAGACGGCAACTATGCTTCGAGACAGCATGATGGGCGAGCGTGATTCGTGCGCGAGAACGAGTGGTGGTCGAGGGGGATCAAGGAGAGAGGTTCGAGGTTCGAGGTCGGCTATACTGCGTAATTAAAAAAATGTATCCTCGGCAGATGCATATCGGGAAAAGAAGGACTGTGCGCAAGGAAGCGTCATAGTGTAGGCATAAAAGAGCAATAGCCGACTAAGGGGGATTAGACGCCTAGTAGGAAACGGAAACAAGGAAGAAGCCGCTATGAGTTCTAGAAGATGCAGTTGAGGATGCCTTGTAGCCGATCCCTCGATTGAAATTATGTCACGGTCTAATTCTACTTTCGCCTTATACTGCATTCTTTCGTATTACTACGACTCTTTGTCGGATTGGCCCAATATTCGATAATAACATGCGTTTCTATATAAGTGAATTTTTCGGGTGTAGCCGACCCCTGGGCTAGTAGTACGTCATTCAGGAATTTTTGACAGCCGGGTCCTCGCTGCGACGGCTGGTACAACTTTTTTTTTTTGTCCAGCATTTTTTTCCGGTCAAATCCAGCCTTTCCCACGCCATGCCGATATAACACGAATTTATTTCTGTTCCAGTGGACTGGGACCTTTAATCGATCGACATGCCGTCTACAGATGTTGCGGAGCTTCAGAAAAAGCTCTTCAAGCGCATGGGCTTGAGCGTGCCGGAAGAGAAACCGCAGACCCAAAGGCGCCCGTTCAAGCAGACCAAAGGAAGCTTCAGCCAAGTTTCACGCCGGAAAGAGCAGAGAGCGCAGAAGAGGGCGCAAAGCCACTCGAAGCATCCTGCTCCTACGAGGAAAGGTGCCATTGGCGCCGCGTTTCCTCGGCAAGAGAGGAAGCCTCAGCACCAGCCTCAGCCTCAACCTCAACGACGGCCGGCTTCCCCAGTGGAATCGGCATCCAGCGATGACGACGCGACGCCAGACGAGCAGGATGACGACTTGTCTCAAGAGTCCGATGAAGACCTCGGCAGCGAACTCGGCAGCGATGACGACCTAGAGGACGGGGATGATCTCGACTCAGAGGAGAGCCTCTCCGAGAGTGACGAGGCGCAGACGCCAGGGAAAGGGTCATCAAAATACGAGGGCCTCCCCACGGCCGTCCGCGAGAAGCTAGCCCAAGACGATAAAGAGATTGAAGAATTCGAAAGGAAACTGCGCATCAAGAAAGGATCATCCTCGCTGCCGAAAGCTTTCAGAGACGATGGGCTCGACGAGCTTTTGGGTGATGTTGGGTCGGACCATGAGACGGCGGAAGCAGACGACTCACTCAAACGGAAACAGCAATTCGATGACTGGTTGGCTTCAAAGCGGAGGAAAGCAATGCCTGAGGCGGCTGGCTCCGATAACTCTGATGGCTCGGGAGATGAAGACGACTTTGGGTTCTCGGACGACGAAGATGGTATGGACGACCAGGAAGAAGATGCGCCGCATGATACCAAGCCCAGAGTAAAGGAGAACCCGTACGTGGCGCCTACGACAGGGGCAGTGGTCGGCAAATATGTCCCCCCTTCGTTGCGAAAAGCCGCCAACTCAGAGTCAGAAGCGAGATCGCGGCTGCAGAAACAGATCCAAGGTCTGGTGAATCGTCTTACCGAAGCGAATATTCTGGGCATTGTCAAATCTGTCGAGGATCTGTACCAGAATAACGCGCGTGGTGATGTTACCGAAATTCTTACGAGCACAGTTCTGGCGCAAATGTACAAGTCTTCAAGCGTCCCGGACCAGTTTCTGGTTCTCACAGGCGGCTTTTCCGCTGCAGTCTACAAGGTGATTGGATCCAGCTTTGGCTCCCATCTCATACAGCAGATTGTGGTAAGCTTTGGGGAATCCTATAAGCATGCCACGCAAGAAGGGAGCAGCTTCGCGGAGATCCCAAAGGAGTCATCAAATATTCTGGGATTTCTCACACAGCTATATCTGTTTGAAGTTGTCAGCTGCAAAATCATGTTTGATTACATGGAAAGATTCCTTGCGGACCTGAACGAGCTGAATGTCGAGCTGCTTCTGCGCATCTGCCGCATGGCAGGTCGTCTTCTACGAAGAGACGACCCTAATGCGCTCAAGCATGTGGCATCGATTCTCAACAAAGCAGTCAACGAAGCCGGATCTTCTAGCGAACTGTCTGTACGAACAAAATTCATGGTTGAGACGATCAACGATCTTGGCAAGAGCAAGCCCAAGGCGCGAGGATTGGATTCTTCCATTGTATCGGATCACGTCCTTCGCATCCGAAAAAAGCTCGGCGAGCTCAAATCCCAGTCGCGGAGACTCGATGGTCTGGCACCAATGGGATTGAACCTGGAGGACATTGAAAAGGCAGACACAAGGGGCAAGTGGTGGCTGGTGGGAGCAAGCGTCCCAGCCAAGGAGACATATCAAGAGTCGGAGAAGAAGTCGGCATCCACTGCTAAGAACGATCATCATGACCTGTCCGACGACAACGAAGACATGGATATCGTGCTGCCAGACTTTCCCAAGAAGGCCCGCGGCCAGGGCTTCCACACCTCGGCACAGATAGCCATCTTCACAGCCATCATGTCCGCGTCAGATTTTGAGCAAGGGTACCGTCAATACGTCAACCTTAAACTGAAGAAGGACGATCAGGCTGAGATTGCTCGCGTCCTTGTGCAGTGCGTTGGGAGTGAGGCGAACTACAACGAGTATTACGCGCTGGTGGCCAAACAAGCCTGCTCGAACAACCGAATCAGGTTTGCTTTCCAGGACAGGCTATGGAAAATCTTCCGGAACCTTGGCGAGCTCATGTTCGGCGAAGAGCCAGAGGATGAGGAGAGTGCCGAAAGCGAGCAGCTGAAGGATGAGCGACGCCTTCGTCACGTGGCTCGCTTTTATGCAGGCTTGATATTCGACGGGGCGTTGAATATCAACATATTGAAGCCTTTGAACCTCCCTCGGCTGAACAAGTGGACTCTCCTATTTGTCGAGCAGCTCATTATCAGCTTGTTGCAAGCCTGCCGGGGAAGCGAGGCAAAGGAGAACGTCAGGGTTGCCAAAGTGTTTGGCGTAGTGGCAGAAGTGCCAACGCTTGCAGCAGGCATGGACTGGTTCCTCCGGAAGAAGGTCCGGAAAAGCAAGTTGCTGACGTCAAAGGAGATGAAGAAGCTGGAGAGGGTAAGGGAGAGAGCTGAAGCTACCGTCCAACTCCAGGCGGCGAGGGAATGATTGTGAATAGGGGTGCCATTTCCTTCCCCTGTTCTTCGCCTTCGCTCGTCTTCTAAGCATCATAGGTCAGCATGGAGGGCAATGTCAAGATACACATTGGCAGCTAGATGATGGTTTCGACGTTTTAGCGGTGTATTGGAATAATATGAACTCAAAGGGGCTGACAGATCCGATTGCCGAGGATCTGAGGCTCAACGAAAATCATCAGGAACGCAGCTTACAGTGTCCGTGACGGTGTCATGAATTGGTCATCAGCTCTCGCCCCGTGAGTGCGAGTTCTGCTCTTCCAGCAGACAAGGTGGCAATTCGCCCCTAAGGAACTGATGTGGAATACTCAGCAGCCTAGAAGCCGGTGGCCAATGGCTTGTGGCAGTTCTTTTGCCCGGGTTTATTGCCGTATGTCCTGAGATGGCGAGCATCATTGTTGATAGAACGAGCCTGAGATCTCTAATACTACTATAGCAGCGAGGCGTCCCGTATCTAAGCGAGGATAGCCCAGGCCGAATTGCGCCGTTAGACCGGGGAGTACTTGGGGGTTACCTCACAGAGACATGTCGAGGGGCAAAAGGAGCGAGCGGCCGAGGTCGCAGGGCGCGCAAGACACCCCACCAAAGCTCTAACCTGGGAGGTAACGCCAGTGTAGCTGCTCGTACCGCCAAGTTGCCGAATAGTCCCTGCGCAGTGCTGGAAGTTCTAGTTGGTTCAGGCTGTTCAGGTAATCACAGACAGCGACAGCGCCCTGTGCACCGTCACGACGCAGCGGAGCTTCCCTAAAACCGGCGGGCCCAATTGCTATAGGCCCCAAAAAGCTGGTTGAGCGATACCGTACAAGAAGTTCTTCTCGGAACCTCCCCCAAACCTGTCCAACTTCTGCCCTTCCTCCACCAATTCTATCATATCGCAACCTGCAAACGGCTTCCCAGCATGCTTGTTAGCCGCCTGATACCCCGAAGTGCCGTCCGCACGCTGCCGACCAGGCAATTGACGTGAGCGCCCAGTTTTTGTCGTTTGGCAGGCCGATGTCTTGCGATAGTGGAAAATCTCTCGCAATGTGCTAACCCGCTTCTTTGTCCAGTCTGTCACGATGGAGCCGAGGATTCGCCTCTGCTTCTGGTTAGTCGCCCTCGAGAGAATCAACGAAGAAGACGAGAAGAGGAGATGGTTGTTTGAAATGCGCAAGAACATGTGCTGACTTCGCGGGACAGAGGAGAAGGACCTTGTCATCATCGGAGGTGGTGTTGCCGGCTACGTTGCGGCTATCAAGGCCGGACAGGAGGGCTTGAAGGTAAGGAGAAGAAGAGGGTCGATCTTTTGGTTCTTTGCGACGAGCAACACCAGTAACTGACTGCTTCTGTGCTTTTAGGTGGCCTGTATTGAGAAGCGAGGCACCCTCGGCGGTACCTGTCTCAACGTTGGCTGCATTCCCTCAAAATCTCTGCTCAACAACTCGCACCTCTACCACCAGATCCTCCATGACTCAAAAAACCGCGGTATCGAGGTCGGAGAGGTTAAGCTCAACCTCGAGAACCTCATGAAGGCAAAGGAAACCGCCGTTACCGGCCTGACCAAGGGCGTCGAGTTCCTGCTGAAGAAGAACGGCGCCGAGTACATCAAGGGTACCGCGTCCTTCCTCAACGAGCACGAGGTCAAGGTCGACCTCAACGACGGCGGCGAGTCCGTCATCCGCGGCAAGAACATCCTCATCGCCACCGGCTCCGAGGCCACCCCCTTCCCCGGCCTCCAGATCGACGAGAAGCGCGTCATCACCAGCACCGGTGCCATTGCGCTGCAGAAGGTCCCCGAGACCATGACTGTCATTGGTGGTGGTATCATTGGACTTGAGATGGCCTCAGTCTGGTCACGACTTGGAAGCAAGGTCACCGTTGTCGAGTTCCTCGGCCAGATCGGTGGACCCGGCATGGACACTGAGATCTCCAAGGCCATCCAGAGAATCCTCAAGAAGCAGGGTATCGAGTTCAAGGTCAACACCAAGGTTGTCAGCGGCGACACCAACGGCGAGCTTGTCAAGCTCGACGTTGATGCCGCCAAGGGTGGCAAGCCCGAGACCGTAAGTAGCCAATGAATCCGCCGCGAGAGAATCTCTCTCATACATGGATGCTAACTCGCGTCGCAGATTGACTCCGAGGTTGTCCTGGTCGCCATCGGCCGTCGCCCCTACACCCAGGGCCTGGGCCTGGAGAACATTGGCCTCGAGCTGGACGAGCGTGGCCGCGTCATCATCGACTCCGAGTACCGAACCAAGATCCCCCACATCCGTTGCATTGGTGACGTGACCTTTGGCCCCATGCTTGCCCACAAGGCCGAGGAGGAGGCTGTTGCCGTCGTCGAGTACATTGCCAAGGGCCACGGCCACGTCAACTACGGCTGCATCCCGTCCGTCATGTACACCCACCCCGAGGTCGCTTGGGTCGGCCAGTCCGAGCAGGACCTCAAGAGCCAGAACATCCCCTACAAGATCGGCACCTTCCCCTTCAGCGCCAACTCCCGAGCCAAGACCAACCTCGACACGGACGGCCTCGTCAAGATCCTCGCTGATCCCGAGACCGACCGCCTGCTGGGTGCCCACATCGTCGGACCCGGTGCCGGCGAGATGATTGCCGAGGCTACCCTGGCCCTCGAGTACGGCGCTTCCAGCGAGGACATTGCCCGAACCTGCCACGCTCACCCCACGCTTTCCGAGGCCTTCAAGGAGGCTGCCATGGCCACTCACGCCAAGGCCATCCACTTCTAAGCTGGGACGGAGTAGGAGGGAAGAAGAGGCCGAGTCCACAACATCAATGGCCTAGCATTGGAGAAGGGATTTCTCAAAAAGCCAATAGGTCATGTGTAGCGAGGAAAACGTACAAAAAATATAGATATGGGGGATGCAATGAAGCATGTCATGCATTCTCCAGGGCTGTCATGAGGAGGGACAAATGTCGGAGACTCGACGAAACTGGATCTATCTTGTAGAACCGAGTTTTCTCAAGGGTTGTATAACTATGAACAAATATAATAAAAGCCAAAAGAAGCAAGCAATGTTTTCCCTTTCTCATTAAGTTGTACCTAGTGTTAAAGATATGGAATCGTAAAAAAGAAAACTCCTTCTTTCCCAAACTCCTGTTAGTTCTCCTCCATATACCAAACTACGACCCCTGAACTAGGGACCTAGGGTGTCAATGGAATAGATATACTTCTAGCAATCTCAAACGCTCAGCTCACAAGAGCTGGCAACGCTGGTCGCTACAAGGGTAACCCTCAATCTATCAACGCGATAGGATGCGAAAAATCTAATGTCTGTCTCTGGTCATGCCACACTGACCCCGTGTATTCCTTCACCAACAGCCGCCCAAACTCCATTGAATCTCAACCATGCAAAAGATAAAGGAGAAAAAGAAAGGTCCAAGATCAAAAGACTCCTCCCCCACGACGGTGATGCGTCTGCCGAAACTGGTTAATCAATCCGAGAACACCGCCCTCCGGCTCGTTGGAGTTGGCCATGCTGTTCTCCTTGCTGAGGCCCCTGCCCGGCGATGTTTGCCACATGGACTCTCCGAGCATAGCTCCAGCCTCGGTGCTGTCTCCTCCTGCTCCTGTGATACTCGCCTCTGTCTCATACGGCTCCTCGGGGATCTGGCCATCGGCGCGATGGACTCCCCTGGACGGACGCGGCTTATACGGCCCTCTGCCGGCCACGGTTGAGATGGACGGTTGATGACGGGCATCTAGGAGCATGGACGCCATGGGTGATGGCTGCGTGATGCTGTGCCCGCCTCTGGGGAACGCACCCAGACCCGCTGTTCGGCTCCTGTTTCTACCTGTTTCTGCAACCCCTACCTGAGAGGCTTGCATGTCAGCTGCGAGAGTGGGCGAGTTGAGATTTGGAAATGCAGGCGGAGGATGGAATGGCTGCTGTGCTCCTGGAGGCAGGTGACCAGGGATGCCCGTCTTCGGATTGATAACGTAGTTGTCGAGGAAGCCATAATAGGACGCAGCCATCTTGCCGTGTTTTGTCGAGTAATAATCCTCGCGGACGTCGTTGGTCACCCCTCGTCGATCCACGCCTTGCCCTGGCCCCTTCTTGAAGTCGAATACGGCAAACGAGCAGACGTAGCCCAGCCCATCCACATGCACCGTAAACTCCCGGAAGAAGTCTACAATCTGGTCACTGCACTTGGGCAACGACAGCAGCAGTAGCAAAGGGGTGGTGATGATGCCTAGAACCTCTTCCAGAAAGATGACCACCTTCATCTTGTACAGTTCCGAAAACTCCTGCTTAACTTCGAAGCTGTGCAGCCTTCCCTGCCAGTGATCAGGCATGTAGTGGGTATACTCGATAACGTTCCTCAGAGCATACTCGGGATTGAAGACCAAAGACTCTTCGGACACCATTCCGCGGGTGATGGCCCAGATGCCTCCAAAGATTCCCAGGTAGAACAAAGCAGTCCGATCTTGGGTGATTTCAAACGACAGGAACAGTTCCGAATCAAGGAGAGTGCAAACTGCAAGAATAGCAGTGAGTGCGCCGGACATGAAGGAGATGCTTCTCGCAATCTCTTCCGTCATGCGTTTGGGAAACTGATCGATGTATCGGGTTGCAAACGGAAAAGACATGTGGAGCCGCTCGTAAAAGATGTGAGGAAGCTCATTGAACTCGCGAAATTTCCATTCAGCAAGCGACGTATATTTCCGTGTTGCCGCGAGCTTGGGGTCCTTTTGATACTCCTGTATGTGTGCAGCGATTAGCAGGAGTCACATGAGTTCTTCAGTGATAAAGGGGGAGAACGTACATTGTAGTAAGTAAAAAAGTAGACAATGACCACATATGCAAGCACGATGGGGGCGAACAAGAGGTTCAGCAACCCAGCAAAGTAGAATCGCTGCTTCAGCTTTTGGCTCAGGATGCCTCTCCGCTCGGCACGCAGGAAGTCTTGCTGTACTTGACCCAGTTCGTTAAATGCCATGTCAAGGATACAGTAATGGAGATACCATTCCATGGTCTTTGAAAACAATTGACGACCGCGGAGAAAGGGAAACGGAAGCGACAGGTCGAGGATGTCCTTGTTGATCATGGCGATGAGGTAGTTCTCCTTGCGCATCAGTCGATTGGCAATGTCGTGAGCGTCGAGCCGCTCCTTGGATTGGCTACCGATGAAGCGTCGTAGGTTCTGCGGTATATCGGTTGCCGTCCGGGGGTTCTGATCTCGCAGAGCCATGATCCTAGCAACAACGTCTTGCCATGATATCGTCTGCATGTCCTGTTCCGGAATCTCAAGAAGAACGATGAAGAACTCGCGGATAAAGTGCAGACGGCGGATCTCAAAGAAGTACTGCACAGACTTCCAGATGAAGAAGAAGGAGTAGAGCCAGATGCCAAAGCTCCAGAGGCTCGACATTTTCTGGGTGCAGCGAGGCACGACGACGTCTTTCAACGCCTGGCTATGCGGCACCTTGGAGTATTCGACACACTGGGTCAAAAAGGTCAACAGGATAGCCACGAACAGAGTTTCCCTGCCATCTTCACGTTAGCCATCAAGAATTTCGACGTGGCTCAAGAAGGACGAAGAACCATGGTCTGCGCTTACAAGAGCCAGAGGGCATTCGAACACATAATACACCACATGCCGCCGCCTTCATAGTAATCGTACACGTCCCTCATGAAACTGTCGAGATTCGTAATGTTGACCCATCTCCACAGGGCAGCGTTCTTGCGGTCAAAGGACCTCCCCGTGTTAAGCAGAGATGTAAAGGGCGCCGACGTCGGTGGAGGGTTCGGGTTGGGAGGCTCCCGCCTCGCCTCCTCGGCGTGTGGCCGCCACTGACCCCGGCCATGGCCGTGGCTCGACGAGGGGTCGCCGCCGCGATAATGCTGTGCTTCTGCATGGTCCGTCGCCGGGTTCGTGTTCGCCGTGGCCTTGTTTGACTCGACGAGGAGCGATGCGGGCACGTCGTCGTCACCTTCGTCATCGTGATGCGGCCATCGTATGGGCGGACCCCGGTTGCCGTTGGAGCCTCCCCGGGCATCCTGGTGAAGGGTGTTGGACCCCGGAGACAGCATGCTGTCGGCGTTGTTGCGTCGTGACGCAGCGGCAAGCGTCGGTGCAGGGATGGTGCCAAAGACCCGGCTGGAACTGTGCCCGCGAGGCCGGGCCTCGATGTCGTCGTCGTCGTCGTCGTCGAAGGATCGCAGCTGTTCGTAAAACGACCGGCCGCCGTGCGTAGACGATGTAAGTTGCGAGAATATCTTGGGAGCCATCTCGGAAGGAGGCTCAATCACAGAGCAAGGTCGTTGTCTTCCAGCTCCAGGCTACCATGTTCATGTGGAATCGCCCGCGAGATGGGGAGGGAGAGCGGGCCGGAGACCGTTGATCTGCAATGTGCCAGCGATGCACATATCAATGCCCTCTTGCGCAAGGGAAGCTGGAGAGAGGCGAGGAGATGCTGGACACTTGGTCGGAGAGGGCAGACAGTCAGCTGGTGCAGGAGCAAAGTTACTGCCTGATGGCCGTCAGGTGGCTGCTTGATGGAGGGAGATGTCACGAGCTATGATCTAAGCGTGCCGGGAGTGACAAGCTGAAGTAAGTACAGTACCTAACCAGATCTTAGCAGAGGGGAGCTACCCGGATACAGAAGAGTGGATCGCCTGAGCAACTGCCGTCCAGGCGGATCAACCAGCCTTAATACGACCTGGATCTATATAAAGAAGAATGACATATTATAGCTAGTAGTATTACTTTACATTTTTTTATATAGAGGGATCAATAAATAACTTTACATTAAAATCTAAGTAATTACATGCGACAAGTTCAAGAATAACGAATAGAAGCAGTCATCTGTCCCTAGATACGCATGTAGACACACTTGATTTTCTCCTGTAGAAATACACTTGGATGGAATCTATTTACTATCTTTTGTTCTTGTCAAGAATGGAAACAAGTAATTATAGCCTATTGCTTTGTATAATCTCTATAATTACCGTATGCGAGTATCCCTTACAGACTATCGTTACGTTTGATAAAGTACGCTCTAGAAGAAGATTGAGTCAGCATTCTGGGTCATCATTCATACAATCGTCGTACGTGGAACAAAGAGCGCAACTCACTTTGAAAACTCATAGGCTGACCAGCAAATCGCCGTGCTGGGCATTGTTGTGACAACCCTGGGCCTGACTCCCTTGAAGAAGCCCCTGAAGCCCTCCCTTCTATACAGCAGCTTGCAGCCTTCCGCGAAGCCGCTGACGTTTCGGACCTGCGGATCCGAGGACGTGCCTCTTGTTTGTAGGATGGTCTTGATCACATCCATGGGCGTGGTCAGACCAGCGGCGAAGCCACCGGCGACGGCTCCGGCGAGACAGTGCGTGACGGGATCGTATGCCTTCTGCGGGTTCATGGCGGTGGAGATGGATTCGTAGGCGAGGAATTGGAGGGCCGTGAAGGGGACGGTCATGGACAGCGTGGTCGGGTAGGAGATGTAGAAGGCGCCGATGCCCTCGTTTCGGTAGACGTATTTTGCGCAGTCGACCATGGAGCGGTACATCTTGCGAGACTCTTGCATCTGCATGCGCTGCTTGATGACTGTAGAGAGGTGAACGATTAGCCTTGCGCTGGCTCGCCCAGATTCGGGAAATAACGCGATTACATACCGTCGAATGGATTCATAAAGGCATCGCTGGCAATGGTAGCTGCGGCACCACTTGTGGCTATAGAGCGACAGGTTAGTCTTGAAGCAGCAGGACCGAAAGTCAAGTAAAGGGCGAGGCTCACCAGCAGCAAGAGGGTGGTGGACGCCCACCTGATTGCCGCCCATGGCATGTTTGACGGCTTCGTAGGTCGCAAAGTAGACAGCGTGGGCAGGACCTGCAACAGCATCATGTCAGTTTACCTGGAGAGAGGAAAAGAGGCTCAAACAAGCGCCCTAACCAGCCGATAACACGAGAGAAACATACCGGCTCCCACAATGACGCTGGACATGCCGCGCCATAAACTAAAGACGCCCTCGGTCCGCGCGACTTGGAATATATTTCGGAGAACGCTGTTGTGTGTTATCGTTCCATGCGGCTGCAGGACTTGCATTCGCGTCTACCGGCGGGGGAAGCTCAACGTCAGCAACGAAACCGGTGAACGGCGCGGCCACTGGGCTTTACCTTGATCGCATCAATTGGATACATGACGGTGTGTTCCTTTGGCCTTTCGTCAGCAGGCGTCGCAGCAGGGCGAGACTCAAGCAGAGGCCGAGTCCCAGAGTCGTCCTCCAGCACTCACAGCAATGCCAGCAAAGGCGCCTGCAGCCATGTTCTGCAGCAGAGAGAAGTTTGGCGGAAGGGATTCATAGCTGCAAAAGCACCAAAACGGTCAGCTCCAATTGCAACAAATGCCAACAACATTGTTTTCTCCCTCAGTCTCTTCTTCAACCTCTCTCTCTCTCTCTCTCAACTCCACCTCTTCCTCGTTGCACATCGATCGCCGCGCAATTGTGCGCAACAAAAACAAAAGTTCCCCATAAGCTGTACCAAAGGGAGGGGCGTTTTCGCTCACTCGTAATCCTCCTCCTCCACCGGCTTGCCACTCGGCGGCTGGGCCATCACGGCCACAGCGTCAGGAGCTGCGCCAAAGGACTTGGAATTGATGGCAGCCAGGTTGGCAGATGCAGCGTGCTGAGGGCAGCACGGCCGGCGGGCTTTGAGTTGTATTGGTGGTCGAGGGGGGGGACTGGGCTCGAAGGGCGAGTGGGCGGAAGAAGAGCTGCGGGCGGTCGGCGGACGGAGCGCAAAATCGACTTTGCGGTTTGGCGGGCAGCCGCGGCTAGACTGAGAGCAACGAGATGATGGAGAGCTGACGATATCGGCTGGGAGCTTCGCGCGGAGAGTCGGTCGCAAAACCTCAGTGGCAGAAGTCGGCGTCGAGGAAGAGCTCAAGCAGGCGACGACAATTGAGGCGGCTCAACCGCTGGGAAAGACAGAAACGGGAACAAGATGCTTGCTTGACGGATTGTGGTGATCGCGACCAGATTTGCCAGAGAGCCACAACTTGAAAGTCGTGAGCCGGCCAGCTTGCGAGCGGATCCCCCAGCATCCGGGGCTATAAAAATCAAAATTTCCCACCCTCTTCTCCGTTGACGGCCTCGGAGTCCGGGAGGCAATTGCGAGGTGTGCGAGCGCCCCACCTTGGGCGACTCGCTCAGCTGCGGAGTAAAGCCGGGATATTGATGCTACCTCTATGTACTGCAGACGATGATGACCAGAATTGCCGGAGATATCAGCGTAGTAGTATTACTGTATCTACTGTACCACTGTCTAGAAGACCGACTGATTATGTGAGAGGACGGCAAATGTCAATTGCAAGAACTGTAATTCTGCTGCTTCATAGTATCTACCCATAGGTATAGATGTATTGATTCTTTCTGCACGCTACGCAACTGGTAATGGCGATTCATGACGTTGATGATGAGTGAGCTATAAGAGAGAGCAAAGAAAAGGACATCCCGACATGAAAGGGAGAACCAAGGGAAAACAAAAACGCCACTGCCCGACAGCCGCTCGCTACCTACTGCTACCTTGGGCACCTTAGAACCCAAACGGCCCGTTGTTGAACTGAAACTTGAACTGCTGGCCACCGCCGCCGGGCTGCTGGAACGCCCAGTGCTGGCCGCCAAACGGCGAGCCCTGGAACGGGTTGCCTCGCTGCTCGTTGTTGTTGGGGTCGTCGCCTCGGTCAAACCGCGCCCGCAGCTCGGGGTCGCTCAGCACCTCGTACGCCTCGTTGATGGCCGCCATCTTCTTCTCCGCCTCCTCCTTGGTGACGCCCTGCTTGATCGCCTTGTCCGGGTGGTACTGCTTGGACGCCTTGCGGTATGCCGACTTGATCTGTTTCTCATCAGCATCGTGGGCCACGCCGAGAACCTTGTAGTAATCCTTTGTCTTGCTGCGCTTGAGCTCGATCTGTGCCTTGTTGAGCAGCGGGTTGACCTTGTCTCTCTTGTCCGGATGCGCGTTTGCCGCGCTCTCCAGCGTCTGGATGGCTGCCTCAAACTCCTCCTTTTTGAGCAGCGCCTTAGCGCGGTGCAAGAGACCCCAGAACGACTCCTCATTCAGCTTCAGCGCTTCCTCGCAATACTTATCCGCATGCTTGCTTGTTGACTGTTGCACGATCATATTAGCTCAGGTGCTGCTTATGGCGCTGTGTCACATCCGTGTCCACTTACCTCCACGTAGGCCTGGCAAACCATGTCGACCAGCTGTTCGTACAGCATGACTCTCCCCTTCTTGGGTATTCTTCCCTCCTGGCGCAACTCGTCGACCTGTTGCTGGACGGTCTGGAGGAGGCCAGGGCCCTCTTCTGTCCCTACCAGCGCTCTGCTCGCTGTTGTGAATTGTCCCTTGTTCAGCGAATTCGACGCCTTGGTAAATGCTTTTGACACGGCCTTTTCCTGCTTGTGCAGCTTCTTGCAGACCTTGGAGTCCGGGTCGGAATGGAGACACTTGCGGATCTGGCCGACGCCAGCGTCCAAGTCGGCGAGGTTGTAGAACGAGACGGCCGAGATGACGACATGGGGAGTGGTGTCTCCGGGCCGCATCTGCAACACATGGCGGAGGTCGCCCATGCCTTCTTCCAGCTCGCCTCGCTCAAAGCGGCAGTGGGATCGTGTCTCGCGCAACGGGGTATACCGCGAGGCGACGACAATGGCTTCTCCCGCATAGTTGACGCAGTCCTCCCACTGGCCAGCCTTCTCGGCGGCAAAGGCCAGCTTCATCGCCGCCTCGGCCGCATTCAGACTCTGCACGTCGGGAGACTCTGGCCCTTCGCCCGCCGCCGCGTATTCGGCTCTTGCGCTGTCCCATTCGGCGGCCTTGGCCTTGATCTTGGCGAGCTGGAGGTGGGCGCCCGGGAAGCCAGGCCGCAGGGAGAGCACCTTTTCGAAGTCCTCGGTCGCCTGGTTTGCGCGGCCGAGTGACAGGTACGTCGTCGCCCGCTTGAAGAAGGACAGGTAGTTGGTCGGGTCGCGAGCGATGGCCGCATCGAAGTAGGCCAGTGCCTCGTTGGTCTCGCCCTTTGTGAGATGCTCCTGAGCCGAGGTCAGGAGGGCCGAGACGGGTACATCCGAGGGGATGTCTTGCGACAAGACGGCGCCCGCCGATATAAGTGCAGCCGTCACCAGGAGGTTCGGGAAGCTGAGGCGCATCGTGGCGGCAGAAGCGCTTCACGCAAGCGAGGCAGAGCAAGACCAGAGGCGAGCGGGACGGGAATCAAGTACAAGTTCTTGTCGTCGTTGAACCGTGAAATACGAAGGGCCTGGAAGCCGAGGAGGGTGATGTCGGATAAAGAGCAGTCGCAAGAGTGAGACGTGTCAAGAAAGACGCATCTGCTGTTATACTCTGGCTTTCACCAGGCGTAGCATGTGGGGAGCGGACGTCGTAAAAGGAAGCCGAGCAAGTCCCCTGGCAAATGGCAATGGAATCCCAGAGAAAAAAAAGAGGGTACGCTGTCCTTTCGCAGCGACTGACAGGGGCCATGCCTGCATTAGCACCAGGTACGAGGTACATGCATGTGCTAGTAATCAGGCAGAATACCTACTTGTACAGGTATGTAAAAGCCAGCGCCCGAATTCGCACCACCGAGACAGCTTGCGAGGCTGAAGTCCTTGGGATTGGATTCGTAATTATATCCGGATATGAGTGATACACCTTGTCCACGCAGAAGCCGAGTACTTGAGCTCCCGGATCACGCAGCACTGCATGAATTGGATGTCATTGGCGTCGAAAGACTGCGGAGGGCCGGGGACGCAAACGGAAGAACATATCTACAGCAGATAAGATTAATTTCAGCACCATACGAAGTCTTCAGTGACGAATTATATTGATCTGGTCGTAGTCAGAAGTCTCCATCTTGATATGATACAAACGTTGAAAGGCTGTCATTCTGCCAGTATTATAGCGGCATCACCAAAATGCCATCCAGGCGCACCCACTAACCCCAAACCCACCGCCGTTATCGTTATCGGCTGCTAGTCACCTACTCCATATTATCTTCCCCTACCAACTCCATATTAGCGACATCCCACTTTCAACGGCATCTCGTCCCAGCAGTCCAAAACGCCGCCCGACAGGATGGCCTCACAGCACCTCAGCCAGGACGAGGTAAGTTTGCTACCCTTCTCTTTCCAGCCCAATCGGAAGCCCATAAATCTTCCCATGGATCAACTCTCCTGGGCTCTCCCCTCCGCGCGCGCCTTGTACTTTCAAGTCCAACCTGCTAACCACTTCATGTGCAACGCCATCCAGTTCTTCGACAAACTCGGCCACCTCTTCAACCACAGAAAAGGCAGCGACCATGGCGCCATATACCTAACCCAGAAACGCCGTAAGACAACCCACCAAAAAAACTTCAATCTCCCCCCGCGCCGCGACCTTTCTTCCCTCGCTCTTCCTCCTAACAAGATCATAAAAACGCAAAAAACAGTCACATACGACCCCGCCGAACAATCAACAACGGCAAAGCTCTTCCCCGACCTCGCCCCCAATAAGCCCCTCCCCGTCCTCGTCCGCGCCACCAACGGCAAGTCCAAGCGCGACGCCCGCGCCGGCAAGGAGAAGCTCTCCGTCGTCGTCCAGCCCCACGAGCTCGACGCCTTCTACGCCCGCTACGCCGACGTCTGCAAGGCCGGCATGGCCGCCCTCAAGCCCAGGGACAAGAGCAAGAAGAGGGCCAAGGCGAAGAAGAAGAAGGCCGCGTCATGATTGTTGAGAGAGACATTGGGAACCCCGAATCGCGGCTGAAAAGGGAGACGGAGAGGAGGGGAGGGGGCGTTAAGAATGAGTCGGGAACCCGGCAATGACGGTGAGAAGGACACGTTGAACGGGGTGGCAGTGGCTCAAAATCATGTTGCTGCCCGAGGAGGCACCCCGCCGGTCGACAGCGGCAACAATATCAGACGGCTCAAAGACCTCTTTGTTGGCATCAGCGAGTTTTGACAATCTTCGAAAAAACCATAACACGGTGCTCCAACTGACCATCCAGCACCTTACCGCGAGATATGCTTTTTGGAACACTGGTACGTCGAATGGCTACCGCAAAGTCCATCTTGCCGGTATACATGCTTTGTTTCAACAAGCAACAAGCAGTATTGATCACGCAGCATTGGGAATGGTAGAAAGAGCACGATTTGACACATTTTCCGTTTGTCCTCATCGGAGTCTTCAACGGGCTTTTCGTGCCAACTGTAAATGCATCCGATCTGTAGCCTGCCCCAAAGGCGTCATTATGTGCAAAAACTGTGTATAGAAGAGTCTCGTAGCGGCGCCACCAATTCGTGATACCGCTACTCCGGAATCCCCATCCTTGAAACTCCCACGCCCAAGTCTCCTGCCAAGGTGTACCTCATATGAAGGGGCATCCTTGGCCGCCCGTCCCATCCGCAAATCACGTCACGCTTAAAACGCACATCTTCACCACGCTCTTGTTCCTTACGCACCATTTCGAAAAAGAAAGACAATAGAAAGTCAATAGCAACATTCGTTCCCTCCGCTGCCCTTTCCTCTCCCGGGAAACTCAGATTCTTTCCCCTCCTCATCCTCCACAATAGCATCCAGTTCCGCCAGACGAGATTCATGCTGCGAGCCATTGCTGTGTCGACAACAGAATGGCCCCCAAATTTGAGTGTAAAGACCCTCCCACGATTGTATGCTGATGTAGCAATTCCGCAAATCAATTTTTCAGTAACCCTAGACGAATTGTGCGAATGAAATCAATGAGACGAAGAAAGACGAGTGATAGAGAGTAAGATCCCGGAGGAAGAACATGCGTTGAAAAGAAGAGAGGAAAGAAAAGAGAAGATAAAGAGAAAAAATTGCCAAAAGGGGTGGACAACAGGCCTTAGGTTGGGGGTGACCCGGACCAAGAGCACGTCACTACATGATCTGGTCCTGCGTCAATCCAGCATGAGCGTCGGTCTCCATGCTGTCGCCTCCGGACTGGTTCAGGTATTTGACGAAGCTCAAGTTCAGTGGTCGACCACCATACTGGTAGCCCTGAAACTTGGCGATGGCCGTCTCGGCGGTTTCCGGCGAGTCAAAGCGAACGACACCGCTACCGCGAGATCTGCCGCTGGGCTCGTACTGAATCTCGGCCTGCTCGACTTTGCCGATGGTCGTAAAGAGCTCAACCAAGTCGTCGTTGCTGGTTGACCACGGCAGCTGTGAGACAGAGTCAGTAGTCAGCCCAATGCATGGGGGGCATTGCAGAGCAGACAAACTTACGTTTCGAACATAAATGATCTCGCTTCTTTCCGTTCCTGCGGTTGCATTGTCGGTGAAGGGGTTTGGCAGCACTGCTTGTGCAGTGGCAGCATCAAAGCCACCACCGCCACCTCCGGCACCTGGGCCAGGTCCGACGCCGCCGCCGAAGCCCCCACGTCCGCCAAAGCCACCACCGAAGCCTCCGCGACCACCGCCGAAGCCGCCTCGGCCGAAACCACCACCGCCGAAACCACCACGCATTCCACCGCCATAGCCTCCACGGCCACCGAAGCCCATGCCGCCGCCACCACCGGCGAACCGGTCCTCGCGAACTTCGAGCATGCGGCCTTGCCAGTCGTAGCCGTTGAATTGCTGGATGGCGCTTCGTGCATCGTCGGGACTCTCGAAAACAACAATTCCGGAGCCTTTAGGGCGACCATCGGGGCCAGTGTGAACATCAGCACGCAGCACCCCACCAATTCGTGCTACACAGGGAGCGTTAGTGCAATCGAACAACATACAACGAGACTGTCCAAGAAACGCCAATCCACTTACCGGCCTGTCGGAAAAGATCTTTCAGATCCTGCCAGCCGACATTGTAGGGGAGCTAAAGGGGGTCAGTTGGTTATCCTCAGTACAAAGCATAGGAGAGGAAGGACAAACGTTAGCAACGTAGATCTGGCGGCCACCGCCGCCACCGCCGGCGCCGGGCGGACCGCCAGCATATCCTGGGTTGAATCCGCCGTGCATACCGCCGCCTCCATATCCGCCACGAGCACTGGTTCCCGTGGCACCGATGAATCGAGGTTCAGCCTCGCGGTCCTAAAAACGGGAGAAGAGGAAGAGTTAGAATGCCAACGTCAGGCACAATATGAGTGTAGGCGCAGGCTTGACCAACCTCTCTGACGTAGACAAGTCGACCCATAAGGTTCTGGTTGCTGAGTTGAGCAACGGCCTGCTGAGCTTGCTCCCTAGTTGCATATTCCACAATACTGTTGACCACCGATGGTTAGCAACGGCAAAAGAGAAACTTGCTGTCAAGGGAGTAGGGGGGAACTTACCCGCATCCCTACAATGATTCCGAGGACAACGTCCCACCCGTCAACCCAACCATTCCATCAAAACCAGAAAGGGAAGAAAGCCACAAAAGAAAGCCAACCAAAGCTACGCGATGAAGCCCACCTTCGACATTCCATTTGGAAGTAATAGCACATCGGCAAAGAGCACCTCTCCAGCTGTGACGTTGGAAATTCTCCCGTTAGTTCCTCGTCTTTGACCGCGCCAATGCTCATAGAATCCTGTTCTCACCCTGTCTCATGAAATCCTTGAGGTGATGCCACTTAACATCGTACGAGAGGTTGCCGACATAGACGCGGCGGTCCTGCTGAGACGTTTCGCGAATGTTGCTCATCATCTGCTCTCGGGCAGCGGCCCGTTCCTCGTAAGATCGTTGGGGTGGCTGCCCCGCGTAACCGCCAGCGGGACCGCCGGCGGGAGCTGCTCCGTTTCCTGTCATTGGGGAGCGGTCGCGACCCCGTCGATAGTCGTCTCGACTATTTGATCTGCTGCGAGGCGAATAAGACCGCCGACGAGACTGTCGGCCTGGACTCCTAGAACGTCGTCGAGGTGATCGAGACCTCTCACGCTGCGGCTCGATCAGTATAAGCAATCCCAGACAGAGGCGACATGTGATGTTGACGGGGGTTTGGCCAAGCAAATGAGTAAGCTGGGGAGATGGTCAAGCTACGAGTTGCCCAAAGTGGCACTCGGCTTATCTTCTATGAGTCGATATAGAAGAAAAAAAAATCCTCAAGCCGAGTGAGACTCTGCGTCCAACGCTTGGTTGAGCATTCGCCACAACCCGAGCAATTGGATCGACGGCCTTGACCAGTCCAACTGATGCCCATGAACAACACACCTGAACACTTGTCGGCGACATCTCCCCGTGGGTCACGGCGCAAGAGACAAGGTGGCCGCTGCGGGGTGGGTGTTATAGCACCTGTTGAACGAGGCCAAGTCCGGGCCGCGCAAGACCACACATGTTCGCGAGCACCACGGCAAGGGTCATGGCTGCGTGTGGGATGAAGGGGGGGGAGCTCAAGTAAAAGATGTCAACTTACTGGTCGGTAGTTGTCGCCGGAGTCAGCTAAAAGAAGTCAGAGGTTAGAAAACCGGCGCTGGAAGAGCCCTTCTTCGAGAACGAGAAAGATTGTGCCAAAAGAGATGAGGGAAGAGACGGCCTGATTGAAATAATAGTCATGTACCCGGGTAGTGGTGGGGTGTAAAGTGATGAGAAGCATGCGGAGTAGCAAGGCGGGAGGACATGCAGGTAAGGGGGGTCAATGATAATGCAGTGGACGGAGAGAGGCGAGTCGAGAGGAACTGGACGTATCGGCGGGCAACGGGGGCGGACAAGTTACATCCAAAGTGGTATCACAGTTGAATGATCTTTTGCTCTGCTTTGTCCGAGGGCCGGCAGCTCCAAGACAGCAACCCAAGTGCAAACAAAGGCCGAGCCAGAGGTAGAGCTTTTCCTGCAGAGCCTGCCGAGACGAGGACAGCTAACCGAGGCAGGTAGAACGCGTCTTGATCGGAAACAAAGAGTGTGATGTGAGAGAGGTGCTTGGTGCAGATGGAGAGCAAGGCAGGATGAGAAGAGATTTGCCCAGCCAGAGGCAGCCGCAAGACGCAGACGCAGACAGAGGCTTGAGCAGAGCAGAGCAGAGCAGAAAGCAGAGCAGAGGACAAGAGAAGCGAGAGAGAGAAGAGACGTACCCATGGCGACGGATCAACGCGATACAAAGGAGGAGAGGCTTTGTGCCTTTGTGCCTCGAGCCTGGTCGCGCGTGCAGTGTGCAGTCAGAGGCAAGCCGGGTGTCTCAACAGATTGGAGGGCAGCTCGAGCCAGGTCGCGACGACGGCAGAATTATGGGTGGCTTCTGGTCCTGGAGAGAGGGCAAGCCACAGCAGAGGCAGCAGTCAGCAGCTGGATCTCACAGCACAGGCAACGGCACGGCGAGCGAGCGGGCTGCAGCACAGCAGTACCCAGAGCAGAGGTAGAGGCAGCAGGCAGTGCGAGAGGAGCAGGTGAGGTACAGTACCGGTAAGTCGCAATGCAATGGGTTGGGGGAGGGGGTACGAAGTAGGACAGAGGCGCATTGCTTGATTGTTCGAGCCTGGTGGTGAGAAGGGGAAAAGAACGCGCGGACCGGGAGGGGAGCAGGCGACCAATCAGCGCGCAGAGGCTGAGGGAGGCCAGAGGGGGCCGAGCTGCAGAGCTGCGACTACAGGTACAGTGCAAGGTACTGCTACCTGAGGCGGAGCAAACCTGAGGCGGTACCTGTACTTGAGCGTTGCGAGGCGCGACAAGGCCAGTGGAGCACGCAGACACCTTGAGGTCTTGCGCGCCATGGCTAGGGCAGCAGGTACCTGCACTGGCTGCAGATCTGGCTTCACAAGTACCTTATCCGTACTCTGGAGACGGCAGTCCCAACAGGTTCTCAGTTTCCAGCACCTGCGTTGATAGTATTACTGCAGGTACTATTTCTCTCCAATGCTGTTGGAACAAGGCAGATTTCTCTTAGGTATGTAGGGAGTTGTGCTACGAACTGAGCAAGTAGTAATGGTTTTTACTAGGGAAGAAAATAGTGAGTTGGGAAAAAAAAGAAAAGAAAAGGCTTCCAAGAAACAACCCGGCAAGGTCATGATGGATGGTGACAGGGGGGTCGGGAGCATGGCTCGTGGGCCGGGGAGCTGGAGCTGGAGCTGGAGCTGGAAGTGGGAGAGACTAGAGACAGGCCAGACAAGTTGGGAGAGCGGCAGTCGCCAAGCAGAGGCAGCAGGAAAAAGAGAAGCAGAAAATGAGGAAAATCCAGACCAGCGAGGAGCGAGCCTCACGCAACAGGGACCACGGTGGCAGCAGCTGTGAGTTAGATGCATGCACGTCGCTCATTGCGTCCAGCTTTGCAGCAACCTGCGTGATGTGATGGTGGGCTCTGCCCAGAGCCGACGAGCGATGTATCATACGTACGTGGATATTCCGCGCTTCTCGTCGATTTAGCGTGGATTGAACCCGGGGAAAAAAACTGCCTGTCGGATGCTTGGAGGCTCGCAAGAGGGAAAAAGGACGCAGCGATGATCGTTGTGATGTGTTGAAGTAGCAGTACTTGCGGTAGGAATCTCGGTCCCGGCACACCACACCACACAGCACGCGCAAGGCAAAAGCAGGCACCTCAAGCGAACCAGCGTCGAGGCGGACGTTCCCACATCCGCCTGTGTCGTTTGCTCGGGAGCTTGGAAGCGTGGCCGGGGCGCCGGGGGGGTTCCCTATTGGCGGCTGCGAGGTCTGGCTGCTTTGGCGTCTTTCAGGTAAGGTGGCGGCACCTGAGATTATGTTGCTGTATGAAGATGGAGCTCTGCAGTCAGGTAGCGATACGGCGTGCAGAAGGAGGAGAGCCTTGGGAGTGGCCGGAAGGGACAAGTTGAAGTTCTGGGCCGGCCAGAACGTGTAAGCTCCCAGAGACATGGATGGACAGGACAGCTTCCAAGCGCCTGCCAACACGCAGCATCCAGCCTGTAAGTTGGAAGTCGTTGGGGCCTCGAGTGCAGCGGTTGAGTGATCAACTGGTGCTAGAGGCAACCACTGCACGGCGGGAACAGCGGAGCAGCAGCACTAACACCATGCTAAGGTGCCCTACCCGAGAAGATCGGTGAGACGACTCGAGGTCGAAGCCGACGACGAGGTACCGGTACGATTCCGATATTGAGTGCTTTGGCGAGTGCAGCCGGCCTTGCCTTGCATGACTTGCAGTGTTTTCGACTCATGGCCTGGACTGTGCCTGGCCGGGCCCTCCCTGTCCTGTCCGTACTCGTACTTGCGTAGGTACTGTATATGGATGTACAGTCTCGTGCGGTGCGTCCTCACTGACTGGAGTCGTTCGCGGCCGTCAAACAGGGCCCGGCTCCAGATGCCACCCTCCCCGGGCCATTGCTCGTATTTGCACTATGTACCAGCGAGTGATACAGCAGCAGAACGGCGTCGCACTTGTCGTACCTGTTACAGCAGAAAGAGGTGCCACCTTGTTCCACAAGCATCGTGTCGGTCGTCGGCGCTGGCAGAATCGATGGGGGATCGGGCCGGCATCAGACGCAATCGCAGGTCCATGTAAGTGGTGCTCCGTTGACCCCTCTGCAACCCACCCTCAGAGGTATGGGTGAGGTGCATGTAAAGTACATACGAGATCATCATGCTGGCGTGTTCTGCCGCCAGAGAGCCAGACAAAGAATGCCCCGGGTCCCTGCCTATTGGCTCGAGCAGAGGCGTGCCGCTGGGTGCGATTGGCTGCAAGTCGGGAATGTAGCGAGAGGTGTGTCCCTCTTTCGGTTGCCTTTCCTCCTTTCTTTGTTGCCTTTTTCTCCTTTTGCTTCTTCTCTCCACCTCCGTCTGCAAAGCTGTTGAGTTGTCTCCCACTGGCAGCTGCATGATGCAATCCGTACCCATGCAATTGGACCAGGCGAGACTTACCTAAGCCAGCAACTCCATACCGGTGAGCAGCTTTGCGCCTGCAAGGACCTTCTCGGTCCAGTTGTTCATTGTGTAACGATGCTAGACGTCCCCGGGCATGACCGCTTCCGCCAGCCATTGGCCCGTGGCTGAGCGGCCGTGTCAAAGGATTTCATATCCATTACGTTCCAACATCCGTCTGCCCAACTAGTATATCAAAATCCAGCTGTTTGCGTGGGTGCAGCTACAGCAACTGAACTTGTATACCCTTGATCCATGCCTCAGCACAGCGATCTGCCTATAACCAGACACTAACACCTCGGCCGATGGCCCCACTCAACCGCCGTCCAAGTTCAAGTTTGCAGAGCCCCTCGTACAATCAGTCAATCAGTCGCCAGAGCTGCAAACGACATCACACACTGCAGCGCATATCGCAGCGCCTACCAGCACAGGCATCGTCCAAATTCCGCCCTCAGCTACCATTGAAGCCACCGCCAGCAAAGCAACCCCCCCCAACAATGGCCTCCCCTTGCGTCGCCCGCACCGCGCGATGCCTGTCCGCCTCAGCCCGCCGCCCAATCGCCCGCCAGACAGCGCCAGCCTCGTCCTCCTGGAGAGCAAACACCACCACCCCTACTAGCAGAGCATACCACTCGCACGAGCACCCGCCGTCGCCGCCCTTTGGCCCCGTCGACCGCGCCATCCTGGCCGCCGCCTACAGGCACGTCCCCGAGCACGGCTTCTCCCTGCGCGCCATCGGCCTCGGCGCCCGCGACGCCGGATACCCCGACATCAGCGCCAGCGTCCTGCCCGACGGCCAGTTCAGCCTCATCCGCTACCACCTCGTCGCCCAGCGCGAGAGGCTGGCCGACAGGAGCCGCGAGCTGCTCAGCGACGAGGCGCCGCTCTCGGCGGCCGGCGTCGGCGAAAAGGTCGCTGCCCTGACGTGGGAGCGGCTGATGGGCAACAAAGACGTCATACACAGGTGGCAGGAGGTGAGTTTTCTTGTCTCAAGACTGGGTCGAGAGAGAGACAAGTCGCTACGCGGACCCGGTGGTGTTTACGGCATTCGCTGACAAGGAGCGCGTGATTCTTATGCTTACAGGCCCTGGCTGTCATGGCCCAGCCCAGCTATCTGCCCAAGTCCCTGGCCGAGCTGGCCGCTCTGTCCGACGACATCTGGTTCCTGGCGGGCGACAAGGCCGTCGATCCGTCGTGGTACACCAAGCGGGCGGCCCTCTCCATGGTGTACAGCTCAAGCGAGCTGTTCATGACCAACGACAGATCGCCGTCCTTCCTCGAGACAAGACAGTTCCTGCACCGAAGGCTGGGCGAGGTCCAGTCTGTCGGGGGCACCATTGGATCCGTAGGGCAATGGGTTGGATTCACGCTCAGCGCTGGCGTAAATGTCTTGAGAAGCAAGGGCGTTCCTATCTGACGCCCCCAGGCATGATTATCTATCTGCCTTTTTTAACCACGAACCCCATGCTTGAGTACTCAAACATGTAAAAAAAAAAACACAAAAGAGTCATGTACAATATCATCAGCAGCATCTTCAAGGCTCCCACATCCCGACGAGTTTGCTCGCCACCACCTCATGTATATACCATCGCCCTATTATCATTACCGCTCACGAATGACTGGCGTTCCAACATCAATGCGCAATTCCTTAAATCACCTTGTCCCCGAGAGATCCATCCGCTTGCTTATACAGCCATTACTAGACTTAGACAAGGGTTCGTTGGCGAGGATCGGTCAAGCTGTATCACGAGACAAGTTAGCCTTGTTGAAGCTTATACGATAGAGAGAGTGATGCTCAAGAGAGTCAATAACTAACCGGATAATCTTGACGTCTTTATCAAGCCGAGCGCGGCCTTCAATGGCATTCGGCGTGATCAAAATGTACTGCCGCGAAACCGATCGTCGAGCGGCATCCACCTGCATGTGAGAAAAAAAGGTCAATCCATTAGCATTCACTTTTACATCACCCCTCTCTCTCCATCTCTCCCCTCGTAACTGAGCAAGCATAACTTACCAGCATGTTGGTGCTAATCGCTCGGTTAACATTGTCCATGAAGACGTCAAACTCGTCCAGACACCGTATCGGCGATCCAATGGCCTCCCACACGGAGAGGAGCATGCAGATCGACGAAAACGACTTTTCGCCTCCGGACAGCGTCTTGGTGTTGCGGCCCGAGGAGCTCTTTCGCGTCTTGTCGGGCTCAATGTTGATGTTGACGCGCCTGGCCCGGTGATCGAGATCGATATTGCCCCTGAAGCCACGCTCACTGAGGAGGTAGGTGAACTGGATGCGTATCCGGGCGCTGATCTGCCTCTGGAATTGTCTCCACAGGTGAAGACGGTGCTCAATGGCTTGCTTCAGGCTCGCAATGGTCTCGTCCACGTCCCTCGTCTTCTTCATCACGTCCTCGTACTGCGCCCGGGCCTCGATGGCTCGGTCGTAAATCTGCTGGTCCGTGGCTCCCTGCCGAGCCTCGCGCTGCGCCAGCTGCTCGCAAACTCTCTGGTATTTGATCTCGAGACTCTCGTATGTCTCGTCTTCGGGGATGTGGACGCGATCCGGCGCCGCTTGCCGCGCCTGCTGGACAAACTCGGCCACCTCGGCGACCTTCTGGTCACGCTTGGCCTCTGCTCGGCGTCTCTCCTGTCTCTCGATATCCAGTCTCTCGAAAGCACTGTTCTTCTCGGCAACTTTGACCTTGCGCAGCCGTTCAAGTGTCTCAATCTTGTCAACCACCTTGGCCACGCGGCTTTCATGATCCTTACGCACGTCTTTTTCCGCGTCGAGACGTGCCCTGGCCTCCTCTGTCTTCTTGCTCAGCTCCCGCTTTTCCAGCTTCAGGTTGCCATACTGCAGACCGAGCTGCTCTTCTTCGGTGCGCTTCGCTTCTCGCTCCTCCCGCAGCGCAACAAGACGCCCGTCAACACCTTCAAACGCATCCAGTTCCTCGGTAATCCGCTGGATGTCGGCCTGGATCCTACGACGATCGTTTTCCCACTCCTTGATTGCAGAGTGATGCGACGAGAGGTCAGACTCGCAGCTACTCAGTCGTTGACGCGCCTGCCGCTCCTCGTTTGTGAGTTCCTTCACCTCCAGACCCAGCTGTCTGAGGTTCTCCTTCGCTACAAGCAGCCGTTGAGCCGAGTCTGACTGCATTCGAGGCTGCATTCCCGACGGCGTGACCGGGCTGGTACCTATGGTTCCAAATCGGTTCGTAATTCTCAGTCCGTGACCGCGTTTCCCTCGGCCATCGTGAAAGCAGATGCACGCCGCTACGTTCAGAGGAGGACCATCGTTATCGATCATGACTCGTTCCGCTTCAAGGCGCTCCTTGATGAGGATGATCTTCTCGATCTGATTGTTGATGACCAGCTGCGACCGCACGAGCTCATCATCAAAGTCGAGGACTCTGAGAATGGTATCGAATTTCTCATCGGGCTCCTGGGACCTGGTGTCGATTGTACCTCCGTACGCAATGTAAATGGGCGGCTGCTTCCTAAGGCCCATCTTCTGTATAATACTCGACAGCCTGGACTGGTCCCTCTTGCTCTTGACGACGAACGCGTTCAGCACATCACCAAAAGTTTTCTCGAGGATGCTGGACCACTCTGGCTTTCGGAGGGTAACGTGGAGGCCAATGGGCCCTATAGGCTTGCTCTCGAAACCGCCTTCTCTCTCAATGGCCTTGGACAGCTTGATGAGGTCCGGGTCAAATCCGTCAGAGGCTGAGCCATTGCTCTGTTCGAGTTCTCTGACGCCCCTCTTGGCCACGGTTTCCTCCTGCTTCTTCCTCTGGAGGAATTGCTCTGCTCGTCGGAGTGCTTCCTTGGCTTCCGCAGCCCTATCCTTGAACGATTGCGTCTTGCTTTTGGCGTCCTCAATTTGCTCGGCAAGTCTCTTCTCCTGTGCGATGGCCTCGGAGAGCTCTTGGTCTTTCGCCGCGCGTGCAGAGGCCGATGAGCCGTCCAGCCGGTTCTCTTCCTCCTTGATCTTGCTCTCGCAGGACAGTATGTCGGTCCGCAGCGTCTTCAATCGAATGTGGGCATCTCGCTCCTCGCCCTGCAGCTCCATTTGTCTCTTCTTTGCCTCGTGCCACGCAACCTCTGCCTCCAGCACTCTTTCCTCAAAGGTATTCTCCTCCGTCTCGAGAGCGTTGCGGGCCTCTTGAGCCCGGGCCAGCAACTCGTCGGTTTCCTCGAGCTGCCTCGTCGCCTCGTCGACGTCCTCTTGCCAGGAGACGAGCTCTCGATCACGCCTAACCAGATCAGCGTTGCGCCGCTCAAGCTCCCTTTCACGCTCGACGACTTGCGACCAGACGAGCTGATTGCGGTAAAGCCTTGCCTTTTCGCGCAGGCCTTGGTTCTTTTGAGCGATTTCGGCGAGTCTTTGCGCATCGTCCATGGCCTTCTTTACATGTGCAATCTTCTCGTCGAGATCATCACGTAGAATGAGCGTCTTATCCAGCGTGTCTTGGGACATCTTGTAATCGTTATCCAGCTGCTCGAGCTGAACGCCGGAAACAAAGTACTTGTACTTTTGTGCCGGGCTGGCGGAGTTGAGGAATTGTCTCGCGTTATCTTGGGAGAGGACAGTCAATGGGTTCCCTATTTGCAAAGCATACCACTCCGATATCTCGTCGACTTCCTGCTTTTTGGTGGAGACAACCTTGCCCTCGGCCGTCTTGATCTTGAAGCCGCTGCTTCCAGATTTGGTGAAGTGACGCTCGACGGTGATGGACGGTCCGTAGATGTCGGGCTGGTATGCGTCGGAGCCGGCGTTCTTGATCTTGACTACGAGGCTTCCATGCTCGCGCCCCTCCTTGACAAAGGACTTGAGGCTTCCGCCTCTGTTGGTGTCACTGGCCTTGCCACCAAGGCACAGGGTGAGAGCCGTCAGGACAGCGCTCTTGCCGCTACCGTTCTCTCCAACGATGAAGTTGATCAGAGGGCCAAGCTCCACATGCAATCGCTCGTGGCACATGAAGTTGTAGCAGGTGATGCTCTCAATGATGCCGCTCTCGGCGACCATGTTATCAAAGGTCTGTGACGTGGTGCGACGCTTGATCTTCTGCGTAGCTTGCTGGTCGTCCCAATCCGTATTCGCGAGGTGTCGGAAGCCATTGTCTCTCATCAGTTCGTATTGGGTCTGTGGGGGAGAGGCGGGCACGTCATCGTCCTCGCTGTCGCCGTCTTCGCTTTCGGATTCCGAGGAGCTTTCGTCTCGGTTCGTCTCTGCTGCCGCTCGGCTGCTCGAGGCCTCTGCTCCGCCCCCGGACAGCCGGACTCGTTTTCTCTGCCACTTGGTCAGCCAGCTGAAGTTTGCCCAGCGATTTGCTCTTGAAGGGCAGCTACCGGTTGTACATCGTTGGCCATGGATGCTCGCGCTTCCACAACTTCGTCCTCTTGTTGGCCCGAGGCCCTTCGTGACCGCTTAGAAGGCGGCATGGCTGATGCCTGTGGGTAGTTGAATTGGCTGATTTGGAGTCGTAACGGCAGAGCTGCAAGGATGCGGCTACTGAGGACGGAAGGGTTCTTGGAGTTGAGCACGCTGAAGCATCAGGAGTCCAGACTCATCGTCCATATGCATCCTGCAGGTGCCGAGAAGCGACTCGCTGGAGTCTCGTCGAATCTGCGTATGAAGCTGCTCGTGCGGCGCGTTGATTAACCGCGTTGAGCGCGTCGTGGGGTAAATAATTTAGTAGTACTAGTAGTAGTGGCGGCTGCAGTGGCGGCTACAGTGGCAGATACTAGTACTAGTAGCAGTGCATGACTAAGGTAAGGCTGCGTTTTATCATGCTGGAGCTGATGCCTGCAAACATGCGTTGCAGTTGTGATGAAGGTAAAGACTGATGCACTGCGCTTAATTAAGAATAGATGGAAAGGTCTAATTGAGTTCTGGTATTATTATCTCTATATGGCTACCTTACAAGTACAAAGTAGCAAGCGTTGAAGAAACTTCTTCAGTGGGTGGTGTACATAAGAGCTTGCCAGCGTGGGGCCTCTATCAAAGCGCCTCACTTACAGAAACTCAATCTCAGACGTACAACTTACATCAGTCAAGGCTGCATATCAAATCGCTCTTTGCCATGCCAATGACTACCCCCAATAACACCTTACTTCTCCCACGGTAAAGCATGTCTCAAGACGCCAACTTCGGCGAGGCGGAAGCTGCCGGAGAGCCGCTCTCTGAAAACACCGTCGAGTACATGCTCTTCGTGATAGACAGTCAGCAGTCAGACCCTCGCCGAGCACGCGCTCGCCTCGACGCCATTCGGAAAGCCGCGGTTGAGCTCGCCCAGTCACTCACAAAGGACTACATCTGGCAGCGTGAAGCGTTTGAGATTTCACTGAAGAGCGAGCATGGTGAGTATCTGCATAAGAGCCCCCTTCATACCATGCCATGACATATCCTGACAGTTCGGCTTCCAGGACTGCTTTTCCTACAAGGCACAACCGACTATGGAGATGCCATCGAGGATGAATGGCTCATCGTCTACTTGCTGTGTGAATTATCCAAGGCCCACTCGGATCTCTGGGTGCGAGTCTCCGACTCTGACGGCGAGTTCCTCCTGGTAGAAGCGGCCAACGTCCTCCCCAGCTGGCTGAGTCCGGAAATCGATCGCTATCGTGTATGGATTCACCTTGGAAAGATCTTCCTCATACCCTTCAACCCCAACAGCCAAACCGAGCCAGAACATTTGTCGGTCCTACAAGCCGTCACGTTTCTGCGGTCCAAACCAGACGCCCTCATTCACCTCCCCGCCCTCGATGCCGAAGCCTTTGACAGATTGAGGAAGTATCCTGAGCAAATCGCCAACTCCATACACCACTCTCTTGTCACGATACCCAGGACGGTTGCCTACATCCTTCATGCTCTTCCCAAGATCATTGCCCCTGCCGTGGAGCATTTCTATCTGAGAGACGCAAACTCGCTAAAACCCATTCTGTCGTCAACGGCGCCTCTGCGATTCCCTCCCGAGGATCTCGTCACGGTCAGCGTACGATTCAGCAAAACGCTCTATGCGCAACTCAAGTCCCAGAGATTCGATGCGCCGCCACGGTGGCAGCCCCTGCTTCGCAAACACCAAGAGCTAGACCTCCTCTCAAAGGAAGATCAGAAAAAGCTGGAAAGGCTAGAAATGGGGATGAAGCTGACCTGCGGATTCGAGATGCTAGCCGCCAATGCGGAGAAAAGCAAGAGCAGAGTCGCCCGCGAGATGGCTATACTATTGGACGACCTCGAAGAGGATGGAAGCTCGGCCTTGCCATCCGACGAAGAAATCAAACAGTGGGAGAACGTTGATCGGGACGACGACGACTCGTGGCTTGATATCAACTACGAAGACTTTGAGCGTGAGCTGGAAGGGAAGCAAGCCGCTTCTTCTTCAAAGGCGCCATCTGGCTTCGGCGAGGCTCAGACGCAAGAGAATCTCAGAAAGATTGTCTCCCGCTTCGAGGCTTTTCTCAACGACGATAGCGCTGGGTTGGAAGGCGCTGAGCTCGACCGGATGGACATTGATGACGATGACGAGGATGATGACGATGACGATGAAGATCAAGACGACGAGGTCAACTTTGACGAAGAAGCGTTCTCCAACATGATGAAGGAAATGATGGGCATCACGAAGACGGGCAACGCAGAAGGAGAAAAGGCTCGCAAAGTCGATACTGCCGAAGAAAGCATGGACAGTGAGGCGGAAGAAGATCGAGACATCCAAGAGCTCGCCTCTCGCATGGAAGCCGAGCTCAAAGAGTACGGAACACTCCAGCTCGATCCACCAATAACGGATCGCGCTATAAGATCGAAGGAGAGCTTAGAGAAGGGAAAGGGTAAGCAGCCGGCAGTGCAGAAGGAGAGCGGTCAGCAGGCAAATACCGCAGAAGACGACGATGACGATGAAGAGATTGACATCGATTTCAACCTGGCCAAGAATTTGCTAGAGAGCTTCAAGAGCCAGGGGGGCATGGCTGGCCCGGCAGGGAATCTCATGGGCTTGATGGGGTTCCAGCTGCCCCGTGATGAAGATGACGAGGATGAGGCCTCCAAAGATTGACGACTGTCTCGTAATAACATGGCCAATGTAGCAATAGTATAACACATGAGAATGATGCCAAGTCTCACTTGCTTGTCCATACAGCGCATGCAATGTTCTTCTCCTTTGGAAGGGATATTATCTTATAATCGATCATAAACCCGTCAGATTTCCATGCAAACTGATCAAGCCTCTGAACTGGCCTTTGCAGCTTTCCCGCCCCCACCGCTCTTCTGCTCGCCCGCCGCGCCATACAGCATATTGATGTTATACCGCTTCAGCTCCTCCCACTCCCTGCCATCGACCACAGAGATGCCGCAGAACAACTAGCCATCGCATCACCTTGTTAGCTCACACCACCATCAAATCATTCGAGTCAAGCAGGCAGAGGGAAAACACTGGACGAACCTGGAATATTTCAACGAGAATGACCTTGTCCGGGCTCTTGAGGTTGACCTTGTGCTCCGGCTTGATCATGCCGGCAATCATCTTGATGACGGCCTGCGACTCCAGGACGGTGTGGTTTCTCATTGTGTGTCGTATGGCGTACTGCACAGTGTCAACGTCAGCTGTCCATGAGGAAGCTCTTCTCGGTCGGCTTTGACTCACAGTAAAAGGGGTTTGCTGAGATTCCGTCTCTGGTACCTCCGCCTCAGCTGCATCTTTGACCTCCTCCGTCTTCTCCTCCGTCTTCTCCTCCTCCGTCTTCTCCTCCTCCGTCTTCTCCTCATTCGCCTTCTCCGCCCCATTTAAACCCTCTACCTGCTTCTCCCCTTCTTTTCCTTCTTCCCCATCCTCTTTCTCATCACCCCCATCCTCCTCCACCTCCTCATTCAACCTAAACACCGACGCAAGGACCTTCCTCGCCACCCTCCTCACCCCCTTCTCCGACGCCTTCTCCGTATCCACCACGGGCGTCAACCGATTAATGTACTTGCACTTCCTCTCCATCGGGCTCCCGCACCCCTGCGCGTCCAGGCACATCTCGCGCACCAGCCGGCACGGATCCACGGGCCTCATCGTCTTCATGAAGAAGACGCACTCAATCGTCACCGACACGGGCGAGAAGACGCCTCTCGCCTTGGGCCTGGGGCGCGGCGCCTTCATCCGCTCGAGCTCCTTCTCGATGGACGCCTCAATGTCCTCTTCGGCTGCTTCGCCGCCGTCGGCCGGATGGGGGGGCTCTGCCTCGTCGTCGTCGGCGGGCGGCTTGATGCCGTAGAGCTTCTCGCCGTACTCGTGGCACATGGCCGTAAACTCCCGGACGGCCTTGTTCTTCATGCCCCTCGCGTACGTCACCCAGATGCCCTCGTCGCCCACCTCAAGGGCCTTGCCCATCTCCACCCACGAGGCCTGCTTTGCCTTTTGAGCCGGCGTCTTCCATCTTCCACCTGTGCCCTCCTGCTCATTCCCATCCGTTTCCCATCGTCAGCAATTGGGCTTCTACAGAGGAAAGGGCTTCCTCGCTCGTACCTTTCTCTTTTTCAAGGCCGAGCCTTCTGAGCCTCCAGGGCCCTGTTTTCTCTTGGAGGCGGAGTCTGCCATTGCAATTGACTCCCCTGTATCGGAATTAGCTGGATAGAATGATGTTCTGGGAGCTCCGTGGATGTGAATGCGATTGAGCTTGCAGTGCAAACGAGCAGCTTGAATATTTGAGCTCGGGCGATTAGATACGGTGAGCGGGTACCCAGTACTTCTATTGTGGTTATTATTTGCAGGTGAGCAAGGTACTCGAAACTACTCAAGCTTCACCAGCCACGTGATCCCTCTCATCTTCAAGGGACCCTTTACATATCATAGCTTCAGTCTCACTCACACAATGTGCAACGTTTCAAAGGAATAATCTTGATGTCACAAAAACTAAGGTAACTCATACTGTCCGGTTGAACCATGAATCATTAACTCATTTTCCCTCGCCCTCCAAACCTGTTGGATGGACCATCGGTACCTGCCCTTGATCTGCCTCCTCGATCTATTAGTCTATTAAGGTGACGGCGGACCCTCATGTCCCGTCAGTTCCCAAGTCGGTTACTCCAGCTTTGCATTGTTCTTGGCGCTGGCCTCCGCAGTCATAATCAGTGCCCGCGGAGCGTCTTCCTTGGGCATGTACAGCTCGACGAACTGGAGGCATTCTGCCGCGTTGAACGAGGAGTCTGTGAGGAGCTGCTCTAATGACTCCTTGGTCTTGACGACAAACTTCTTGCAAGTCTTGGATCCGCCAAAGACGTCCACCAGGGCCTTGAAATCCCATTGCGAAATGTCGTTGTAGGCGGCGTCCATTCCGTGGATGAAGCGTTCAATGGTGAAGCCGTCGTTGCAGATGACAAAGCTGGCAAAACCATGTCAGTGAGGATCTCACTAGAAGCGCCGTGGGTAACTATTGTATGGACTCACATGATGGGTTTCAGCCCGAGACGAATCATTGTGCTCAGTTCTTGGGCCGTAAGCTGGAACGAACCGTCGCCCACAAAGAGAATGGTTCTGCGGCCGCTGTTGTCATCGGCCGCCGCAAGGGCAGCTCCTTGGCAGGCACCGACAGACCAGCCAATGCTTCCCCAGAGGACCTGGCTGAGTGCGGTGACGCCAGATGGGAACTTGGTGTCCCAGATGCCAAAGTTGGCCGTTCCGGTCTCTGTGACGACAATGTCATTCTTCTTCAGGAACTCGCCAACGCGAGGCCAGAACCAGGCCTGCGTAATGACGGGCGAGTCATCTAGGTTCTTGGTGACCTCGTTCTCGACAATCGGTGATGGCTGGACGCTGAGCTCGGATGGGTTGATCTTCTTGATGACTTGTCGCAGCACACCCCTCATCGCCACGCCGGGATATGTCGAGTACTTGACAACGCAGTGGTCGCTGTGGAGGTCAATGGTGTTCAGCTGAGAGGTGCGGTAAGAGAAACCCGCAGTGTTGAAATCGCTCTAAGTGGAAGGTTAGAAAACGGCGCAGAACAGTCGGAATAAAATGCTCGAAGCAGGTGTACACACCTTGAGGGCACCAATGGTGAGGATAAGGTCTGAAGACTCGACAATGTCCTTGACTTGAGGCGGGTGGGAACCGGCACCTGCATATACACCACCATATGTCGGATGCTCTTCGTTAATAGCACCCTTGCCCATGGGGGTGACGAAGACTGGGAGGTTGGTCTTTTCGATGAGGCCGTGGACCTCATCAAGGACACGATGGCGGATCGCACAAGCATCAACAAGAATGACGGGGTGCTTTGCAGCTCGCAGGTACTTGAGGACGACATCGACGACATAGGCTTCCTTCTCGGGCTCGTTTTCGGGCTCTGACAGGTCGATTGGCTGCTTGAGCCTTGCGCCCTCAACCTTGGCCTGGACCATATCGGTGGGGAGCATGATGTAGACGGGACGAGACCTGATGAAGCACACTCGGAGAGCGTGGTCGATCTGGGTAGCGATTTCGGCGGGGTTGGTGAGCTTTGCAACTTCAGCTGAGATTTCGGCGTTCATGTTGGCGAAGACGTTGAAATCGCCGTTTCCGAGGGTGTGATGGAGGAGCATGCCGTTCCGCTGGGAGATGGTGGAGGGACAGCCGACAATGTGGACAACGGGGATGTGCTCTGAAAAGGCACCGGCAATGCCGTTGATGGCCGAAAGCTCGCCCACTCCAAAGGTGGTGATGAGGGCTCCCATCTGCTTGACGCGGGCATATCCATCAGCAGCGTAGGCTATAAGACAATGAAAGTCAGTATATGGCTGCTATATGCTGCATCGTTCGTTGCATCAAGCTTACCGGCATTCAGCTCGTTGACGCTGCCAACCCACTTGAGGCCACAATCGGGCAGGTAGTCGAGGGCGACGAGATTGTAGTCTCCTGGAAGGCCGTGGACGGAGCGGACGCCGATTTCATGGAGACGCCGGAAGAGATACTCGGCCACGTCCATGGGCTGCTCGAGACTCTGCACCCTTATATTCGCCATGCTTGCAGTTGCTGTTGATTTGATTTGATGTGATTCTTGAGATGCTTGTGGTTTATGAAGAGAGCAAATACGAGAATTCGATGAGGTTTATTTATACCGGTGACGACACTCTGAGGCGCGAGGAGATGTGGATCAATGATGATGCAAATGATGTATAAGTTGGTGATGAAGCTCGCGGTGATGGGAGAGCTTGCAGGATTCGGGACTTGTGGATGGGATATTCTGCAGGAGAAAGAGGTCAAGAGACGGGAACAAGACACTCAAGAGGGAGTGAATGAGGATATATAGTAGAACTAGATGATGTTTTGATTCGAATCGACAAGTTCCATCCCAACCATCAACAGCTCGAACAGACTCAATCAACTGTCACTGCCCCCCCAAAAGCGGCACCGGAGACGGCAAGAGCCCCGCCGGCGCAGCTGCTCGTGCCATCGGCAAGCATGAGCTCACTTTTGGACGCGCCTCTGTCATGATAGTGATGTAATGGGGCCATTTCTGTGCCGCTAATGCGCCTGTTTCTACAGCGCTCGATTAGTGGACAGATGCCGCATCCTAGCGAGCCGACCTGATAATAGCCTCCACTATCTACTACTAGTAGTACACTGGATCATGATGGCAGAGAAATCACCTCCACCAATAACCGCGGCAATTCGCTCGTCGGACAATTAAATGACAAGCTTTACTCCGTCCTCTGCTTCGTATCTACTAGCAACACACTTGCCAGGTCAGGTCGCCCAAAGGCCCATCCGAATCTCGATTTCCATCGGAGCTGCTTCGGCAGGCATCCGGTCAATTACCTGCCCTGGCGCCCCGGTTTATCCAGACGGGCTCCAGCCGCATCACGGTATCGAACGGCCTCGGACATGGACCCCAAGTCGCACATTGATGAGCCCAGTCAGCGTGATTGCGAGTTGTGATAGTATTCCAATTGATAAGTTGATAGGTTGAGAGGTGTTCCAGCAGTGAGTGAGTGAAGAATTTTCCTTCCTCGTCTCCCGTCGCGCCACCATGCGCATACAGGTCATGATACCTCCTCGTACCATGGCTCGCCCTGGCCTGGGTCTTTCTATTGCCCCTGAATCCAACGCTTCACGACATCCCGACATTCCCAAACGCCGTCCTTCGAATGAGATGAGAATACATCGAGCTCGCTTCCAATCGTACATGGCCGCATCTAGCTCCTCTTTCGGTTTCCAAAGAATGATCCCTCCTCTTTTCTTGTTCATTTCTCGTTAATCGTACACATCTCTTCACCAACAACACAGAGTCATCGTCTTCCAATCAGTCGCATCGACCGTCCTTCCATCCCGTCCTCCACCGCTCGTCCACCTTGGAACAGTCGAACTCGGGCTTCCCCAGCTTCCTGTTGACGTCGTTGTGCGCGCGGCACAGCCACTGCGCGAACTCGTCCCGGCTCGACACCTGCGGCCTCTGCCGCGCCATGTAGCCCTGGAAGTCCTCGGCGCACACCCAGCACGGGTACAGCTTGGAGAAGAGCCCGACGAAGCTCAGCAGGTCCGACTGCTGCGTCCGCGACGGCTGCTCCGGGTACGTCGCCGCGATGGAGTGCAGCAGCGTCCAGGTGCTGCGGCCGAGGGTCTCGACGTCGGGCGGGCAGTCGGGCGGAGGGCCGGAGGTCGTCGTGGATACGGCGCTGCTGCCGGCAGGGGCGTCTTTCTTGGTCGTCTGCTTGGCTTGGGCGGCCCATGAGGCGAATGAGGTGCAGCTGCGGCATCTTTGAAGATGGAATGCTGTTAGTAGACTGATTCGACGTTCAATTGCCCGACAAACAAAGAATAGAGGCACGAGATGTAGGCTCAGGCGCAGACAAAAGGGCATGCCCAACTTACGGCTTGCCATCTTTTCCCAGCACGACTCCCTTGGGGATTCTCTTGGGCTGCTGCTCAGCGGCAACCGAGTCGGAAGCAGCTGCGAGGCCCGGCCCCGACGCAGCCGCCGTGGCGTCCCGGAATGAAGAAGCTTCTTCGGCCATTTCGTCCCTTCACTTCCCCGTTTTGATAACTAGCAGCTCTCCTTTTCTGCACACTCTGGCTCTCGCACACAAACTTCAAATTGTAAAAGAGCGTAATGGTGATAAGTAGTATATGTGAAAGAAAGGATAGGTGTATGACTTCAATACAGTGACATGCAATTTGTCAGCCCCCGGGGCCCGGGTTTTCAAGGCTTTGCCGCAGTCAGGATATTTTTCCTTATCGATAAAGCTTCGTTTAGCGTTCCAATTGTGACCCCTCTAAGCCCCTCCAAGCCTAGTATTAAGTCCAATCCGTGAATGCCAAGCCCCTCCGTCATCCCGCGGCATCTCATCCGAACTGTTGACATGAAGCTATCTTATCATCGAACATCAGACACGAATTCCACTCAGTCTTGGACATATCCCGTCAATTTATCTAGAAGCCAGCATCCAAACAAACCCATCAACACCGCCTCAAGAGCATTGACTTACTCAACATACTCAAATGCCCTCCTCCGCAACCTCATAGAGCTTCCCACAATGGCATCCCTCCCCTCATCAACGCAGCCCGTCCCGGTCCTCCTCCTCAAGACAAGATCCAGCCCATCCGACGCATACGAAGACCTCTTGTCCTCACCTGCCAACACCCCGTCCTTTGCACCAACATTCGTCCCAGTCCTGCAGCACAAATTTGAAGAAAAGGGCATAAATCGACTCCGCGACCTGCTCCGCCGGAAACGCATCGGAACCACCCCGGACTGCGACTTTGGCGGCCTGATCTTTACTTCCCAGAGAGCAGTCGAGGCATTCTCCCATGTAGTCCGCGAAGACGAGGCCTCAAAGGGTAAGATTGCTCCTAGAAGATTGCTTTATTCACCCTCGCCCTCATCCTTCGATATAGACATACATACATACAAAGCACTTCCTCCTCACTGAGACCCAATCGCATACAAAGATGTAAGCTGACCGATTTTGAAAACAAAAGACCCCTCGTGGCCTCACCTCCAACACATTCCCATCTACAGCGTCGGCCCAGCCACGACCCGCGCCCTCGCCGCCGTCCCGCAGGATCCCCCCCTCCAGATCTTCGGCAGCCACACCGGCAACGGCGACGCCCTCGCGCAATTCATCCTCGACCACTACGCCCAGTGGTACTCCGACAATTCCAACGGCAGTAATAGTAGCGAAAAGCAGCAGGATGACAACAGCAACAACAGCAGCAACAACAACAACCAGAGGCTTCTGCCCCCCCTCCTATTCCTCGTCGGCGAGCAGCGCAGGGACATCATCCCCCGCACCCTAACGGACCCTTCCCTCCCACCGGACCGGCGCATCCCCGTCACCGAGGAGGTCGTCTACGGAACGGGCGAGATGCCCTCTTTCCCGGCAGACTTTGCCTCCGTCCTCGACGAGACAACGCGGCGCTCCGCGAGCTCCGAGCGATGGATCGTCGTCTTCTCGCCCACGGGGTGCGACAGCATGCTCCGCGGCCTGGACCTGCTGGATCCCTCGACGGGCAAGTTCGCGGGGGAGCGGCGGCGGCAGGACGGGACGTTTGTTGCTACGATCGGGCCTACGACGCGGAATCATCTCGTCAACACGTTTGGCTTCGAGCCGGATGTTTGTGCGGAGACGCCGACGCCCGAGGGGGTGCTCGAGGGAATCTTGGCTTTCCAGAAGAAGAGGCCCGAGAAGACGACATGATGTATGACAACTGCGTGTCAAAGCTCAAAAAAAGCAAGAGGAGGAGGGTTCTAAAGCAGGCGAACCAGTGCTGGACATTGGTGTGGTTGACATGATTCGTAAGAAAGAAAGACGTATACACAACACTTGGAGACGGCGATATAGATCATACAGAGGTGCGGCGCTATTTCATATTTGCTTATGAGGGTATCATGGTTCGAACTGCCTCGCTATCTGTCTAGGCATCTTTTTTGTTCCAAGTGTTCGATGCTTCAAATTCTTTGAGATGAGATTGTCTTTTCTTTCCCCCCCTCTTCTTTCCACTTTGGTCCTCTTCCAATATGGTTTCTTCTGCACCACCAACTCCTTTCTCTTGTCTGAGTCTGTCTGACATGGTGTGCCGGCGGTCATATGTAGGCTAGTAGAATCAGACATATGACTTGAAACATGCTGAGCAGACATTTCGTAGATGTAGTTCCATTAATTCGTTTCAAAATAAAGTCGAACAGAACTTCCCGATAGGTTTCATACAACGTTGTGACATACATAATGCCTGGGCCAAACCAGGGCAAACGCAAGATCGGAAAGGGGTCGGGGTGCCATGGCATTCGGGTCCTCTCAGCGCTCTCATTTCGCGCCAATCACCCACAGCTCGACGCCAATGACGCTGAACTTGGGCCCCGCGTCGCTCAGCGGCTCGTTGCCAAACGTCTCGCAGGTCGAGCTGTGCCCGACGTCGAGCGAGTCGTCCAGCCACAGGCCGTAGTGGCCGCCGCCGGACCCCACGCTCAGGAAGCCCGTCTCGCAGTTGATGTAGAAGTCGTTGAGGCCGCTGTAGGGGAACGCCTTGAAGCGGATCCCGGGCGTCGTGTCCACCGACCGAGGCGTCGAGGTGCCGGACTGTGTTGTTGTTGTTGTTGTTGTTGTTGTTGTTGTTGTTGGTGGTGGTGGTGGCGGAGGAGCGAGCGTCGTGCTGCGCGTCAGGTGCGTCGTGTCGGCCGAGGGCGGCGGCGGGAGAGACGTCAGCGTCGAGGCCCGCCACAGGAAGCACTCGCCGTTGCCAAAGTAGGACGGGGCCGGGTGAGGGTATTCGGAGAGGTAGGCGCCAAACGTCTAGGTTCGTCAGCGATTCTGTTCGATTACTCTCCCTTCTTGTCATTCCTCTTCTCCTCATCTTCTCCTCCGGGCCGCCGAGAGAACAGCATTCAAAACTTACCCCTCCCTCCTGGTCCTTAACCACCAGCACAAACCCGACCCTCATGCCCTCGTACTGCCGACACTGCTGGTACAGCGTCGCGAGGCTCGTCCCGTTCTGCGCGAGGCTGTACACCAGCCGCCAGTCCTCCGAGATGCGCAGCCGCTCCGGCACCATGGTGCGGATCTCCTCGGCCACCGCCGGCGTCAGCAGCCGCGACTCGGGCGGCGTGCTGTCCTTGTAGCCGTGCAGCACGACCGGGTCCAGCGGCGGCGGGCGGAACGGGCTCAGCGTGCGCGGCTGCCTGGGCGTGAAGACGTCGTGGACGCCGTCGTTGCTGCTGTTGCTGAGCGCGGGGCCGCCGGCGTGGGCGTGGAAGTCGCCCGAGTCGCGCGACTCCTCGGTCGAGAAGCGCCGGATCAGGCCCGTCCACATTGTTGTCGGTCCTCTGTTTTTTTGGTCGAACGTGTTGGGTCCTTTTTGTCCTGAGCAAGCCTCCTGTAGCTTTGATGCTTTTACAAAGAGGGGGGGGGAGAACTCTTGTCCCGTGCTTGTAGCTAGCTAGCTACCTTGGCAAATTATCGCAAGTGCAGGTTATAGCTGGAGGGAAAGATGATTGTTCAAGTTGTGGTATGGTATGGGTGACGAGGAGTTCGCAGGTTCGCATGTAACCTGCTCTTATCGACCCGGAGTTACGACGTATCCAAAGAAAAGACCCGCCAGCCGTGAGACAGAAGCTGCTGAACGGCCATGAAGAGGGAGCAAAAGAAGAGAGAGGTGATGCGAAGGGAGGGGGGAAACAGAGGGAGGGCCGAGAAACGAAAGAAAAAGGTGAAGAAGAGAATGGGCGATCAGGTATTGTAAGAAGGACAAGAGGAAAAGGAAACACGGCGTGATGGAATTCCAAGCTGCGTGTGCCTGCGCCAAAGGGTAAGACACCGACTGGGCCGTTAGTAATGCCGTCTGGTGTCTGGTGGAGGAGGCATTGGGGATGTGTGGATGGGATCGGCTTTGGAAGTGATGCGCTGTAATAATAATAGCAACCAACTTCCCGAGGATTCAATCCAATGCCACAATGGCCTGTCACAGGCCAAGGATCAATTTCTAGCGCTGCGTTCCACGGCGTTCCGGTGCCTGTCAGCATTGACGGCCGGACGGCACGAGGAATATGCGCATCTGAGACGGGAATATGTGCGTCCTGGGGGAGGTGAGACGCACCCGATCACAGGGCGATGATAGTGCGCTTACTATGTCACCGTGTGCTGATTGCGTCTCCTCGTCTCAGCTATTTTGTCACCCAGTCTGGCCTCTTGTCCCGTGTGGGGATTCGTTGGAGCAGGACAAGGACCAGCCACAGACCGCAAGAAGAGAGTGTCGTCGATCACCAGCTTCGGCCCCGCACTCCGTTGCTGATACACATGAGATGGGATCACGAGTTTCGTCCACTATTGACAACGATACAGCTATCCCAGTCAGATGCTTTCTATACTGTAGACTGGAAATGGTAGATATGACGCAGAAAAAACATGTCAAAGCGGGAAAACAGCCATGCGAGGCCAGTGTATTTATTCATTTCATATCTCGTCTCGTTCCTCCATGCCCAGCCTTCATCCGTCCATCTTGGCCCGGCCAAGACAGATTCCCATTTCTTTGCCAGTCTTGTTTGTTGTTGCTCTAAATCATGGACAAAATCTTCTTCATGCGTGGCAACAGTCTCGCTCAACAGACAACATGCTTCACGCCGGTTCTTTACCGCATAATCTCTTGGTAAATCAGTTGCTTCAGCTGCTCCTTGCTCAGGGTATCTTTGTGCTTGTCGAAATCGAAAAACTCCTCGGGGATCGGAGGCGCGGTGGGCTCGTCATCCGGATCGTGGTACGGCTCGAGGTACGGGTGCTTGAGGGCGTCCTCCACCGTGATTCGCTTCACCGGGTTGAAGGCGAGCAGCTTCTCCAGCAGGTCCAGGGCCAGGTCCGACGTCTTGGGGAACAGGGTGCGGAAGGGCACCTTCTTCTTGAAGGGCAGTGAGCGGATGTACTCCCTCGCTCGTCGAGACTTGATGCCATAGTAGTCCTCCATGGTGGGCGTGCCAAGCACATCCAGGATGAGAGTCAGCTGGTGGTGGTCTGCAAGGAGCCCATGTTAGCAGTTATTTGTGGGAATCGCTTTGAGCTGTTGTCAACTTACAATCCTTGCCGGGGAACAAGGGCTTGCCGCTGAGCATCTCCGCCAGGATGCAGCCCACAGACCAGACATCGATGGCCTTGGTGTACTCCTTGAAAGTCAACATGATTTCGGGCGCGCGGTACCATCGCGTGGCAACGTATTCCGTCATGAAGCCGGAGTTGTCCTCCTGGGAGGCGGCAGACCGGGCCAGACCGAAATCGCAGACCTTGAGGTCACAGTTGGCATTGAGCAACAGGTTGGACGGCTTGAGATCTCGGTGCAGCACGTTGGCCGAGTGCATGGCCTTGAGGGCTCGCAGCGTCTGGTAGATGAAGTACTGGCAGTGGTCGTCGGAGAGGTCCTGGGTTCGGATGACTCTGTGCATATCTGTCTCCATGAGCTCCTACAAGCATGGTGAGCAGATAGTATAGGCAAAAGGCTGGCGGGGGACTTGCACAACAACAGCAAGGGAAACGTACCTGGATAAGATAGACCTCGTTAAAGCTATCGTAGCTTCGGGGCTTCTGAATGTCAAGAATGGAGATGATGTTCTCATGGTTGAAATAGCGCAGCAGCTTCATCTCTCGCAGGGTTCTCAGGCAGAACATGGAGTGGTCGAAGGGCGTAATCTTCTTGATGGCAACCTTTTGTCCCGAGGGCTTGTGAATAGCGGAGCTGTTGTCCGTCCAAATGCTGTTAGGGAACGGTCTCTCTCCAAGAGGAATACCAGAACACTTACCAAACAACGCCATAGGCTCCCTCGCCAACAACGTCCTGGATGTCATACTGCTCGCTGACGTTGAAGGAGATCTTGCGCGACGCCGATGCGTTATTGGGGGGGTTCGACCGAGACATGATCGGCCGGATTGCGCTCTGCGCGACTTGGGGGACTGAGGCAAGTTGAGGGGGGCCGGTGGGCGGGTTGGCGATGGCGGCCGTTTGAAGGTTGGGGGGAACGAGTCCGAGCTTGAGAAGCGCTCTCTCTACCTCTGCCGGAGGTTCTCGTCGATTGCTCGCAGGCTAATGTGCGGATAGCAGTTAACGGGGCAAGGCAGCCTAGCGGACGGCAACTCCACTCAGTGAACTAGAAGCGCAGGTCAGTATGGAGGAGGAGGAGGAAGAGGAGTGATGGAAGATGTTGAGGCTTTCTTGTCGCAGCAAGATGAGGGGAGACGGACGGTGGTTGAACGCACTCAGTTGTGGGAAAGACAGGGCGACGGACAGATGCGGTTGTCGACGCCTTTTCTGGGTGAACAAGAAGGAGAAGGAGAAGGAAGAAAAAGAAGACGAAAGAGAAGAGAAAATGCGCTCAGGCTGCCTCTTGGGAGAAAGGGACAGGCGAGACGATGGGACGACTGGCGAATGATATGGGCGTCTTCGGTGTGTGAACAAGAGGCACGAGTACGAGTTCGGGCTGGGCTGCGGGGTCGGATGGAGGGTTGCAGGTGCGTCTTCTGGCGGCCAAGTGGAGCAGAGACTGGACGTGGAAAGGGTCCAGTGAGGCCTTTGTATCTGCTCTCAACTGGGCTGCTGTGACTGGAGGTGCTCAGCTGGGCAGCGGTTTAGCGAGCTGTGCCCTGCCTGGGCTTATGTTCCCAGTTCCCATTGTATGGGCGTACGAGCAAATCAATAATTCAGGAGGGTCGGCGGGGGCGGGCTAAGGAGCACAGGAACTTCCATGGTTACTACCTAGGCCAGGGGTTGGGGGGGGTTCCGTACAGTAGGTAGGTGCTGGTTTAGCGGGCTGCGGCGCCTGTAGGGCCACTGAAGAATCGCGGATGCATTGATGGATACATCCAATGTAGAGGATTCAATGGATGATGGATACATGTAGGACGGAGCTGGACGGTGCATGCAGTTCACACGGGTGATGGACCCAGCCGATGGGCATTGACGGCATCGACCACTGCTGCTGCCAACAGTAGTGGCAGAGCACTACCCAATGTACTGTCGTCGAAATGCATGCAATAGAACGTCCCAGACGGTTACAGGTTCGTGCCCGTCCAGGCTCAGCCCGTCCGGATCCGCTGGCTGGCAGCCCCTTGCAACCGTTCCTGTGACAAGCTGCTTGATCCCAGCTAGTCCAAGCTCGAAGCTCCAGATTCTCCCCGTCCACGGTCCTCATCGAGAGGGCTCTTTGTTTAGTATGCGAAACAGCAACGGCAATGCGATGCCCTTGTCTGGAGAAGAAGAAGAAGAAGAAGAAGAAGAAGAAGGGGCTAGGAGGGAGCTCTCGGAAACGGGGGGAGGAGAACAAAGACGGGGGGGGATTGTTTGGACGGGGAAATGCCGTGGGAATGGATGCATGCATGGCACGGCAATGCGGTTTCATGCAACCGGGAACCTGTTTGGTTCGTTTCGGAATCCCTTTGTCTTGACTGTGGAAACGAAACCTGGGAGCTGCCCGGAACTGGATAGTGAAGCAGTACTAGAACAAAGAGGTGAAGAATGGGTTCGATGGCAGCTCGCAACCAACATTAAAGGTCCATATGTACCAAGTTGAACAATGAGCGGCTCTCCGATAAAGCACCTGGACAGACAGAAAATCCATGATAGTAGTAGCATCAAAGGAATGTCATGGCGCAGCCAAACTCAACTCCGTTACTCGCTCTACCTATACCTCTTTCTACAAAGCAGCCATCGATTCAGCACAGTTCGGCGTCTCACTTGGTCCTTGCTTTCAACATCTTCAAGAATAAGCAGCTGGCGCCACCTACACTAGGCGGACAGGGGGGGCGCCATCGGTATGGTCAACTGCTGTAGTTCGAGTCTCGTACATGTAGTAATATCACCCTCCATGTTGTCAATAGGTACCTATTCAACGCTCCGTCGCCTCAAGGCTACGACTTCTGCATAGCCCTCAAGGCACACACAGACATGAGCATCTCGTCACCATCGCCATCAACTACACCATCAAGCAATCGTCCATTGACTTCACATCCATCCATCCCAAGCCCCCCCCCTTCAGTTTCACATCCCTCCTCCCCCTACCAAAGGCGCCTAATCCCCATCCCCATTGGCCCGTCAAGCGTCGCCCCCCTCGCCTGTTTCACATCACAACTTCTACTAGCACTACCTTAGTAGTAACTTGAATCCCACACCTGCGGCGCAAGTGAACCAAGAAATTGCAGCCCTGAGAGAGGGGGGTTTGGCTGCCCCCCAACCTCAAACATCGACGTTAGAGCTTCTTCTCCAGCGCTGTTTCAAAACTCGGTAGAACACTCTCTTCCCCAGTTTTTCCATCTTGCCCCTTGCATTTCAGATGCGAAGTAGAGGTCTATCATTGCTATCAAGGTGCATACCGGGATGGATATTGCTCGTATTCAACTTGGAAATCAACATCTCGTACACCACAAAGCTGCTCAGGTAGCTGTCAAGCAACATTACCCTACCCTCACAGCTTCGTAGCTTCAGTACCCGTATCGCCTCGTAGTGGTCACCAATGCCAAATGTTTCGTAGCAGCAACCCAAATCACCTAAAACACGCCACCTCTTCCCGCCCCACCACTCCGTCAATGCCGGTAAACCTCGATCAAGATAGCTTGACAGCTAACAGCCGCGCCGGCCGGCCTCTATCGCCGTCCTCCTCACTTTCTAAAGATAGATATTGTTTGTAAGATCGAGACACCTGAAGAGGCAAGACGGAGAACTGTGGAATGCTCGAGCCAGTGGGTGAAGCCCCAAAGAACCTTCAAACAACGTGCTCACAAGTCCAAAGGAACATCAACACTTGATTGCTTTTTATTGATTTCAGTCCACGTTGAAATATAGTTCATTTACCATAAAAGACATAGTCCCTCTCATCTTACTCGCCCTCTTTTCGCCAATGGTCGCCACCGTGATCCCCTTGACTACCTAGTCTATACAATGATTATTGCAACATCGCCTCTCTGTCATCTCCGGAACATTACTGCACAACCTGTATCGTTCTCGCGTTAGCCTGTGAGGTTCTTGGAACCAACATGCCAGTCAACGTACCTTTTCTCGAAGTGTACCAAGCCACTGTGCTGCGCTTACTCCCTGGTCCGCCCGGTCCTCAATGAGCAGCGTCTGCGCCCACAGCTTGAGCAAAGGCTCGCCATCCTCCCGGACAATGTACAAGTGCGGCACCGTGATGCTTCCCACGCCAAGTGAGCGGTGATCGCGGCTCTTCTGGATCACGGCTCGAATGCGCTCGTTGAAATCGTTTTCCAGCTCCGGAACTCGCCCCTTGCCGACGTGGACCTGCGTGCGGTCCTCGACTCCGAAGACGTCGGCGAGCAGCTGGGGAACGGCATCCCGGCCCACCCACAAGAACTGGACCTGGCCGTCGTCAATCAGATACAGGCCGTACGATACGAGTCTCTCCGAGGACAGGTTAAGCGGCGGAGGGAGGACAATCTGGCCTGTGGCCTCATCCGGGATGCCCGAGTTGTCGGGCATGTCGTGCAGAGAGTAGAGTCGGGGGTAAATGTATCGAATCAGGAGCGGGATCGGAAGCGTGGACAGGAGGCACAGGGCGGCTGATCGAATGTCAGAGGGGATCTGCGTCGATTTCCGAAGGCCGACGTTCTTCGTCAAGCCTAGGAACAGCAGGGGAAGTCCTCGGAGGTTGGCCGGGAACTGCAGGCCGCCGCCCATGCTGCCGCCGGCGAGCTCCTTCTTGAACGTCTGGAGGAGCTCGGTGACCTTGGCCGCCAGGGCGTCTCGGGCGGCGTCCAGGCCGCTGCTGAGCGCTCTCTCCACGGCCTTGTGGCTGAAGTAGGTGGTGATGGCCAGCTGGTCCGCAGACGCGTAGACGTCCGACAAGTTGGTCGTCGTCGGCAGCGCAAGCGTGAGCACCCTGATACGGCGCTCGCCGTTGCATGTCGTGTGCAGCACAGCAGCCTGGAGACACACCACGTTCTTAGTAAGGTTCTCGTCAATGGCGACTTCGACGACGTAGCATTGGTCGCGGGGGAAGGCCGGGAACGCGCAGAGGTCGGAGCTGCGGTTGAAGAAGTTGCCGTAGAATGCATTCATGCGCAGGCCCGTAGTCGCACGCACGCGGAGCACGGCCTCCAGCCCAATCTCGGACGACAGGTAATCGCTGAACTCGGAGGCGAACTTGAGCGCGTCCTCGGGTCGCGAGGCGTGCCAGCCGGGGTAGAACCACGTCTGTCCACCAGTGTACCTCGGCAAGTTACTCAACGAGGCTACATCCTGGTATTGAGACGAGAACAGGAACATGTCAATCGACACCTGGTTCTTGGAGCACTCGACGGCAAAGCTCTTGTAGAAGCTGTTGGACGTCTGCAGGAGGCTGCTCTCCTTGGACGTGCCCAGAAGCTTCTTGTCCTCCCTCATGTCCAGCTTGCCGACGCCCGTGTTAGGGAGCGAGGCAGTGAGGACGACAATCTTGCCGCCGAGCGCAGAGATGAGCTTGTGTCCGGCGCGCAGGGCCGATCCCATGCACGAGCCGTTGCTCTGGTTGTTCTGGAACATGTCGGGCAGCTTCTGGAGGAATTTTTCGATGCTCTGGCGGCTCTCGGTCAGCGGGACGAGGAGATCGTGGGGCACCGGCAGGAATGGCTCCTCCAGGTCGCTGACGACGAGCATGCTCGTCTCGCCGTTCTCGTCCGTGTCCTTGGGGATGGAGAAGTAGTGGAGGCTGGAGTCGACGGCGAGGAAGCCGAGGCGAGTTCGGCGATCGGCATTGGGTATCCTGCTCAGGCTGTCCAAGATGGTCCTGGCGCTCGTGGCCAAGAGGCCGTTGGAAACCGCCGCGTAGCTGACGTCGAAGAGGAAGAGGTAGACCAGGGGCTGGGGCGGTCGAACCATGTACTCCTGGGGGGCGACAAACTCGACGACGGCGTGGTTGAGCTCGTGGCGCTGCCATCGGTCGGCCGCTTGCTGAGCGGCGGCGTCCCAGTCGAAGGCCTGGGGCACATCGTTGCTCAGGTTGCACATGTTGCATCTCCATCGGTGGCCGTGGTCCAGGAAGGTGACGAACGGGTTGATATACGTCCTACATCTTCGGCAACGGGAAATGACCTGATCTTGGACAACGGGTATGGGGTCCTCGTCGTCGTGCAGAGCTCCGTACGGCTGGATGATGAGCGCGAAGGGCAGCTTGGACTTTTTCAGCAGCGAGTTGGATGTGGGGACAGCATTGATGGTAGATCGAATGTATCGCGAAGAGCAGTTGGCATCCGGCGAGGCAGTCACGCTGGTCTGAGGCAAACGGCACTCGTTAGCACAAGCTCGTCAAGCAGCAGTGATACCATGCAATTGGGACCTCTTACATTGGGCGGGAGAATGATTGGAGGCGGCGGCAGATCCAGCTCCGAGACGTGGAAGGGCTGCGTCAAGAGGTCGGTAGGGTACAGCTGGTTGAGAACGGTGGGCCTGCCTTGCTGGGCCACCTGGGGAGGCTGCGGCTGGCCCCCGACCTGCATGCCGGCCATGCCCTGCGTGATGCCCGCGATGCCCGGGGCAGGACCTGGGCCAGCCGCCGGCTGGTATCCCTGGTCCGGAGCTTGGTAGCCGTACGCAGGCTGCGACGCGGCGACGGGCTGTGGTGCGCCGTAGCCGGCCTGGGGATACTGGTATCCAGGCGCCGCGGGGCCGCCAGCGACGGGCTGAGGCTCACCGTAGGCAGCAGCGCCGTAGGGAGCGGCGCCGGCAGGCATTGGCGGCGCGCCGTACGGTTGTCCGACGGGGAGCTGGCCGCCTGCCAGAGCATTGGCTCCCGTGCCGACCTCGAAGGCTTGCGCCGCATATCCTCGCTTCTTCTTCTTGCCCGCGGCGGTTGCCTCGTGGGGCGCGGGCTGGCCATCGTAGGGCGGCTGCTGCTGGGCCTGCTGGTCAAGCGGCTGGCCGTAGCCATCGCTGGGTGGCGCCGACATGATGGGGGATGAGCTGGGCGAGGGCGTCGGTTGTTTGCGCGACTAGAAGCGAGTTGGTGTTTTGATGCAGGTCAATTCGGTGGGGAGGGCTGGGCGAGCTCTGGGCGAGAAGGGCGCTGCCTTGTGAGCACGTGCGGCGGCTCGAGAGAGGGGATCAAGAGGGCCGAGGCTGGAGCAGACAGTCGAGGCGTCGAGCAGTCTGATGTCGAAGCCAGCCGTCTGGGGGAATTGGCAGGCGAGAGATGGATCAAGATTGTTGGTGGGCAGGGCCAGCTGTCACTGGCTGTCGTCCGTTTTGATAGGTTGTCTGTCCTTTTGGGACGTAGGCAAGAGACACCGCCTCTGAGCCACACAAGGAGGGGCGCTGTGGCTGGTGAGGCTAACAACCTGAAGTGAGTTGGTGTCTGTGCTTTGCCTTGGGAAGCCGTTCCTACGGCATTGAGCGAGTGTATGTATGTTGGGGGGAGAAATAGAATAAATAAAGGGCAGGGCAAATGAATGATCTGTCTTTAAAGACTCTTGAAAACACGTAGCTCCATAGACTTGTATATTGAAAGCAGAGGGGGGAGACGTGGCCACAGCTTAGTAACATCTATCGAGATGTTGATGCAACAGATCTCTTCAGCCATACGGTACGTACAAACGCTGCTGATCTCGAGTGAAGTGAATCAAGCCACGTGGTGGATCTACGAAGACATGCAAACTACAGAACAGACAGATTGCTTCATGCGAGGCACCCGGTAAGATGGAAGACGCTTGGTGCATTGTGAAGAGATTTGCATCTGCAAAGCGACTCTCCCTCTTGGAACACGCCCATGACGAGCCATGCTACAGGGTAGGCATTGATGCATCACAACTGCACTCTTGGCAAGCTTCTGTACGCAGCTCCCTTCTTATAGCTGACTAGACAAACTCGTTTGGAGTTCGGCAAATTGATCAGACTTGGGAATACTAGTACAGTAATTCAGTTCTTCCCACTGCATGCAGCAGCAGCAGCACTGACATGCTCGCCCCTGTTCGTCGTCGACCGTTGCAGCCCGATTAGGACATGTACTGGATGTGGAGTGTCCAGTCCCTTCCATACCATTACCGCGTCCGAGCTTTCGGCTGTGCTGATGTAATTAAATTGCCTGTACGAATGAGTGCGGATGCCTGTTTTCTCTTGGTCTGGACTATCAGTAACGGTAAATATCAAACGGTCCAGCATGAAGCCCTTGATTGTCCTATCGATTCTGCAGACAATTGGTTGGTGCAAAGCACCTGCAGTATCAAATACTCCAGTTCAGATGGAGCCTACAGTACATGTGGGCGTATTAATAGGTCGCCGGCATGTGCTCATCCATCCATGGATGTATCCACCAAGCTCGGGTACCCTATCCATCCCCCAGGAACCCCTCAGGAACCGCCTACAAACAGGGCATCGCCTCCCAGCCCGCCACAGCCCACCTGCCCATCTCAGGCGCATTAGCGTCCACGGTGCACTGAAAGCCGCTGTATCCCCCCCTTGGCCGTAGCACCAAAACAGGCAGGGCAGTCAGCAGCCCCCGGCATGACCCTTCTGGCAATTGCAAGGGGTTGAACAGGCAAGCAACCGTAGCAAAAAGAGGCGCGCCATAATATCACCCGCTGCGGGAATCGGCAAGAGAAAAAGTCCCCCATGGATTCAAGATGCTATTTTGAAGATCGTATCTGTCAGGTACATGCGATCTAATTTCAATCAACAACCCGGCCCTACCAAGGTACTTTCGGTGCCACCAACAGCCAGCATGCAAACCATGTAACGCAGCCCTTAAAAATGAGCCACTTCAGGCAATAACAGTCGAGTAGAGATACATGTGCCGACAAGAAAGATTGACAGCCCCCAGAAACAAAAGCACATGCACATGCACAGCAGAGGCCTCCTCGCCCGCGTCCCGTCTCGCGCCTTTTTTATCCGTCTACATTCCCTTCTCTCTCTCTCCCTCCAACAAACGCCCATCCACCCACCTTTTCTCTCTTCTTCTTCTCAGCTTTCGCATTCCCTCCTTCACTCCTTCTCTCTTTCTTGAAAAACCTCTTTCAGCTGCCATTCTTTCAAGCCGACGTCCTATTTTATACTACTTACTTCTTACTTCTTGTAACTCTCCATTCACTCCTTTAACATCATCTACTCGCGCCACCGACGACTCTGGAACGAGCAATCCTTGGCGCAACTCGTGATTTTCATCGCCTTTTGTACAACACAAACAGACGACCTCGATACCCCGGGCTGTAATTGCCGACTTACCATTCGCATCTTTTATTCTCCTATACGCTCGTCACATATCTGACGCCTGAAATCATGGCATCAACCCTCGGGTACGATTTCTCTCACTCACGCGCGCACTCTCACTCTTCCAACAAGACACTCCAGCCATGTAAATAACAGAAACTGACACTTCCTCATGGTCCCATTCAGCCAACTCATCCCCCTCGTCATCGCCATCGCCCTCCTCGGCGGCGCATCCTGGGTCCTCTACCAGATCTACCTCTCCCTCGCCAAGATGCGCGAGACCGCCTCCGAGCGCATGGGCCGCTCCAACGTCGTCTTCACAAAGGACGGCGTCCGCGTTGGCGTCCGCCAGATGCAGAACGAAAAGTACGTCGACAAGACGCAGAGCTACGTCGTCAAGGCGTGGAACCTGGGTACCGCGCAGAGGGACGAGGAGATGTGAGTATTTTTTTTTTCCCCTTCGTTATCCTTGATGACGGAGATCCGATCTCCACCCGCCATTATATACCTTGATACACTATGTGATCGTGGGGAATTCATTGTGCTTGTTTGGATCTAATGCAAGAACTTATAGGAAAAGAAAAGGCTCGAAATAATGCAGCCGAGGAGAAGGACGAGCAAGTCGACTTGGGAATGGCAACGTCGATGAATTGACATGTGACAGGAGAGCGCGGAGACATACAGTTTACTCGGTACTGCTTGCAGAGATGGAAGACCTCGATGATACCGTTACTCTAAAAGGCCGTCATGCATATCCCCTATGATGTAACTCTCTCTATCTTGAAACAAATGGCACGCGCATACCGATAATACCCCCCAAATACAAGCAATATGATGACACTGCGCGACCACACACCCCGAGAACGGCACGCCGCGGGACTTTCGCGCCCGAAACAGCTTCTCCTCCCCCCCTGTTCGACTCGCCGAATGGCTGCGTATCTTCGGAACTCGAGCTGAGACCTGCCATGCAAGGGGCTTCAAGGAGCTTAATCGCCCTCCGGACTCGTATCGTCGTACGTCGAAATAGCTGCATGCTGCGGCATCTGTCGTGGCGGTGTTAGCCTGGTCTGGCACCCCGAGATCGCATAAACCGTCTGCTGCTTCAACTTACCAGGACCGTCGGTTGGCCGTGAAACACCTGCTGCCGAAACAGCTGGGGCGCCATTGGCCCTGTGGACAACGCCTCGGACGGCTTCGCAACCTTCATGGAAAGAATCTTCTCGACGTTGACAGATGGGCTGTTGGCCATTGAGCCGTCCATTCTAATGAGCATGGAGGGAGTCCGGTAGTTGAGCTGCGATCCGAGATTAGCTCGGGCCACACTCTACACAGCAATCTTGTGTGTGAGAGAGAGTTTAGTTAGGGAATCATACCTGAGTCAACATGAGGGCATAGGAGACGCCGAGATGCTTCCCGATGTAAGTGAGCCGTCCCTTGGCCCACCCCCGCTGATTGTCCGTCGTGTAGTCTTGCCCCTGGATACAAGCCAGCGGCCACGTCAGAAAGTACCCAGACAGGCTCTTTGTGGTGTCGTCCTCGCCGCAGGCAAACCCAGAGAGACTGGCTTGCTGGAATAGGTGCTTGCGCGTGCTGAACCATCCGAGCTGGTAGGGCACCGAAGCGATGATGTCGGTGATGTTCTCCACGCATATCCTCCTCGCCGTGGCATACTCGGGCGCCATGCGGTAGTCGACCGGTGACGAAACCCAAGCCACACACCGGATCACGAGAGATGCCAGGATGATTCGTGACACTCGCATCATGCTCCACAGACTGGCTACCCACAGATCCGGATACGCATCGACACGTCCCGGGAACACCTCCAGCTGGTAGTAGTCGGCGTCGGGAATCTCGTCTTGCCAGAGGATCGTGCGGTATCGAAAGTCCTCTGGCAGCGTCTCGGCCCACCGGATGCACTCAAAGTCCAGCGCCTGGCACTGCCTGATCATGTCTTGAAGGGCTTCCACGCTTTCTGTGTTGCGTGGCAGCTGGCTCATGAGCCGGTTTACCTCTGCCCTGATCTCTCCGGCACGGATGCCGAGCCGTTGACACTGAGAGGCGTACATGTCCCGGATGGCATCTGCGTTGACCCACCACTCCACTTGCATCAGGGGCGGTTTTGCGGTGCTGAGCGTGTGGACAATCTATGAGACTCGAGTCAGATGCAAGAGGACAGAACTATAGGGAGCATGGACAGCAACGACCTACCATTTGGGTTCGGACAGCTATGAATAACGCCACCCCAATCTTCGTCCGGAGCTGCTTGCGGCCTCGTTTCCGGACGAGCTGGATCGCTGCCCGGATGTGAGGCCCCCAGGCCAGCATGCCGAGATTCCTGGTTGTGATGTTTTCGAAAAGACCCAGCAGGAGAATGGCCGCCAGGGTGGAATCCTGCTTGATGGTGTCGGGGTTGTTCAAGGCTACGTTGATAGCACTCAACGCCTTTGAATGCGTACGCAGAGCGCGCTCGACCAGGAGCTGATCCCCTTGTGAGTTGGCATAGCTAGCCATGGCACAGGCATCGAACGCGGCCTTGAAGTGAGGTGCCACCTCTTCCGCCCTCAGCAATGGCACTACGTACTCGAGGAACCCACGTCCATTGCCGAACCGGGGGATGAGCACATAGTTGGACAGGAAATGGCAAGTCACCTGGCCGTCCAGGTCCATCTGTGGCTTCTGCAGCAGGGTGTATAGGCCGGTCCAGGGAGTCTGCTGATTCTTGCGGCCATACGAGGCCGCCATGGAGGGAATGTGCTGAGACGGCCCAAATGGGGGGTTTGAACAGCCGGATGAATGCACACCGTTTGGGGAGATTGGTTCTGGCGTAGAACTGGCGGCGAACTTGCTCATACGCTGGGCGAGAGCCTTCTTGGACGCCCGCTGCGCTCTCTTCTCCGTTGCCTGTGTCTCGTTGCGGAACACCAGGTCAAACTCATCTCTGTATCCGGGGCATTGCCGGCGAGACTTGGCACACTGCTTGCATGTGGGCTTTGTCTCGTCACACTAAGTTGATGATGAGTCTCGGTGTGGGAGTTCACAGCGAACAAGAAGCCGAGGGAACTTACCTTGATGCGGCGAGTGCGGCACATCTGACAGCCCCTCGAAGGCTTCCCTTGATAGACCATGGTGGAGCAATCAGGCTGGTTTCGGGTTGCTTATATCAAATACTTGCTGAGGTTTGATTTTGGGTGGCTGAAAGCATGTTCTTTGAATTTTGAAGAAATGGCCAGGAGTTGGTATCGAGCTGGTTGTATGGAGAACAAGGCGAAGGCGGACAACGATATATATAATGAGTGGGTATATGGCGAGCTTGTATAGCGAGGAAATCGGTATGTGGAGCCAGCCCTTATCGACACTTGGAAGAGCTGGGGAAGAAAAGAGAGAAGAGGAAGAAGAAGAGATGCGAGAGGCAGTAAATGACTGCCGGCGAGAGAAGCCAAGAGCGGATGTGCGTGACGAATTCTCAAGAATCAAGTTGCAGCGGGATCTAATATGCTGAGGTCCGAGGCCGCCTATGCTTCCGGTGACGTGACGTGACGGTGAAGGAGAGAAGATTCGAGAGACGAGGATCCGAGGGCGCCACGCAGCTCCCAAGACGACGGGGGAGAGGGAGGGGGGGGCCCGGGCCCGTAAACAAGAGGCCACGAAAGGAAATGTTTGCTCAACCTGTCACAAGGCAGGCAGGTGGATGGCGGTGCAACAGTGAGTGACGAGAAATGCCGAGCTTTGACAGGTAGGCGAGAGGCGACGTATCTTGAGGACGAGAGACGAATCGAGCAGAAGAGAGTCGAGTAGAGGAAGGGCAGCTTCGTGAAGCGGGCGTCTGATTTGCCGAGGCTTGGCTGTGAATGGCCGGATGTGCCTCCCGAGCAAGTAGTGGGTATATATTATGTATATATATATATACACTCGGCAGAGCAACGGAGGACCGATATGGGTATCCGAAGAACAAGGCCGGACGGGGAGTCTATGCAGAGAGTGGAAAGCAGACAAGGCCGTAAGGGTATACACGGAGCCCAGCCAGATGATCCCGGCCTGTGAGGCTGGAGTTGTATGTATTGGATATCCCGTCTTGCCAGCGCTGCCGTAAGCGAGTCCCGGCGCCGGGAGGCAGGATAAATACTGGCGAGCCGGGATCTTGGATTCTGGGTCAGATGCGGGCGTATCAGCCGGGGAAGGTCTGCCGGTCGCCTGTCTCTGGGTCTCGCCCTCGCCTCGCTTTCGCCTTTCTTCTTCACTTACACGCTGTTTCTCGGCGGAACGATGAGAGAGGAGTATCGGCAATGGATGACGTGGAGAGGTGCCAGAAGATGAAGCCGAAGACAAAAGCTCGAGACGCAGACGCAGAGCTCTGGAATGTGCAGCAAATGAGGGGAGAGCTTCAACGGAGATTGAGCCTCGGAACAGGAGCTCCAAGAGAGCTCAGGCCAACGGGTGAGGGCCTTGAAGAGCAAAACAAGAAGAGGGGGAGAAAGAAGGCAAGTAAGAATAAACGAAAGCAAGATAAAAAGAAAACAAGAAGGAAAAGGAAGAAAAACAGAGTGAAGCGGATGGGATTCAACTCGATGAGAGAGACAGAGAGAGGAAGCGGAAAGAAATCGTCACAAGAACAATGAACAAGCGCGCGATCTCTCCCGGGCGAAGGCGCAAGTACAGGTGACTTGCCAGGCGGTACACGAAGCCTGGAAGCGAGCGCTGGGATACGACAGCCGGCGGCTCAGCATTGGTACGGCTACAGGCAGCTCGGCGCGGGAGCTGCACCGGAGTCCAGGCGTGCCCAGGTACACCGGCTGTACAGAGTACCGCCCCTTGCCTCATGTAACCTGACGTGTCGCGGATCTCAGTCGCTGGCATCCTGGCTTGTCCTCAGACACTGGCAACTGACAGGTGCCAGGGGGGGGCTTGGGGTTGTTTTGGTGCTTGTTGGATGGCTTCAAGTGTAAGATGACTCGCAAGTGCTTTCCAGCGATTGCGTAGCGGTACCAGACGCCACTTGACCGCCAACTTCAGGTGGTTGTTGTTATTTAGTACCTGTAAGTCAGGGGTATATAACTCCAGTGTTTACGCGTATTCATGCTTCCTGTTGTTTTAGTAGGGAGCAGCAGCAGGGAAGCGATGATAAACCAGATCGACATGCATAAGAGAGAGAACAACAACAACAACCCTCAGATCCTTGTCCGGTCACAACTCAGATGACAAACAAACAAACGGCAGCATCTGCCAGACAAGACAAATTACGAGCATCTGCTGCCAAGGCGCGGGGGAGGGAGAGAGAGATCTCTTCAACGGAAGCACCACCCAGGCCAGGCCCTCTTTGTGCATCTCTGGCACTTTGCTTGTGTTCTCGACCAGCAGCCGGCCGAGATTGAAATTGGCTCGCCCGCTCCTCGTATGACAACCTGCAATGTAGATTGGCCTTAAGGTACCGGCCGGGACTGGGACCGGCAAAAACAAAAAAATAAAAAGACACCAACAAATCGAGCAAGAATCAAGGTCTGGGTGCTCCATTAGCGCATGAAGGCATAGCGCGGCAAAGGTTGGCACAATGACGACGACCCCTGGGCCTGGCCTAGAGCTTGCCTTCAGTTACAAGTTCCAGTATAACCTCAAGTTCTCGGCCCCCCGGGCTATTATTAGCTGCGACAAGCCAAAAGGGAACCGGCCCCAAAAGCGCTGTTTGATCACCGTCCGACTACTACCAAGCACCTGTAACCGCATTGCGAAGAGAAATGTATAAGGAGGGATAGAGAAGAAGAAGGAGAGCAGAGCAAGTCGAGCAAAGCCAATCGATGGGACTACAGCTCCGCAGAAAAGAGGCTACGTGCAGTTCCGAGGATGGGAGGCTGCTGGCAGGGGTGGCAAGTGGGAACACTTGAAGCTCGGGAACCCGAACGTCCCGTCCGATTTGCTGCGGGTTTGCTGCGAGTGATGATCGGGTATGCTTGAGATTCGCTGTAATGTGCATCTTGTATACTACCACCTATGATTGACTGCAACAATTGAATACCATAGGTCGATTGTGTGATGTCTTGATAACAACGACTTCAACATGTCCATATGGAACAACCTCTTCTCAACCTCCCCAGCCAGAAACAGAACCCACCCAAACAAACCCCCCCCAAACCCTCGGACCACTTCGCATAAACCGCCAAGCAAATCCCATCACACCCCCCCATGGATCGACCAATTCATGCCACTCTTCTCCGTCCGTCTCCTTTCTTTCCCCCAAGGTATATTTCCCCGGTAAGCCAAAACACGCGAAGCGAGGCAAGAACCGGAAAACGGATCACAGCGTCTTTTCTCCCCTTCCCTTCTCTTCACTCTTCACCCCGTGCGACAAAACGCCCCTCCGCCCCTTCATCATTCGTCTCTGCTGCTGCAACGTCACACACAAGCCCGTCTCTTCAGAGGCTTTGTTTGGTTTTTGCGTCCCCCTCCCGCCTCCCGCCTCCAACCGAGTCCAGGTTTGCCTCTCTCTCTCTCTCTCTCTCTCTCTCTATCTCTTTCTTTGCCTGTCTTGCCTGTCTTTCCCTTGCGTTCTTCTCTAGCTGAGACTTGGCTGGTTGTCCTTGCCAGAAGACTCTTGACCGCGTATTTGCCTAGGTCAATGGGCTTGTGCTCCCCGCCTCACCTCGCCTCACCTTAATCTAGATACGTAGCCACCCCCCAACCATGACGACTTCGTGCTCCTTGTTACCAGCAGTGACACAACTCTAGCCGTCCAAACATCATTCAAGCAACCTGAAAAAGAAAAAAAGGGCAAACCACCGTCGCAATACCGGACTCCGGACCTCGTACTCTTCAACAGGTCCACGCAACCTACCTCGCGTGCTAATGTAACTTCCAATAAAGAAGAACACAACTGACATGCCCGTACTCCCAAAGAAAAGAGAATAATGCATGTAATCTACAAGAACGAAAGAGAGGAAAGAAGTAGTAGAAGAAGTAAGAAGACGTAAGAAGAAACAAACAGGGCGTCCATGGCAACACACCACCACAGCCCCAGGTAGGTAGTCTACAAAGCACACACGCACACTGACACACTTTTGGCCACCATAAAAGACAGACATGGCCTCCCTCACCTTTGTGCCTTGGCATCGTTTGGAAGATTTACCTACTTTTCTTCAATGACAAGCACAAAGTAGATGCGGAAGCAGAGCCAAGGCTGCTAAGCGGGCCCCCCGGCAGCATTCGCCAATCTCGCCGTCATCTGGTCCGAAGATCGATGGTCCATTGATTCACATTCGTCCCGGATCCTTGGTAGATACTTTACTTGGAACAAGACAGATGTCGCTAGGATATAGTACATACTGTCAATACCCCAGTTGTCATCATTGCCGCGGCGGCCCATCACTGGTAGTATAGTACCTCGAGCTCACCCCTTTCATGCCCTCCCTCTATGGTACCTTCAGCTCAGTGTCGCCGCAGTGCCTCAAGCGGCACAATGCCGACTTTACATACAGGTGTGTACTCTCGATATCCTCTGCACCCTCTAAACTGCCGTATATGACGTATATAGACACGATTGTTCGTCTTCTCCCGACAGCAAGTCTTTACCCCCTTTTATCGGGTCCTTTCTTCAGCAGCTCCTTGTCCTCCGCACACGGCTCTTGCACCACAAACTCTAATACAGCAAGATTTCGGTGAGCAAAATGGCAAACGGCATCCAAGGGAAAACGCAGCTCGCGTTGCGCCCCGTTGCCACCACTGTTGATCCTCTTTTCCCATTATATAGTTCTTCGACGGCCGGCGTCGTCATCTTCTTCCTTCAGCCTTCAAAGAGGTTGGAGATGCCTTCCAGGCCGTCGCCGTCAGGTGTGGCCCGGCCTCCCGCTGCCTCTGCTCTCTTTCGGCCCGCAGCATCCGATGTTGCTGGAGCGCTGGTCATGAAGCCCTGGGCCATCTTGCTTCGGCCAGTGCGCTTAGATCGACTCGAGCTGCTGTCCAGGCCCGTCTTGTTCAGCTTACCCATCTCTGAGACGCTCACTCCCTTGAGATCCTTCAGGAATTCCATGACAATGGCCCTCTGTTGCCGCGTATGCGATGCTGGCTTGGGCACGTAAGCGTTCAGACGCTCCAGTTCCCCGGGGTTCACGTTAGGCAGTGCCAGGAGAACGTTGACCGGCGTCGGCGTGATTGGGCTGTAGTACACCACGATTGTGGCAATGAGAGATGCCAACTCTTTCTGGACATCTACAAAGTATGGCTCGTGGTAGGACGTGACACATGCTCTCATCACATCCGAAGAGATGTACTCCCGGACAGCCGAGGCGATTTCCGGAGAGATGCGAACGACTGGGGCATCAGCCCCCTGGGCCTGGGAACTTGTGACGTTTCGCTTGGAAGATGAGGCGAACTCTGGCACCAGAGAAATGAACAGCCGCAGGACCATTCCGCAACATCTGATATCCCGCATGCGAATGCCATGCATGCAGAACAGCAAGAGCGGCTCGATGATCTCCTGGCGGGCCAAGCAAAACTTTCGAAGAGAGGGGAAGGCTTCTTGAGAGTATTTGAGCTCTTCGGCAGTCTCGGCCTGTGACTTCAAAGTTGGCGGATCTGTTGCGAAAAAAGAGTTAGCAAACGCAAAACTTCATGGGATCCTTTCGGGGTCGGCCATACTGGGCTTTGTTGGGTCCAAAATGTCTGCCACCATGACAACGGCAGTGTACGTCACTTGCCGGAGAATACTCTCAGACTTCATCTCCTCTTTGAGCTCGTCATCTCCGTCTGCCACCACGCTCTGCCGCTGCTCAAGCTTTGCCCACTCAGAGTTGATCTTGGCATCCATCTGCTGGAAGCACGAAGACAACAGTCTGGGCAAGAAATTCTCGCGGCAGTCCACCGGGCAGTCATCCACCAGATGTCGAACCAGGCTCAACAGGTTGCTCTGCTGATGTGTAGACAGCCATATTGAATCCGAAAAGAAGGCCTCGGACAGTGGAGCGGCGAGTTCGCTGAATCCGTAGAACTGTGAGTGGAGCTTGCTCATGCAGTAGATGATCCCGTAGGCTGTCTCGCGGACAAACCGAACTGTCCCGCGAATCGTAGACGCAAGTCCCTCCATCGTACCCTTCTTGTCGAATACCCGGGCGTAGAAGTCGTCTTTGCTCCCTTCCGATATACCGGCCTGCCAGAATCGATCGCTTAGGACTTTGTCTACAATGTGGCGCATGTCTTCCGGGAATCCCGTCCAGTGATGCGGGTTATGCGACGCGTGAGCATAGCTAGAATGAGGTCAATACAAAGGGAACAGCAGCACCTTGGGCTTCAATAAGCACGTACCTCAACAAACGCAGCAAATCTGCCAGGATGTTTGGGAATCCCTCCTCCCAGATGGCGCAGGTGGCCTGAAACGCGGCGGTAGACTTGTCGACGCGGTCCACGGACAGCGCAAGGAGAGTCTTTGTCGGACGGAGAGGCAGTTGCTTCAAGCGCTCTTCCAATTCATTCTGCAGAGCCAGCCCCTCCGCGTCAAGCTCGTAAGAGCCCCAGTCCTGGATGTTCTGTGCCTGGCGGCTGACCAAGTATGCTTGGGCCTTGTCCAGCGCAAGGAGCTCGCAGAAGCCGGAGTACGACTTCACGGCAGACTTGATACTCTCCTCTTGCCATTGCGCCTTGACAGGCTCAACGAACTCTCTAAGTTTCGGGATCTTGGCCTGGGTGTCAATGCTTTTGGCTCGATGGCTGCGTCGTGGGTTAGAACCTATATCATGTTCATCCAGATACAACCGTCCATGTCATGTAACTTACATGATGAGAAACAGAAAACTTCGATATGCCAAAACTCGTCTATCATCCAGCTTTCCGGTATTGATCATCTCGTTCACGCGGACCTCGATTTGGTCATAGACCCCCTAGTCACGGACCACAGTTAGTGTCTAGCGAGGACTCTGAGAGGACAAGGGGACATACTAGAAGGTGATCAGGCATTCCAATGGCGAGGCGGTGCAGCTCGAGCATGCTCTCGACCTGGAAATCCTTGACGGCTTCATTGTACGCGCGGTACTCTGCTTCTAGAACCGGCCAGGTGAGAATGATATGTTCGAGGACCTTTAGCATGAAGTTTGCATTCTTGTTGAGAGCATTTGTCGAGAAGTAGACGAGCAATTGGAGAGTTCGCTTTCGGATAAGGGGATCCTGAAGAGTGCCAGAGCGTTAGCCTGCGATGAGATCAAGGTGGTATTGGGATTCAAGAGTAAGAGCATATGCACCTCAAAGTTCATCTCCAAGAGCCTAGAGCACCATCCCTCGAGGCTGGACTCAAGCTCGGCGATTTGTTGTGGCTGAGAAGCGAATCAGTCAGCATTGCCATTGAAAAAACAGGGGCGGTCCTTGCTACGTACGTTGTCGTGTTGGTGCGACTTTTTCCACTTTGCGTAACCCTTCAAGGATGCTTCAATTAGGGTAAAGTGAGCATCCACCTGCAAAACAGGCATTGAATGTTTGTGATAGTTTTGCTCTGGTCATGTCAGTCGATGTATTGCACCGAAATCGGAGCGGATTGGGTTTGGTGAGGTCTCACTGTTAAATGGCGGCTGCCCATCGTAAAGATGCAGTAAAAGCTGCTCCGTGCGTCCCAGGATATGCGATACTGCGTCCACTAGTTTGAGCTGCACGATGAGCTCGACGATTTGTGAGCTGAAGCGACGGTAGTTGCCCAGGAAGGCATGGCGCTCTGGTATGGTATCGGTATCTTCCATCAGGAACAGGAATGTCGGATCTGTATTCTCAGGGTCCAGGTTCTCGTATCGGACCAATCTGGAGCTGCAGACCTCGAGGAGAGGTCCGATCATGGATGTAACGACATCACTTGGACCGATTACCTTGTTCGAAAGGAGTCTCGCCCAAGTTACTAGGACCGGGATTGACACCATGAGACTTTGGTGTTGTACTACTTGGAGCAAGAGCTGCAGGAAAGCTTCGGGACTTGCGTCCAGGGGAACCTGGGAATGCTTCCTCTCGAAATAGTCACCCAGAATGGAAAGCATCTAGTTTGTAAAAGATGGCGAGTTAGCAGACGAGCCAGGGCACGCGCGGAGTAGCAATATCGCAGGCGTACCTCAGATAGCTTCTTCAAGATCTGGTACTTGTCTTCGTCTATGTCGTCAGCCTCGACAGCTGACCGATCAATGAGGTCCCTGAAGAGCTGAATGGATGCGCCGGTGTACATGGGGGCCACAAGCTCTCTGAACTCTTCATCCGTAAAGTTGGACCGGCAATACAGGGCGTACAGGGCATCGAGGGCGGCCTGTTTCGGAGCAGGTTGTCAGCGTGAGTCGTCGCAGAGTAGCACACAGGCAGGTTTTGGTCTCACCTTTTGTATTTCGGTCGACGTTGACGCTAGGCCGGCAGACAGAATAGGCACGCAGCGGGCAGACGACACGGCTTTGGGAATGGCCCAGGGCATAAGCGATACCAGCACGGAGAAGCCCTTGACAATGCATGTCTTGATCTCGTCATTTTTGGTGTCGGAGCTGATACACAAGCCCAGGAAGTCTGACAGTCGGCTGAGCCAGCCCTCGTGGCCACAGCGAACATCTGGGCCGGCCTGACGGTTGGGGAACGCCTCTACCAGGACCGCGGTAGGCGTGAAGATCTCGACGCATGCCTTGCTAAGGACGCCCTCTCTCATGGCAACAACCGGGTCGTCCCCGGCAAAGACCTCGTCCGACAGAGCCTCGAGCACAAACATGACGAGCTCCTTGTGAGCAGGAGAATTGGGAATCTGCCATAGCTCAACGAGCATGGCATCCATGTCCGTCCACTCGGAGCCCCAGCTTCTCTTGGCCACCTCCACCCACAGCTGGGCAGTCTTGTTTCTCAGATATCCCGGGTCGTCCTTGGCAACTGCCTGGCTCAGCTCGAGCACCCAGTTTCGCAGGGTCCGGGCCTGCTCTTCGGTATATGTCGTCCATCGGTATCGTATGGCATGCTCGAGCAGCGATAGGGCGTAGTGGCGGACAACGGGCGGCTGGGCCTTGTCGGCGGCCAGGCTGTAGCCCTGGAAGGGAGCCTCGGGGATGTCCTTGACTTCTTCGAGGAAGGACTGGGCTTCCCTACGCGCGTCGTTGGTCGAGTGAGGGCTGTGAACCACCTCGAGCGCCAGGTGAATCTTGGCCAGCACGTCTGCGTCGCCGCCGTTTCTCGCGTCGCCGCCGTTGGTGTTGGAAGACATGGTTGGAAATCCGCCAGAAGGGCGCGAGCAGGAAGGCTGCAGGGCACACAGCGCAGTCGGAGATGCTTTTGTCCCACGAGACAGCCTCGACAGAATCTTTAGAAATTGGTCGGCTTGGGCACAATCATCGAGGGTGGCTGCCGGTCACTAATGTGAGGAAAAGAGCAGGGGGGTCCAAATATTTTGTTTGGTTCTTGGGGTGACAGATCGTCGGTAGCAAACAACGGGCTAGCGGGGTCAGGCAGGAACCTGCAACAATGATAAGATGACTCGACTGCTATGTATGCTGAAAGAAGGGCAGGACAAGAAAGACGATGATGCGGCTTGAGATAGGTAACTTGAACTGGTGACTACGATGCAGAGAGTTTGAAGCCGAGGGACAGCGGATAGACGAACAAATTACAAGAGGGAAAGCGGTCAGCTGGCAGAATGTTGGAGGGAGGCTCCAGGCTTGTCCATCTTTTTCTTCACGCCATTGTTCAATTTGCTGGAACCTCAGGCCCCTCCACGTTCTAGCCTTCAACCCACCCGACTCCATGCTTTTTAGGGGACCTCGATCCACGAATGCGCAGGGCAGGCCACGTTGGGCCTAAGCATGGATGGGAGCCTACAGGTCGACGAACCGCTAAAGCCCACTAGAGGCAACATACATACAGCCTTCTGGAGCAGCAGACGGCTAATGGCCTGGGGCATCGGCAGGGCGGCTTCAATGTTCTTTTCTTCACGCAACGGCGGCGGTGCCATGGCGCTGCAAGGCTGAGATGGCGGGGCTACAGAGCTTGAGAGCATACATGACATGACATGACATGACATGACATGGACATGGTTGTATGTACAACACATGGATGGCTTCAATGACACTCGAGCAGTTACTTCACTCGGCCGACTATACTTGTACTGTGCTGGTTTATTACACACTCGACCCCAGAGCGCAGAGCACGCAGCGGTGGAGCCGGGCATCTCCCCCCTGGATCGCCTGTCGTCGTACTATTTCACTCCCAGTGGAACCGCTGCAGCTTGGTGGAGGGGCGTGTGGTGTGTGATGCATCTCTCCAAGGCCTCTGGTCCTGGCTGATCAGCAACAGCATGCCTCTGCCGAATGCACCCCGCGCCGGGCTGCTTGATTACCCGAGATCCAATGTCTAGCTTGTCTCGCTTCTCTCCGATCTTCTAGAATGATCAGAGGGGGTGAAGGGCAAGCCAACGATGGATGCCGTCCCAACAAGGCGAACTGCCCACCTAGCTGACTGTGTTGGCCAGCCAAGAGTTCAATTTTCGATTCTTCAACAAGCGGTTCTCACGATGGACTTGGCGTCATCGGCAATTGGATCTGGTATTATCGCCGCGGCTCGTACTCCCAGAGGCAGAGCAGCTTGTCGTAGAAGCTGGTTGAGACAATGCGCGTCCTCCCACCATCCGTATGCGGCGACGGCACAACATCCGAGGCATAATTCATGCTTTTGTGTTCTTCAAACCGGGCCAGAACCACGCAGGCCCAGCTCTGTCCGTCGTCGGATACGATCTCGACAAGCCTTGCTCCCGCATACATGCAAGATGCCAGGAGTCGTATCTTTGTAGAGCCTTCCGTCGTCTGGATGTCGACCAGGTTCAACCTCCATACACCGCCTCCCAGGTTCGCGTCTGCTAGCAGTTGCACGCGCTTCAAGCCATACGATTGATGGAGATCATGAATGGCAAAGACTCGCAAATGGTCGTCGTAGCTCCCCGTGACGACCAGTCTGCCGTGATCTCTGGTTGACAGCGACAGGGGCAGAATGGCAGTTACTCCTGCATCGTGCTGCCCCTTGATTGTCATGGGGGCGAATGGCATATCTAGGATGGATGATGGGTCTTGTTCATCCCCTTCCCCTACCCAGTGACAGGTCGTATATCGGAGCATGGAGTCGTCCCCCCCACAATAGACTGAGATGGGCTGGTTCGTTGCGTGCGATGCGGGACCTACAGGAGCGAAAGCTATACACCAGGCCTCGAGAGAGTTCTGAATGTCCACGTCGGCAGATTTCGCAATTTTCCACTCATCGTCCAGCAGCAGCAGTCTTGCCAACCCGGTAGAAGTGGTCACCCCGATCACTCTGCGCGCGACTGGGTGCCAGTTGCACTGGAGAAACAGAACGCCCTCGTCTAGGTCCTCGCACCGGCTCGTGGCCAACTGCTGCAAAGGCGCGCTGGCATCTCGGAGCGGGTCGAACTTGAAGACTGCAAGGGTTCCGGTGCTGGACACCACTGCCAAGACGTCTCGGTATTCTGGCACGTCCCGGTAGAAGCGGAGATCCAGCAGAGCAGATGGTTGCATGACCGTCTGCACTATCGATCTGTTTCCCTCATTGGCAGTCAGCGGTCCGGCAGCCTCACCAGCTCTCGTCAGCATCCAGAGGTGAAGCCTTACATGTCATCGCCTTGTACCTTGAGGACGACAAGGCTGCCATTTCGGTTCTGGGCTTTGGGAGCTGCTGGAGAGTCTCCCCCCTCGTCATCCTCTTGTGTCTCCGGTGCTGTCTCGGTGTCGGCCTTTTGCAAGTTGTATGTTCCCACCACTAGATACTCTGGATGCGCGGGGCAGAACTCGGCGCAGCTTGGAGGGAGGTCCAATATCAATGATTTTAGTGAAGCGAGTGGCGTCAGTTCTTCCATGATTGAAAACCACTGCAGTGCGATTGACTTTGTTGAGGAAAGTTCGTCGATTGACAACTTGGAAAAACAAGAGAATGACGACGATAGACGGTCGAAGTGAGCAGATGTCTTGTCAAACAGCTGCCCGGGAAAACAGAAGAGAAACCAGGTGGAGGAGACACGGCAAAGTTCAGACGCCAGCAAAAGTTGTGGCTTGGTGGAGCTTATCGGATAGCTTCCCGCCAGCCCGGCAGCAGTGACTGGAGTGACTTGGCGGGAGGCTTGCAGGGAACATGGACGGCTGTTGTAAATCAATGTTATTTATGACATCGCCTACATACATATATGAGACGATCTCTCTGCGGCTTTGTTGTTCGTTTTCTTTCCCTTCTTTCCCTTCTTATTCCCTTGCCGAGCTGACCAAAAAAAAATCCACGTTGTAAACAGACTTTGACTTGAGGTTGCCCACACCGTCACTCGCATCGCCACTCACCGAAGAACTGCACGGATCAGCCCGGCCTTTGAAAGAAGCAGATACCTTGCAGTAACTCGACTGAGCCTCTTCTGTCACTGAACAGCTGTACTATAGATGCCCATTCGTCTGCTATAAGCTGCGTGCGCCTCTATTGGGTCGCGCGTAGCACGAGGTGTACCTTATCGAACAGAGGCGCCCCAATTGCCGTAGTGGCGGGATCGGGTACTGCCGCGAGTGGCTCAAACGCCATGGACTCTGAGGACTCCGACTTTTATGGTACCTTGAAATCCATCCGATATTCATTCATCTGCTCTGACTGGGAGAATGAAGGAAGAATGAAAACCTCTGACTGGCTGGCCTAGGCGATGACGAAACTGTCTCACACCTCTTACAGCGCGTCGACGACTTTGACGTGGACGAATGGGTGCAGCAGCAGCGCGTGCATCCGGGCCGTCCGCAGCGCCAGACAGACTTCCACGACGAGGCCTCTCGACTGCACAATCCGTATGCCGGGATCCCCTACGCATGGCAGCTGACGGAGACGCTGGACGGCTTCCTCTCGCGGCTGCCGCCGGCAACGACTGACCAGACGCCAGAGGTGCCGTGGATCTTCGTCTGCAACCCTTATATCCCGCGCGTCCACAAGCGGGAGAGCCAGGGCCAGTTGTCCAAGGGCAACGAAGACGAGGCGCCGGAGGAGGAGGGCAGCGAGACGGCGTTGGTCGCTGAAGGCGGCCTCGAGAGGCTTCACCTGCTCAGCAAGTTTATTGAAGGGATGCAGAGGTCTGGACAGGCCTCGTCCGTTGTCGAGAGAGAAATCACAAGAGCGCGGAAGCAGGCCACGAGCGACATTCTCAAGCTGGCCCATATGGCCAAGGTCCGAACTGGCAAAGTATGGTCCCTCCCTCGATGCCCTGATATGCGGACATGAGGACGATGTTGCCTTTCAAGGTGGTTGCTGACTGCGCACTTGCTGTGGTAGTGGATGCTGTTCTGCCCGGCCACGGAAGTGAACGAGGTGTGGGAGATTGTCGCAAAAGCAACCGCACACAACGAGCTCGGCATCGCCGCCAAGGTCGCGCCGCGGTCGCCACTGGAGGATCCTCGCAAGGATCGCCTTCTCTGCGTCTACACGGCCGATTTTACGGACCGGGCCGACGTTGGGCGTGTGCTGCAGAAGCTGCGCGAGCTCAAGCTGGTCGAGGCCAGAGGCCGGCCGATTTACTACAAGCCAGGCAAGTTTCCTCTGTTACCCCCGCGACATGTTCTGTGTCTCCTGACTGACACACCATTCAAAGATGCATTCACATACATTGGCATCTCGCATGGCAATGCGTGGGGGCTGAGAGCGTCTATATACAGCTCGACCGACAAATTTCCCAGTCGAGCTTGAGGCGGGGGATGAAATTGATGAGATTGTCTGTGAGATTTAAAAAAGGTCAAAAAGCTGCGATACCATGATACCTATGTCGATATAGCTAAAGGGGGGCCTTTCCCCATACTGCTAAGCGGACTTGAAAAAAAAAAGCAATGCATGCTGGGACAGATATAAAACAGAGACGCAAATAATATGCTAAACGCCAGTCTTGCATGACCCAACCCTCATATCAAGTTGCAACACTATCACCGCGCCATCCCATGGGCCGCATCCCTGCCGCCGCAATCCGATATATCCCCGAGAAGTAGGTAGCCCTCTCTACTTATGCCCGATGAAGTTGTTGCAGTGGACAATTCAAAGAACAATTCCCACTTGACTGTCCAAGTGAAACGGAAATCATTGCTCATCGTAGTGGAGGTCTTGATCCGGGTCGGCGGCCTTGAGCAGGAGGATCAGCCGGTACGCGCTGTTCCCGTTGAGATAATATCGATGCAGCTTTTTGGATCGGATGAAGCCGAGCCCCTCGTACAGCTTCATGGCGGGCGTATTCGTCTCCTCCGTCTCCAGCACCACCTCGTCGGCGTTCCGGCTTGCCATGGCCTCGATGGCCTTCTTCACCAGCGCGGTGGCCACCCCCCGGCCGCGGAACGGCGATGCCACGGCCAGCATGGCGATGTAGCCTCGCCGGGTTGGAGGCGAGTGAGAGGAATGAACCTCAAGCTTGCAGATGATGACGCCGATGAGAGAGGAGTCTTTGGGATCCAGGGCCTGAGGTATCATGAGAGTCATTAAGGGGGGGGCTCATCATCAGGCTTCCCGTCGGACAGGAAGGGGGGGCGCTTACCATGAAGCAGAGGTGAGACCATTGGCAGAGAAAGTACCGATAGACGTAGATGCTGTATGGCTCGCTCAGGTCTTTTGAGATGAGCGCCCGGATGGCTGGCAGATACTGGCTCTCGAGCCGGTGCTCATACTGGACGTATTCCAGGGCGACGGGCAGCTGCTTGGTCGACGACACCGCCATGATGTTCTCTGGCTTCTGTGGGTTCTGCGGTGGGAAAAAGAGCTGGGTATCCGAAAACTGAACTATTCTAGCAAGGACAGACACTAGAAGCCTATCTGTCCGTCTATCTCACGTCGTTATGGCCTCTCTTCCGCTCTTTATTTCTTCTTCGTCTCTCAGCCAAACTCCCCCCTGGAATGGAGTGACTCAACCGTCGGCCAGTGAGTCGACAGAGCAAGCAAAGAGCCAAAGCGGCAGCCAACCAGGCAACCCGGTCAGCATCGGCGGAAAAAGCAGCGAATCCTTGACGAGAGCGGAAGGCCTGCGGAAAGGGAAAATGAGGCACGAACAAACAGGTGCCTGACAAGCGCACCTCTTTTTTGGACCGTTTTTGGTGCAGCCTTAAAAAAAGTCCCGTCTGACTAACAGAGCAGGCTCAATATGTGCTTGTTGTCGAAGTGGAGGCTCTTCCCACCCCCCCAAAGGTCCGTCGCGCGTGACGGCGCAATCACATGTTAAAATCGATGGGGGAGCTTCCACGGTTCCATAGACGACCCCGAAACTGAAATTGCTGGAGCTTCATGTGAAGCAGCTGACGGGCCCTTCTATCAGCGCGATAATGGACTGGACGCGGGAGGACAAATGCAGTCTCATGGCTTGTGAACCGGGCTCCAGCAACTTGCCGCGGCCAATGGACGGGCTGCTGAGCCGCTCCGAAGTGATTCACCTTGAGTCTAGATTGTTTCGTTTCTCTCCCCTTTCGTCTACTGCATTAATTATCATGAAAGGTTTCCCTCCCTTCTTCTACATCCTGTCCCAAGAAATGAGGAACGAAACCCTGATTTGAACCCTTTTGGCGCTGTCAGTTCACTTTAGCGGTCTTTTTACAGCGCCGGCAGCCACTAAAAAGGCCGCAACGCTTCTCGTGCTGGGCGAACCACTGACGTCAGCCGCTATTTACATTAACTCCCGTCAACTCGGGCCAACCTAAACGTGTCTCGGGACGAGCCTCAACTTCTGGACAGCATCTCTGCCCTCGGACCAACAGGCGCAGATTTGCCCCTCTCTCTTCTCGTCCCGCGACTTCGATAGTCACGGACGTTGCGACCATGGCGCCAAGTCTGCGGCGGCGCAATCCGCCAGAGTCCAGCTCGGCCGAAACCATCGAGGGCTCTGACAAGCACAAGCACAAGCAACATCAAGACCGTCCGCCGACTCCGCCGCCGTCTCGCGTCCATGTGGTTGAACGGCTGCCCAAAGCGCGCAAGCGGCGCAACACCTTCATCTTCCTGCTGGGCGGGCTCTGCGGCCTTCTTGCGGCGGGCTTCTTCGCAAAGACGAATGACTTGATCGACTTGCCCGAGCTGGCGGACCTCAACATGGACAGCTTGCTCGATGCCATTCCAGCTGGCCTGGTCAGGGACATGCGCGATCTCGTCCAAGGGGAGCGCGATGCCACCTCGTATGATTCCTTTTCAGTCGGTCTCAAGGCAAGAGCCGAGGGCCTGAGCGCGCACCATCCCATGATCATGATACCCGGCGTCATCTCTACCGGTCTGGAGTCCTGGGGCACAGCTAACATCTCGAGGGCCTATTTCCGAAAGAGACTGTGGGGGAGCTGGACAATGATGAGAGCTTTGGTCCTTGACAAGGAGGTTTGGAAGAAGCACATCATGCTGGACAAGCGAACGGGACTTGACCCGCCCCATGTGAAGCTTCGTGCCGCCCAGGGCTTTGACGCAACCGATTTCTTCATCACGGGCTATTGGATATGGAGCAAGATCTTCGAGAACCTGGCTACTATTGGATACGATCCAACAAACTCGTTCACGGCCGCATACGACTGGAGACTGTCATATCAAAATCTCGAAGTAAGGGATCAGTACTTTTCGAGGCTCAAGTCGTACATTGAAACTGCCGTCGCTTTCGACGGCAGAAAGGTCGTCCTTGCCTCGCACAGCATGGGCAGTCAGGTCATCTTCTATTTCTACCACTGGGTTGAGTCTGACCTGGGCGGCCGCGGCGGAGGAGACTGGGTGGACCGTCACATCGACTCTTGGATCAACATCAGTGGCTGCATGCTGGGAGCAGTCAAGGATCTGACGGCCGTGTTATCGGGCGAGATGCGCGATACGGCCCAACTGAATGCCTTGGCCATCTATGGCCTGGAGAAATTCTTGAGCAAGGAGGAGCGGGCAGAGCTCTTTAGAGCCATGCCGGGCATTTCGTCGATGCTTCCTATCGGAGGAAACGCCGTGTGGGGAGACTTGAACGGAGCACCCGACGACCTGCCTGGCCAAAAGTACACGTACGGATCCCTTTTGAACTTTCGAATCGGTGCCAACTGGACGACTCCCGACCGAAACTTCACAGTTGACGATGCCATGGAGTATCTTTTCAACACGACTGAGGATTGGTATAAAGACCAGATCAAGCGCAGCTATTCCCACGGCGTTGCCCACACCACGGCAGAGGTCGAGGCGAACGAGAAGATTCCTAGGAAGTGGATCAACCCTCTCGAAACCAGACTCCCACGGGCGCCGAACTTGAAGATCTACTGCTTCTATGGCGTCGGCAAGCCCACAGAGCGATCATACTATTATCGAGCGCCGGACCAGCCGCTCTTGACCAACCTCAACATTACCATTGACACCGGGCTCACCGAGGGTCCGATTGACCATGGTGTCATCCTCGGAGAAGGCGACGGAACGGTGAATTTGTTGAGCTCCGGATACATGTGCAACCGCGGCTGGCACATGAAGCGATACAATCCGGCTGGGGCCAAGATCACAGTGGTAGAGATGCCTCACGAGCCGGATCGCTTTAGCCCACGAGGCGGCCCCAACACCGCTGACCACGTCGATATCTTGGGAAGGCAGACTCTGAACGAACTGATTCTGAGAGTTGCTGCCGGCAAGGGCGAGACCATCACGGACTATGTCGTCAGCAATATCAAGGAATACGCCGACAAGGTGAAGATTTACGAGGAAGAGAACGGAGCCAAGAGCATATGGAACAAGATGATATAGGACGGCATCTTTGATCTGGTGACTTGGACCATCTGTGCGATAGGCCTGGTTGGGCTGGGATGGGCAATCTGGCGTTTGGCGTGGGGAGCTGTACATATGCAAAAGAAGAGGCGGGCGGAGCGCTGGTATCACGACCGAATAATACCCCCAGACGTTGCGAATGGACATAGAATAGTAGACAAGATACGGTACGGCTGAATCTTTACTCATTTTGACAAGCTGAAGCTTATTATACGAAGGGGGGGCTCGTCCTTTTTACCTGCACGGAGCAAGGCTTGGAGATTGGAGCCACTGCGGAAATGATGAATAGGAGATGGCCAGCGCTGATACGGCGGACAGGGATATTGCTGGTCGGTCCTTGCCGGGCAATGACAATGATAATAACAGTCATCAAATTGACTACCTATGCAGTGACGGGGAGAAGAAGCAGATGACTTTATGTTAATTCGTGTAAGTGAAGGAAGCGATACTTAGCCAACAAAGTACCGGCTAAGGTATCCGATCAAGAACCTGCTAACCTGCCAGCGCCCAATGCAGCATCTTCAACTCAGCATCAAATCAGCCTGCACGGTAATCATCAAGCATCAAGGCTGCGTATCATCACCCGCCGCACGCGTGTTCATATACGAAATCGAATAAGCATGGCGTCCCGTCTCCTTTTGTGGCTTGATATGAATTTTTCCCTCTTTGATTGCTAGCGCCTGTTGAGTGACATCAGGCTACTTTATCACTCCCGTATTCGAACATGAATGCCGAAGCATCGCCTTCTTTTCCTCTTCCTTTCTACCCCACACGTCCAGCCGGGGCGCCTGCAAAACCGCACGCATCACCAGCAACGCAAACCCGGGCCTGTTCAGCAGCAATCAAGGAGGGTTTCGGCAACGGGGCTGGGTCTTGAGGGACCGTGAGGGACGAAAGAAACAAACAAGACCGGGAGTGTGAGAGACTGGGGCGGAAGACCTTGGCGCACTTTTTCCTCTGCTTGGTTGGACGTGCCCTTTTACGAAGTCTGCGAGCAAACGACCCTTGTCGCGATTTATCTTGGCTTCTACTTGTGCTTCTGCTTTCTGTTCATCTTCCTCTTTCCTTCGCCGGTTCGCCAGCCTTTTTTCCCGCCCAACCTGCGCAAAGGCCAGATGCAGTCGCTGCCTCTCGCTGCGGGACCTGGCAGCCATGGCGGATTACGACGAGATGGCGCCATCTCCGCCCACTCCTCTCTCTCCCGAGGAGGAGGACGAGCTGTGGTCTGGTGAGTCGACGGATCTGAACAATATGGGTATTGGAGAGACGGAAAGCTGACCGCTGTCCCCCCTTTGCCGTCTAGAACTCGACAGGTGCGTGTCGGAACACTGCGAGAGCTACGAAGCCATCGACGATGCCCTTCGGTCCTGGCTGGATCTCACGACCAAGCTGCGCGACCAGCAACCCACATCGCAGGAGGAGGTCGTCATGTGCGCGCAGATTTTGCTCGACAGCGTCATCTTCCAGAAGCACAAGGACTACGTCCGCAAGCAGCTCATCTACAGCCTACTGCAGGAGGACGAGGCCGGCCCGCTGCACGCCATAGTATGCATGCTGCTGCTCGACGGCCACCGCGACGAGGCGACGTTTCCGCGCATGATCCAGGAGGCGTGCTTTCCTCGGCTCCTGGAGCTCATCAGCAGCCGGGACGCAAACGATGACCCGCGCCTCCATCGGTTTCTGCTGCAGCTCATGTACGAGATGTCGCGCGTAGAGCGCCTTTCGCCGGAGGATCTGGCGCTGGTGGACGACGACTTTATACACTTGCTCTTTGGCCTCATCGAGGGCGTTTCCAGCGACGTCAACGATCCGTATCATTACCCGACCATTAGAGTACTGGTTAGTATTTGCTGTTTCTACATACGCGGCGCATGTCTGGAAAGGGTTGAGAATACTGACGGATAGCATCAGCTTGTCTTGAACGAGCAATACATGCTTGCGTCCACAGACACGGTCACGAATCCCGGATCGGTACCGGAACCATTGACAAACCGCATCGTCAAGTGCCTGAGCCTCCACGGGCCAAGGTACCGAACGTTTGGAGAGAATATCATCCTGCTCCTCAACCGGGAGACGGAGACGTCTCTCCAACTGCTGATTCTCAAGCTTTTATATCTTCTTTTTACCACGAAAGCGACGTACGAATATTTCTACACAAACGACTTGCGAGTGCTCCTAGACGTCATTATCCGAAACCTGATGGATCTTCCTGATGAGAGAATGTCTCTCCGACACACATACTTGCGAATCCTATATCCTCTGTTGGCGCATACGCAGATGAACCAGCCGCCACATTACAAGAAGGATGAAATTCTCCGCGTCATCAGGATCCTGAGGGGCTCGCACAACGCTCACTTTGCGCCTGCCGATCCGACAACCCTGCGACTGGTGAACCGAGTAGCCAAGGTCAACTGGCTCGAGGCAGACGATGAAGAATACGAGGCATCCGGACAGGCGGAGGTTGCCCGAAAGCTCCTGGGCATGAGCGTCTCGCCGAGGGACTCGTCCAGCAGTGTTAGCGTCAGTGATGTGGCCGAGGTCACGGAAAAGCCAGGCGTGCATACACCCAGTCGGACTCAGGACGCGAAGGCAGACCCCGGGCACTTGGAACACGACGGGGAGTCGGAGGACAGCGTCGGCAAAGCCAAGAAGCCCCTCCCGGCAGTCCCCAAACACCGACACGGCATCCCCTTCAAGCATGCTGCCACTACGGTACACATTGCCAATATTGCCACCAAAAAGATACCACCAAAAGCGCCACCGCCCAGACGACAAGGCAAGGCGAGAATGGCAGAAACGGCATCTGACGAACACCTCGCGGGGGCCATGAACTAGGAGGGCCTGCGACTCTTTTAGCCCAAATATTGCACATGTACGTTATGAATTTGGTGGCGGGTGCATTTTCCTTTCTGTCTTTTCCTTATTTCCATTGGTGCGCATTGTGTGTTCTTTTGCCTCGTCCCCCTTAATTCGAGAGGGCCGTTGCAAGACCAGTCATGCCTCAAAGGCTTTGACCGATGCATGGATTCACATCTTTGGAGACACACGACGGAAGGCCTTTCTGGAGTTTTTGGAGTACATGCGCGGAGTACTAGCACGGGATTACTACTCTCGAACTTGATCAGCGACAGGCCGGCCAGTGTTTGACACGAGAAACATGAGTAAAGGGAGATAGCTCGCATCATAGACAAGGTGTTTATTGGGGCGAGACAAGCAGCTTCTTTGCTAAACTCTTCTTCACTTCTCTTTTGTACATACAGACGTACATACAATGTCTTACTATTGGGCATGATGCTTGGCACAAAGGGGCGAACGGGCAAAGGGGAATTTCTTACCTGGGCGATGGGTTTTTTGTCCCCTTCATCTTGTTGTTTCTTTGGTCTATAACCTTCTACAAGACTGCGTAATTTTGGGAGTTTCTTTTAATACGATGGGTAATTGAATCTTTTGACATGGACGAAGAAGTGTGGTAGTCGAGTATTAGATATCAGACGTGACTTGACCGGGACGCTGGGGACTGAGGTAGGCGGGCCGATGAGCGGGCAGGTATCAGGGCAGTCTGTTAGTTGTTCTCAATGGTATCTCATCTTTCGTAATACTCTTTATTAGTCATTCTAATTTTATGGTAGATCTCAGCCAGGTCACTTTGATGGGAATTGGCTGATCACCCAGCAGAAGATGAGACAGACCTCAGCTGTTCTTAACCCAGTTTGTGTGTTTAAGCAGATACTGGAGGCTCCGGATATCAATCTCAAAGCGTGTTATAGCGGAGGAGACATTGCCAGATCCCACGATTCCAGCTTCCAATTCCGAAGCAACAACGATTCCGCACACTGGAGACGCTATCTACGATTTATCCATTAGTACATAGCTCCGACGTTCACATGGAATCTTGTCGGGGTGGAGCGTGGGGAGAAAATGGGGTTGCGCTCGTTGTGGCTTGCGACCGTGTGGATCGTGGCTTGTGCTGGCGCCTGTATTTTAGGGGGATCGGAGCAGCACTACGTCATTGCTCTGGGGCTGGTTCATTCGATGCAATTGACGGGGGGAGACTCGGGGAGGCAGCCTGGACGGATCCAGTAAGTTGGCAGCTGAAAGGTGGATGTTTTGGGGTTATGAGAGTGTGTGTTATTCAGCTTGCTTGTGATGCGACATTAGGTAGACGCGTGTTTTTGGTTGCATGCAATTTGCTTGTGCTTTGTAGGGGGACTTGCTGCATTAAGCGATGACGATGACGACGGTGACAGCTGCGCCAAGACGATATTTTCGGCCTTCCCCCCCATGCTAGGAGAGAAGATCATGTTTTGCTGAGAAGGTGGGAGAAAATGCCCAACGTAATATTCGAGTGAGAACTCTCTGCCCCTTGGGCCAGGGACGCTCCCGCAGTGCCGAGTATTACGCTGTTGCCCGCTGCTGACGATGTCAAGATACACGTACAAGCGGAAACACACGATCGTGATGCTTTCTGTTGGTTCGTGAGGATCGCCTGGGGCTGGAATTTGCAGATCTACAAGCACAAAGCAGACAGGGAACGACCTTGATGGAGCTTCGACGCTTGTCAACTTCAATTTGTGCATTCGATCTCGTCTGTCTGGATTGGGACATTCATTCAGCTTACTCCAGTTACGATACCTGCTAGGGACCGGCATCGGTACGCAAATGATGCAACGACGCCAGGTATCCACGAGGTCCCTGCGCTAGCGGCCCCCTCTTTGGAGGTGCTGTTGCGCAAGTCATATGAGGTTTAATGCGGGTTTACCTCGAACTGGGGCAGACCCCGTAGCTGGTACTCCACTAGTCATACAGACAGAAGTGGCTGAGCGAGTACCGGCTACTTGCTGCTTCGGCGCTCTTCTCTCCTCGCCTGCATGACGAGAGGTCATCGATGGCTGTACCTTGCAATGTCCGTCTCCCCGTGCGACAGAGTCGCAAATCATGCGCTGCTGATGCGAGGCGGTGGTTCGTGGCTCGGCAGCGCCAATTCGCAATTTCGAATCGCATCTCTCTGCCTCGATTACGATCCTGCAGTTATTAAAAGGTTCGGTACGTTGTTGCTTTTCATCGTCGTCAGTTTCTCTTTTGGCATCTTCTGCTTTCGTGGCGCTAACCCATAGCCCTGCTTGGCATTCATTCTCCCCTCCTCCGGTCTTCCCACCCTCAAAAGGTCTCACCTGTTGCTCTATTGCGTCAGTCCTCATCAACAACCCTGTTTGACGTGTGAACTTGTCTCGCATTCTCATTCTTTCCCCCCTCACCCGCCAAAACGCCTCTTTTTTCTTTCTTGTGCTTCCGCGATCGTCCCCCAGCTGTCGTCACTCGCTACAAGTCGTGCGAGGCGAAAAACCTTGGCTTGGGCGCCCTCCTCTGGCTTTGCCCAGATTGCCCATACTACTAGGTGCAAACTATAATAGTTTGGCTGTTGTGGCTGGAGCTTCTTTTCGCTCTGCTCTTGTTCTTGCTCTGCTCTGCTCTTCCTTTCTCCTCCTCTCCCCTCCTCCCCAGCTCAGCTCAGCTCAGCTCTAGCTTGCTCTGCTCTGCCTCTGCCTCTGCCCGAGGCGAACCCTCGCATAACTCTCACCCTCACTCTCGACGTTTTTTCTCTTGCGCAATGGACGTCCAGCTTCAGTCCCAGGGACTGGCCCGTCATTCGCCCGATCCCAACGCTCACCCGAAGCTCAATTCTTACCAGCAGCAGCCGCCGCAGCGGCAGCCTTCCACCTCGCCTCACCAGACACCCCAGAAGTCGCGGCGACCGCTCTCCTACCAGCCACAGCCTACGTACCTCGAACCCGGCCGACGCTCGCATACCGCATCGCCTCAGGGACGCCCGGCTCCTGTCCCCGTCGCCTCCGGCCGCTTCAACGAGGAGTGGGACGCCAGCCAGCGCGGGAGCTCCATCCTGCTCGACCATCGCCGTCAAGGCTCCCCAGTCATGTCGTCGGGCCCTGCCGTAACCGGACCCGCGGCCATGCAGCGCTCCAACTCGGTCAACAGCTATGCCCCCGGCGACGACCGCGCCCTGCCTCAGAGGGGCAACACGCTGAAGAAGAAGGCGTCGCTGCGGCGCAGTGGCCCGGGCAGCTTGGTGCGCTCCAGCAGCCGTCGCAGCGCCCGCGCGGGAAGCGTCAAGAGCCTTGCCCTGCAGAGTGCGACGGATCCCGACGAGCTGCACAGCGCATTCTACTGCCCGGTGCCCACCAGCGGTTCTCCGACCGATGTGCTTGCCGCTCGATTTCAGAGTACGTTTGCCTCTAGACCTCTCTTGCGCCCCCCGATATTTCGCATTGCCTTGGCGCCTTGTTTTGGCGCATTGCGATTGCTCAGAGACACTGAAGCTGACGTGTGACTACAGCATGGAGAAAGATCTTGAAAGACCTCATTACGTACTATCGCGAGATACACTCCCACTATGACCAAAAGGCCAAGTCGTTCACCAAGCTCTTGAGCGTGTCCAACAACCTTCAGAACCCGACCGCGTTCCTGCAAACGCCCGGCATCGACGATGGGCTTCAGATTATCCGCAATTATAATAAGCTGGCCCTCCAAGAGGCTACAAAGGCCAAAGAAATTGAGGATGATGTCATCCTGGCACTGACCGGGCTGAGGAGCGATCTGCAGCAGAAGATCAAGGAGATCAAGCACCTTGCCGGTGACTTCAAGAACTCTGTCGATAAAGAAATGGAAGCCACCGGCAAAGCTGTCAAGGCCCTCTCCGAGGCGCTGGGCAAGAATGAGATGGACACCTCCACGACCACGGGCAAGCAGGATCCGTACCTCCTCAGGCTGGCCGTCGACCGCCAGATTGAGCGTCAGATTGACGAAGAAAACTACCTGCATCAAGCCTATCTCAACCTCGAGGGCTCTGGCCAAGAGCTGGAATCCATCATTGTGGGTGAGATTCAAAAGGCGTACAATGCCTACGCTGGCATTCTCAAGCGCGAGGCCGACAATGCTCTCGGCGTTGTCGGAGAGCTTCGCGACGGACCAATTGCCATGCCCAAGGATCAGGAATGGGAGCACTTTGTGTCCACAGACAGCCGGATGGTCAACCCAAAAATGCCCCTGCGCTCTGTTGATCAGATTCATTATCCTGGGCAGGACCACGTCGCGGCGCAGGAGATCCGCGCCGGTCTGCTGGAGCGCAAGAGCAAGTACTTGAAGAGCTATACGGCAGGATGGTAAGTCATTGATTCCTCTCTAGCAATTTTGGACGAACAGTTTCTGACTTGATGGCGCTAGGTATGTACTTTCAACAACGCATCTCCACGAATTCAAGTCGGCAGACAAGGCGCAGGCTCCCATCATGTCCCTCTACCTTCCGGAACAGAAACTAGGATCCCGGTCGAGCGAAGGAGGCCCATCGAACAAGTTCATCCTCAAGGGGCGACAGACCGGCGCCATGCACCGAGGGCACACCTGGGTGTTCCGAGCCGAGAGCCACGAGACGATGATGGCTTGGTACGAAGACATCAAGGCCCTGACGGAGACGTCGCCGGAAGACCGAGTCGCCTTTGTACGATCCCACTCGCGGAGGAGCACGAGCCGATCATCGCACCGGTCCATCAGCAGCGACGGCCTGGACGAAGAAGAAGACGAGGAGCCTTTTACGGCAACCGAGCAGGACGTCATCCCCGGACCTCGGTTGGACTCAGCCTCGCGCCGGCCTCAACCAGGTGGGCGGTTCCCATCCGACATGCAAGTCAATGCGCAACGAGGCTTACAGGTGCCTCAATCACCGTCCAGCGTAGCATCCAGCCAGGAACCGTCGCCAAGTGCCCAGGTGGTTGCCGCCGCGACCGCGATCCCGGGAACGGCCACGGCCGCCTACTCCACAGAGAGGTACAACCGAAACGAAGAGGGCCATCTGGAATACGGACAGACCGGTGTGACTCCGATCAACGACGTGCACGCCCAGGCAGTCTTTGCCGAGCATGAGGCGCAGGTCGACGGTGTCAACCCCTACACGAGCGAGCCACTGGAACAAGGTTATGGTGATCAACAGCATGACCACGCGCCGTTTACCATCCCGGGCACTCGTCAGCCGGTGGTGGCCAACGGCATTGGCGGCGAGAAACATGCCAATTCAGCTCAGAATGCTGCTGGCATCAACGGTGTAGCTGGCAGCGAAGGGAGCGATCTCAGTGGCGGGCACTACACCAACACTGGGGGTGCAGGTGGGCATGTCAACATGGCGGCTGTCCATGCCGGTGCCATCCCTCGGTCCCAAGTGCAGGCAGACGCCTCAGGACTGCAGGTTCTTCCCGGGCAAGGGGATACCGCGCAGCCGGTTGGCGGTAACAACCCTGCCCGAGGGGTCAATGAGGAGAGGAACGCCAGCTCAGTGACGGTGTCTGACCTGCCGATGCCGGGCAGCTTTCCTTAGGGCACTGTGTTTGACAAGATTGGACGTGAATTTGTTTGTATCTTGCGTGATTTCTCCTTTGTTCTCAAAATGGGTATACTTGGCCGTCTGGATACCACTGTTTGCCTGCCTATCTGTGTTTTTACTTGTGTGTGATTTGGGAGGAGGCATGGCGGGATTCAGCCAACCGAGGGGTTGGTTTACATGGTTGTCTTGATGGATTTGTATTTTCTGAACCGCATCACTCGTTAGGTATATCTGCGCTCACCACGGTGTGAAGCTAGCTTTCATTTGCTCTGCACTTAGTCCTTGGAATAAAAAAAAAACTCGACAAATCTCAAATAAACTCAGATGCGCTTCTCATGATCTTTGAATTCCATGCCGACGCCCGTCTCGACGTCTTTGCACACTCAAAGGACTTGCAGCCCATCTCGAAGCCTTACATAAGACATCTTGTAGCATGTGCTGTGCCCCACAAATGCCAAAGTCCGCTCAATCGTTATTCCGCACCAGCCAATCAAATGCCCTCAATTCAACCCAGCTCCAGCAGTTCTCTTTTTCCGAAAATTTCAACACCATCGAAAAAAAAAAAAAAGTTCTTTGAAACCGACGACGAGGGAACGACAAACCGACCAAAAACGACCGAACAAGGCCCCAACCACTCGACAATTGGCCTTGCAAATCTCGTCCACTCGGTCGCTTTGAACCAGGAGTTCTTCGAATACAGTTGAAGAAAAAAAGAAAAGAAAGAAAGAAACGACATCATGTCCTTCCGAGGCGGGTCTCGCGGTGGTGGTCGCGGAGGGTCTGGCGGCTTCCGTGGCGGACGAGGAGGAGGATTCCAGCAGAGGGACATGGGTCCTCCGGCGCAGGTTCTGGGTATGTTTTCTTCTGCTGTTGCATTTTCACTTTTTTTTCCTTTGCCTCCTTTTCTCTCTCTCTCGTTTTTGGTCGCAAGAAGTGGGTGGGATTGAGATGAGTATCTTCTACTGCTTTGATGTTGAGTCCTGAAAAACTTCTGTCTCTCTGCTCTGGAGATTGGTGTTTACGCCTGCTCTTTCTTCCATGAACCACAGCCGTTCTCCGTCACTCTCCTTGCGCAATCTCATGTTTCTTTCCATCCACGGAAACCCAGCATCAACCAAACCAAACCCCTTCAAGACGGAAAAAGCGCACAGCTAACATTGTCCCTCCTCCTCCTCCCTCCAACAACCAGAAATGGGCAAGTTCATCCACGCCTGCGAGGGCGAAATGGTCTGCGAATCAATCAACCCAAAGGTCCCGCACTTCAACGCCCAAATCTTCCTCGAGAACAAGACGGCCGTCGGCAAGGTCGACGAGGTCCTCGGCCCCATCAACCAGGTCTTCTTCACCGTCAAGCCCTCCGAGGGCATCCAGGCCGCCTCCTTCAAGGAGGGCGACAAGTTCTACATCGCCCCCGAGAAGCTCCTGCCCCTCGACAAGTTCCTGCCCAAGCCCAAGCCCCCGCCCGGCGCGCCCAAGCCGAAGCGCGCCGGCGGCGGTTCGCGCGGCGGACCTATGCGCGGTGGTCGTGGTGGATTCTCCCGCGGCGGTAGGGGAGGTCCCGGTGGTGGTCGTGGTGGTGGTTTCTCGCGAGGCGGCGGTGCGGGAGGTCGTGGTGGCCGTGGTGGAAGCGGTGGCTTCTCCCGGGGCGGCGGTGGTGGCGGTAGGGGACGCGGCGGCTTCAGCAGAGGAGGCCGCTTCTAAGTCATTGGAGGGTGGGAAAAGAAATAACGGCGGCAGACGTGCCAAATGATTTTCTGCTCGTCTCCTTGTCTGGCTTTTGCTCCTTATCCCCTCTCGCCCCGGGGTAGAGGGAATGGGGGGTATTGGAAGAACTGATTCAAAGTTCCGTCTTGCTCCCCATTCTCCTCTTCCCCCCTGGATGGAGAGATTGAGACCTCAATCAAAAAGACACGACAGCAAGGTCAGAGAGAGAGGCAGTGTGGGAAATGCGCGCAAGTCACCAAAAGCTACGGCGACTTGCCCGCTCGCTTGGACAGAATGGCAGGGGAGAGGAGGAGATTTTATATGTATACAGGGCTTTCTTACGGCGTTTTACGGCTCGGTTATTCCTCATCGTTACTTAAAACTTTGGGTTTTCTCGTCATCTTCAAGCTCTCCTCCCTCTTACGTTCTTCTGGCACGCTGAAGAGGCAAAAAAGTAGTAGACGTGACCAATGATTGAGCATCACCCGGGCTTACAAGCACGACTCGCCTCAAAGTTGAGGGACATCAACAAGTCTGGGGGTATCGTAATCTCTGTTGCGACGAGCCATGCCAACCATATCCTCTCATGCTCAACTGTCAAATTCTCCCTTGATGAGGAGAGTAGCTATCCATTATATATAAGAACCCCGTCCCTCAACCATGACGTTTATCAATGTTTGGAGGTGCTTGCCGACCAGCTACATAAACCTAACCATAATAGAACAATTTCGTATGCGCCAACTTTCATTGATCATGAACCAGACAGACCCTTGACCCTCTAGCCAGTTTGTCACAGCCGACTATCCAGTGACACCGAGTGGTAGAAAATGAATGAATGAAGAGTTGCGACTGGCTCAGTCGCAGATTTAGGGCTTCGGAATGCGTATCGTCTTGCTGGTCATCATGCAGCCGTGGATCATGAACAAAAGCACGGCGGGGTGGAACTCGAGCGCGGTGCCCTCAAACAAGGTGCCAAAGGGAATGTTGTCCAGGATCCAGCCCTGCTGCAGCCAGTAGGCCATGATGGCATCCAAGCCCAGCGACGTCGGGATGGGCGTGCCCTCAAAGTACTTGCTCTTGCCAGTGGCATCCTTGGGCAAGACTGCGACGGTGACGTTGAAACGGGCAAGTCGGGTCAAGCCGCAGAGGACAAAGAAGGTTAGGCCAACGGTATCGGCGCGGGTTCGAAGACCAAGTGAGAAAGCCACCATGGCGGGAGCGACACCAAACGAGATCTGTAAGACACGAAGCGGTCAGTATGCATGTCTTGCCTCGGTTTTTGGCCGCAGTGTAGCAAAGAAAAAGCGTACCAAATCGGCGAGAGAATCCAGCTCCTGGCCCATGAGGCTGCTCTTCTTCCTCCATCGAGCGACCTTGCCGTCAAAGAAGTCAAAGAACAGGCCAAACGGCAAAAAGGCCAGCGCCCACCACAGATGCGAGTCCCGGTTGGCTGCGTCAAGGCAGGACTGTAGCGACGAGAAAATGGACATGACACCGCAGAAGCCTAATCCAGCATCGCACGCTTCGTTAGCACAGCTTCACAGCTTCCCATCATCCGACCCTCCTCCTGCAAGCACGCATCATCAACCAAACAAGGGTGAGAGGGGAGGGAAACCCACCGTTCATGAGAGTAATGAGATCTGCGAGGTGCATGGCCCGCACCAGCGAGAAGTGGCCCACGTCTGCAGAAAGAAGCATCTTTTGCTTGTCAATGGCTACCAGGAGAAGAGAAGGAGAGTCAGCCAAGAGTCGAAAAGCCCATACTAATCGTCCTTTCTCCCCATGCAAAAGCGATATATGTATCGACTCGTCCACCACACGTCCGCAACACGCAGCTAGGAAGCCGTACCTGGTAGGTTCTGCGATGGCGTGTCCTTCGAGGCCTGGCCATTCGTACCCGCCGAAGCGGCACCGGACCGCTGTGACATGGCGAAGCTGGATTGTATATCTTCGCAAGCGAGAAAACTGGTAGCTCTCGCACTGGATCAGGAGGGCTTGTCGTCTGGTTCCGTTTCGCTTCGTTTCCTTCGTGCAGGACCGAACAAAGAAAGGGCGCGCAGTTTTCGATCAATCTCTGAGGCAGCGGAGAAGAGTAAAGTCACTCGAAGCAATGTTGAAGATAGAAACAGCTGTTCTGTGTGTGAGCAGCGAGTTGTCAGGGTAGTGAGTTGAGGAAGAAGAGGAAAGGGAAGAAGAAGAAGAAGCAGCAGCAGAAGAGCCACGAAGAAAAAATAAGGCAAGGACGCGAGGGGCCGCTACTGCTGTGAGTTGCTGCTAACAAGCATGTACTCAATTACGGCACTTGCACTTTTTGTTCTAGTACTAGCAGCTGTCCTTGTTCCTTGTCCCGCGGTCCCTCTTTCCTCTCTTTGTTCCAGGGTGGCGGGGCTGTTCTGTTGCCCATCTGGCTCGATCGGAGGTATCCAGTACTTGTTCACCACACCAACAGCAGACAGCCTGAAGAGCACACGATACCTGTGTATAAAGTCAAGCAAAAGCAAAGCAAACAGCATCTTGCAGAGCAAGGCAGAGGTACACAGTACCACGCAATCTACCTAACCAACTCCCGTCGTTGGCACCCAGCACATGCACTGGAACAAGAAGATGTACCAGATCAGCGAATCACCGCCTCGCCTGTACCTTTTCGCAAACCGCCCCCCCTGTCAGCAAAGTGATGTCAACGTCAATCAATGATGCACAGCTCTGATCTTTCGCACACACACACACAACATTCATCATGCATGGACTATTACCGATGATGATGATGAGCACGATTGATCCAAAGACGACAACGAAAACAAGGACATTTCAGTATCCTGACCTGAATCAAATAGAAAACAGCCATGTACATACTTACCTGACGCAATGGATCCCCCAGTATCAGAAGATGCGAGTAAAGAAGGGAAAAAGGGCACAGTGCCGCAATGCACCCAGTCCCAGCACCTTGGTCGCACAACGTGGCGGATGGGCGGGTATGCCGTCATCGTCTCCAAACGCCCAGTTTTGCCTTGCTTTTCCTCCTCCTACTACCTGACCAAACTTACATTAGCACCTTGCGCTGAGGATTGACTTGCTGCATGTACCAGCTGAACAAGGAACTGGACGAGCACGAGAAGCAAAGCAGTACTCGTAAATCAATGCAAGAAAGCGAAAAGCTCAGCCCCCCAACCCAGAGGCTGTGCGTGTGGCGCTCCATGTGATGCTGCACAGCTGGTCATCCAAGCAAGCTTGGTCTCAGTCTCATGCCGTCACATGCAAATGCTCGCCGGGCTGCGTCCGTCACGCCCAGCACTATCCAACAACTTCCTCATACACTCACACAACCTCAAGACACAACCACCATGCTTCATTGTGTGCAGCAATATCCTGTAGGAATTATTATTCTAGCCTGACGCCAAAAATCCTATCAATGCCCGCAATCAGGCGTAAGCTGAGGTGGGAATACAAACGTGTACCAATGCGCGCACTGAGCCTCCCAAAACAGTGTACCGACAGTTGCTGCTCGGCTGTAACTTTCAGACAATCCAGAGCTGACAATCTTCATCACCTTCTTCTTCCTCCCTCGGATATCTTTGCTCAATCCTAGCAACATATAAAAGAAAGAGCGAAAAGGGAGTGACAAACATCAACCAAAACGCCGGGCACAGGTCCGTAACGGCAGAGCCTGTGCCTCAATTCCTTGTCCCAAGTTTCGTCGTGTATATGAACAGCCGGTTTGTGCATCCTTCCTGTCCTCTGATCCATCCATTAGTGTGTCTCCTATGCGTTGCGACTTGAAAACCCAAAAAAAGACCGTCCAAGGCAAAAGCTAGGTTCAAATGCTCGAGTAATCCATAAATGGGATGTAAGATGCATAATATATGCTTTTGTTTTCGTATCGTTCTGCGTCTCAGCCGACGCGGGCCTAATGTTTGATGAGAACGGAGAAGCCGTCGAGCCACGGACCACAAGTGCCGGCGACGCCACAGATAGAAAAGCCCCGGGGAGGCAGCAGAGTGTGCCTGAATTCAATGTCAGCCTGATACCGCCGCCATTGCAATTTGCTACATGGGCAAAAGTGACTTACGCAGAACCACCATGGGCATTTCCAAACATGGCTGACTTCCTACCAAGGCTGGTCAAGATCTGGATGCCGTCGATCCAAAAGCCGGCCCTCACGACGAATCCGGTCAGGTACTCTCCTCGCCGGACATCTACCACAATCATGTCAGCCTCTTGGTTCCCTCAAACTCGCTGTGGGATTTGACAAACTCACCAATTTCAAAGGTGTCTCCCCCTGGCTTTCCTCCCCGTTTCCCAAACAACTGCGTCGAGTTGTCGTCGTAGACGAATTCGAGTCCGTCCAATGCTCTGCCGTGGTACACAATGACGCGAGACATGACTCGGTCCTGCTTCAGAGCGCTCGTAAAGATAACCTCTTGGGGCTCACTGCCTTGCATCTTGGAGTGCCCGAGGCTCTTGCACCGGAAGGCCAGCTTGCCGCCCGGTAGCTTCACCGATGACGCCTTGGACGCAAACGCCTTAAAGTCGTTGATATCCAGAGACCCTCCGCCGTGAGACTTGATAGACACCCTTATGCGTCCCTTTCTCTTGGCCTCGGGCAAGCGAGCTCGCAAGTCCTGCTCGATCAACGTCACTTGCCGCTGGATGGGGGTGTTGGTATCCGGCATATACTCGATCCACGAGTGGCAGACGTCGTCTCCCTCTCCGTAAATTTCGATAAAGGCAATTCCAGTCTGTGCCACGGTCAGAACGTTGCCGCCGTCGATAGCAAAGGCCTGGACGCTCTCGTCGGGATTCATCGGGGGATCGTTGGGTAGCCTGAAGGCAGGATGCGCTCGGAAGCGAAGGCAGTCCAGGCGGTGCCAGCCGCACTCGTCAGCTTGCAGGGCTAATCCTCCCTTGGACTTGGTCCTGGTGGAATAGGCCTCACGAGCGACAAAGCTTCGGTTAAGAACGACGTAGTCTCTGAGCATGACTCCTCCTTCTTGGTGCGGGCATCCAAACAAATGGCCCACCTCGTGCAAATGCGCGCCGATGCCAATGTTGGCAGCTTCCCAGGAGCTTCCCGCCTCGTTGCAGTCGTTAGCCACATACGCAGTGTCCGTCGGCGTGCAATCGGTGAAGGCTGGCACCACCTCCTCGAAGCAGCTGGGGTAGCTGTACAGGCAGTGTGACCCAAAGATGCCCAGTTGCAAATCTCCGTTGCCGCCCCCGAGCGCGGCATGACCACGAATGGTTTTGGCGTCCTTGTCCCAGTGAGCGTCGAGCAAGAGCACGGCCACGTATTGAGTCTGGCCCGGCAAGGGGTTGAGCTGCTTCTTCACTGCGGCGGCGGCAATGTCGAAGAGAGCATTCTTGTCCGTGGCCTTGTCGTACTGCTGCGCCTTGTTGAGGTCCCGCAGCTCTGCCACCGTCTTGTCGGAACGGATAACGTGGACGCGGGCTTCGGATCGCATGGTGCCACTCTCCCTATCGCGGTAATTGGCAGAGCCCGACGTCCACTCCTCTTCGAATCGAAACGTTCGTCGCCCAAGCTTGTGCCTCCACATCTGTTCTGCAGTGAAAGCCTGCCAGAGGTAGGCGGCCATTCGAAACTTCTTCACGGCCGTATCCAGGCCATTGCCTTCCCTTTCAGCACGCGACGGCGTGGCATCAAAGGTCCCGGGTGAGTCTTTGCCTAAGAGGATGGCCAGCTGTAGTGGGGGCGCATTTAATGAAGGCACCATGTGAAAGGTAAAGTACGAGACATGGATAGGGTTAGAAGACGAGCTGTTGGCAAGCTTGGGGCTCTGGAATTCAAGTCTGATCTTGTTTGGGCCGGGTTGAAGATAGACAAGAGCCTTGAAGTTAGAATCGCACACAGGCCAGCTGGTTGGTGGGAAGGCGTCGTCTTGTCTGCTGATAATGAGGGTCCCCTCAAGGTGATTCTGCTGCGACTCTCCAACTGCGCCGTGCAGCAAGAGAACCTTTTGATATACCTGGGACGAAATGTTAGCAACTTATTCATTACAGCAGCGCCACCTGCCATCATAGAGCAAACTCTAAACAGCTTAAAGGGCAGTAATCTCGAGGCTATACTGTAATGACGCCAGGTGGAAAGAAGCACAGTCAGGAGACAGTAAACAAGGAGGGTGCGCAAACGTACCCATGCACCGTCTGAAATATTCTGGACACGAGGAGCATACTGGGACACTGGCAGGTTGGTCCTCCCGTTGGGCGAAGGAGATCCAAGGCCCGACATGCCCGAGACGCTGTAACGACTCGAGTTCCCGCTGGGCATCATCATGGGCCGGGTGGGAGCCTGTGCCGCGTTCTGGCCAGATGCATTGCTGTCCTTGAGCTGAAGATTGAGTGCGGGATCCGACTGCTGAGCCACCGAGGGCGGTGTTGACGAGCCGCTGGACGGCGTGGTGTCGTGAGTGTCGTGGCTCAAAGCACCGTCGCTGGATGCATCCGTCGAGGTTTCCGTTCGAAAGCTTGCCTTGGATCGACGTCGCAGGTCTTTGAGAGAGAGGAAAGACGGGGCCATGGCTGCTAAAGTGAGGCGAGGTGATGAGGAGCGTTTATGTATATGATATCCGGCAACGAGTGAATTCGGCCTTTATCCTGGCAGAGAATAGGTGCCCGCCTGGTTGTTTGTCCCTCTGCCGCAATCAATCAGAGTGAAAGGGCCCTTGGTGAAACGAAACGAATGGCTGCCGAAGAGCCGTCAGATCTAGATGAGCTGTCACCCAGCCGCAATCAAATAACGAAGGACAAGGCGCTAGGCGTAGTGACTGTCCAGCTGCATTGACCGAAAAATAAACCACACGGCGACTGCAGTTGGTGAGTCGCAGACTGTAGACTGTCTCCCAGAGGCGATGGTAATCCGTGCTATAGAAGAGTAAAAGCAGATACTACAGGTGTAGAAGCGATAGATGCCGTC